TAAAGGGTTTCTTCCACCAAACAATACAATTAATAACCTGTTGTCTCAGCAAAGCAGCAGCAGAGAATAAGAGCACCTGTAGAATAAAGACAGTCCTCACAGGTCAGCTCCTGGAAAAAAAAATCCCTGGGAAGCTGCCACTGGCACAACTCAAATGTGACCTGAGCTGAACCTGAAGTCAGGCTGAGAACCATTGGGAAGACAATCATTGATAAACTATTTGCATTTGTTCTATTAAAAAAAAAAACACCAAAAACCACCACAGTGCCAGTTTGGAACAGAACACGTTGCAGAAATATTTCCCTAAGGATGAACAGACCCTCCAGGTTTACACTGAAGGCTGATGGGCTCATCTGGAGTTTTATCAGTACTTGGGTCATGTTCCATAATTAAGGATCCAACAGAAGTCGTGTCCTCTTGCAAAAGCCTCTTTCAGTAGAAAATGAGCTATTTTTTTCAGCCCTGATGAAGAGAAGAACTGCAAAGCCCCCAAATCCACTTGGAAAAGCAGAGTCAGCCAGGTTGCCGTGTTTTTAATTGCCATTCCACCCCAACAGGACGAGGGTCATTAATGCACTCCCAAATAAGGAGCTGTGCCCATGTGATCCCTCTGTCCTCACACCAGCAAAAGGAGATGGTCACAGGAGATGCTTTTTCCAGAGGGTGCTGGTTAAAATCCCACCCAGCCACTTTTACAGGCAAGGCTGAGAACACTGCACTGTTGTGTCAGGAGAGGGACTGGGACAGGAGATGTCAGAACAGCTCTGGGCCCCCTGAAAGGCCAGCCTGTCAATAAGAGTGTGCTTCAGCTCACCTGCAGAAGGCAGAAATACAGGCAGGCCTGGTTGTGTTAACCACAACCTGCTGCAAGAGAAGTCACAACAGCTGCTCATTAGTCTTTCCAATGTTCCAACCACATCCCGTGCCTAAATTACATTTCTGAGCTGCTCCCCCCTCTTTGTCAGCCTAGGAGAGTTCTGAGAAAAGAAGGTGGAAGGGGAGAGTTTAACAGATGTGTTTTGCAGCTAATATCTAAAATGGCTTTATTCCTCTAGATGAAATGGTGCATGCCTGGCTGAGAGGTGAAAAAGGTACAACGTGGCAAGATGAAAATTCAGCACAAAAACATCCAAGTGTTCTGCAAATTTCAGCAGCTATTCCACTAAGAGACTATAAAATACTAGAGTTCCATGCAAATTTTCCCTCATGTATAAGCTCAAACTTTGCACAGTAGCAGGTCCTAGAAAGACATATCACTGTAGAAAGCCACATATTTTCTTTTTACCTTTTCCCTGCTCCTTCTAAAAAAACCCAGTACAAACCCCAGTGATGAATTAGAGGACAGCTGCAAGGAAACAGTCACGGAAACGAACACTTTTAATCCAAACATTCCACAGAATCCTTACACACAGCCACCTGTTAGAGGGGAGTAAAACACCTCCCTCCCCTGTTCTCTGCAGAAAACACCAATCCAGAGCCAACAGATTTGCAGGTTTGATTTTTCTGGTGAGTGGAAGCTTACAGAATCTCCTGTTTTCTTGCCCTTCACGTCGAGTCCAATTATTACACTGACTGATTTTGGTTTTGGAGTGATATTTGAGATTAAGTCAGCAAGGTTCATTGCCTTTCTAAGCCTATGGAGCACTGCCAATCACTGCAAAACATTTATTTTTCCCACAACATGCACGTGACCCTCACAGTAAAGTTTAAGAAGATTTGCAGTTAAGAGAAGCTTGTCATAATCACGGTTTTATGGACTGGAGGGATTTAGTAATTTAGAGCTTCTCAATCATCTCTTCCATTTTTCCTTCCTCAGTCTCAGAAAAGATTTACCTTTCTATGTTTTTTTTTTTAAATTTATCTGTGATATATGCACAGTGTGGTTCAAAATAACGATTTCCTGACTCCCAAATGAACAAATAAAATTGTAAACTTAATTAAACTATCAGAATACTGTGAGGGATCAGGCCCATGCAACAGGGAAGTGTCCCAATCTCTTCAAAGCAATCAAGCTTTTCCCACTTCAAATGACAATTCTGAACATCAATTCTGCCTGAACTTAACAAAGTATTTGCACACTTATTAATAGGACTTGAATCTTCAGTGCTGTGCTGAAAGAGGGATATTTAAAGACACTTCCACCCTCTGCAGCTACTTCTGCATTATTCATTTGTTCTCCCTTTCCAAATCCCTCAGTCCCCACCTCTGCCTCTCTCAATCCCCATTTACAAGCAATTCCATTTCCAGCTCCACAGCCCAATTTACCCCAGCAAGGCCTTTCCCTCTTCTCCCCGATCTGGGAGGGGTTTTGCAGATGTGAACAGCAAACAAACTCCCTGCTCTCCAAACTTCCCTTCCCATGACACCCCCACAAAACCACGCAGCCCCCTCAAACAAGTCAGGGCCGAGGACTGATGACACTGGTGGTGCTGACTCATATTATCCAGCTGCCTCTCACCCCACACTCCTCCTGCAGGGTGCTCCACAGTCTCCCTGCAGCTTTATTTCAGGAAAAAATGAGTGTTCTCTGATTTATCCTCCTGCCTTTGACACACCCAAAGCAACGCTGGCCTAATCCAGTTCAACACCCACCTGTAAGACAGTCAAAATTGAACTCAAATACGCCTGAAATGAGGTTCACAACAGTAAAATGGGAAATATCTGCAATATTTACACGGTTTCTCTTCAAAGATTCAATATATTAAACATATCAAAACTAAGAAAAGCAGCGTGACTGAATGTAAGCCTAAAACAACAAAGATTTGAGGGTTGGTTGTTTTAGGTTTTTTTTTCCAAACTCAGCATATAAAAGTTATCCAAACATTGTCCAAACTGTGGATCTGAAATGGGCAATTTCTACCTCAGTGCACATGCAGTAAATATGAAAGCTCCTGACAGATCAACAGTTGTTTGGATGCAGCTCCATCTCCTCTCAGCAGCTACTTCAGGGAGTTCTCTACTGGTAACCTTGCAGATTCTGGACAGATTTTGGACAGTTCCACACTTCGACATCACTGTTTTTGATTACAAAAAAAACCCAAACAACTGTGGCCTGGAAACCATGAGAGATGTCATGATCCAGCAAGTTGAGTTAACAGACTCACCTTCCTCCAATCTCCAAAAGAAACACTGAAAGACCTTTTAAAAGAATTTAGGAAATTCAATTTTTTCGAAGGCAGATTGGAGAAAGCAGGCAATGAGCAACTTCTGCAGGTGAGAAAACAGAATATCCTGGGGTGTGCTGCTGGAATATTGCAGTCAGCCCTGCTAAGGGATTCTTCACCCCACTCCATGAAGAGATTAAAGGATTAATCCCATAAGGATATTTCTCCTGTCAGAAGTATCATTTAATAAAGGGAAATGGAGACAAGAGTGCTTAAGAGCCGTGGTTTTCTAGCAGAGAGGTTAAAGTGCTAGCACGGGAAATACAGAGAGAATTTAAACTCCTGAACTGGTAATTAAGGTCATTAGAACAACCCAGGAACAGGGGAAATAAAGACAAAGTATTTATATGTAGGTGTTATACACCTTCCCTCTTTCAGTTTGCTGGATTTCATGTTCTGACTCCCTAAAAATTAAAAATACAGCGATCACCTCCAATAGAAGCAAAAAGCAAAAATCAACATTCCCAAGAAATGTTTTTTGTAGCCCCTTTTTCAAAACAATGACACAGCCACCGGCTCGTCTCAGCTGGCACAGAATCAGCGGCACAGTTTGTTTGTGACAGTGAAAAAGCAGAGCAGTGGATGCTCCCCACGGCTCTGCAGTCAGGGAAGAGCCACGAAAGACATAGCCAGTGGCCACCAGTGGCTTAAACGCCTCGTCATCAACCGCTGTTGCTCAATTTCTTTCTTTGCATAGCGCGGCCGGCGCGCACGGTCACACTCTCGACAACGCAGAGGCTGGGGAATAATTCCAGGGTAAAATCAGTCCTTAAGAACAGCAGGAAAGAATTAAATTCCCACTTTCCCAAGCTGATTTTGCTTCCCTTCCTCCCCCTCCTCCCTGCCCCGCCTCCATTAATAGAAAATATATATTAATTCTTATAAGCAGATTTTTTCATCGGCAGGCTCTAATTATGCACACTAATGGGCCTGGAAGCGCGTAGGAATTTTTACTTGGTGGAATATGTTATTCTTAAAACCTTTCTGAGCTACAACGCCACAAAGCTGGGTTACCTGGACTGGATAACGTGACCTCAGCAGCCCTGCGACTAAAGGTCATTAAAATGATCCCGTTTCTCATCATCTTAAGGCCGCGGGGAACCAACACGCAGGATGGAAGGAGGGCAGCCGAGAGAGATGTATTTTCTTACGCGAATTCAAGAGCTGCTCCCTCCCTGCACACACCCCAAAAAGTCCAAATCAACAATTTTTTAAGTACTGACAACAAAGAAAACACTCTCATTTAGGCTGGAAGAGACCTGACACGCTTCGGTTTAACAGCAAAAAAAAAAAAAAAAAATTAAATTTATGTTAACCGAGAGCCCGAGAAGAAGCAACAGTTCGAGTAATACTTTTAAATCTCCTCAGAAGGGACCGAGCAGCGGCACGGCCGCTCCCTGCAGCACCGTCAGCCCCTGAGGAGATATCCCCTGACCTTATCGAGATGTGCAGCCTTTGCCAGCCCGCTGAGGAGAGCTCACCCCCGGATCACAGCGTCCCTGCCCCGCTCTCCTGCAGCCCGGCAGGGAACCCCGCTGGGGACGGAGATCGCACAGCAGCGGTGATCGGAGCAGGAGGCGGCGAACAGCCCGTCCCGAGTGGCGGAGCCGCGGAACGGCCCCGGGGCCGTTCGGAGCGAGCGCGGCCGCGCCCGCGGGGCCCGGCGGGGCGGGCCGGGCCGGGCTGGGCGGGAAGAGGAGCGGGCCCTGCCCGCGGCACAACGGCCCCCGCAGCCTCCCGCCCTCCCGCCGGGGCCGCTCGCGTCGCTCCCCGCGCCGGGCAGGGGGGACAGCCCCGGTACCGCCACCAACCGCACTCCCCGAGCCCCGCACTCACCGAGCGCCGCCGCCCTGGCCCGGCCCCTGCGCGCTCCCGGCACTGCCCGCGCGCGCCCCCGCGCTCCAAACCAACCCACGCGAGACCCGCGCGCAGCTCCGGCAGCGCCGCGCCCCTCACCGCTCCCCCCCACCCTCCTCGCCCCACGTGACCCCCGCGGCCCAATCAGCGGCGCTGGAACCCTCGCGATCGTCCCCTCCCCACAGCCCCTGCGGGCCGCCCCGGGACGCCCCGCGGGTGGGCGGGGCCGCCCCGCGCGCAGATCCCGCTCCAGCTCTCGCGAGGCTCGGGGGGACCCCCAGGAATGTGAGAGGCGCGCGCCGCCGCCATTTTGTCTCTGTGTGTGTGGGCAGGCGGAGCCGCCATGGCCGACTATTCCACCGTGCCCCCTCCCGCCGCGGGCGCGCCCGGGGGAGCCGGCGGCGGCGCCGGCGGAGTGAACGATGCCTTTAAGGACGCGCTGCAGAGGGCGAGGCAGGTGCGTGTCGAGAAACGTGGCCCCGAGCCGAATCAATGGGGTTGGCGGGGCCTGGAGGCCGCGGCGCCGGAGCCGCGAGGGGATGAGCTGAGGTGTGGGGGGGGGAGCTGCCGCCTCGCTGTGCTGAGGAGGAATCTGGGAGCGGGAAAGCTTTGTCCCGTCCCCGCTCCCTGAGAGGGGGGAGCGGCCCCGCTCCGCCGTGGGCAGCGCCGGCGGGACACGCCGTGAGGGGCCCGGGGAGCTCTGCCCCAGCCAGGGTGAGCCCAAATCTCGGCGGGCGAGCAGCGGCGCCTTATCGGGGCTGGAGGGAGGGAGGAAAGCAGGGAGGGAGGGCGGCGGCCCCCTCGGCGCGGCCCGTGTGGCGAGGGCGGCCCCGGCGGCCGCGCTTTCCCCCGCGGCTCCGTTTGCTCCGTGGGCACCGCGGGCGGTGTTTTCGTCGCCGCTCGGGCGGAATTTTCGCCCCGTCCGTTAATAATGAGCGGTCGCGGTTTTGGCAGCGTTGTAAAGGCGGTGCGGTCGGAGTGCTGAGCGCTGGGATTGTTTTGCCGGTGAGACACGGTGGTGTTGCTCCAACAGCGCGGGAAGAAAACTCCCTTTTGGAAAAAGTTTGAAGGGAAACTAGGTCGATGTTGTTTTCCAGCGGATGAGAAAAACATAGGAAGCCCTGCTGTTAAAGGATGAGCACGAGCCTTCCTTAAAGCACTCGTAAAATTTCCACGAGTGGAACTGCTTTTGGCAACGGTCTTCTCTTTGGGGTTATTTTAATTTTCATTGTCTGAATTCCTTACGTCTTTTAGAAGGTCTGGGATAAATACGAGCTGGTAAAATTACTTTTTTTTTTATCTTGGTTCTCAAAGTCTGCCTTTTGTTTAGATCGCAGCGAAAATTGGAGGAGATGCTGGCACATCAATGAACTCGAACGACTACGGTTACGGAGGGCAGAAAAGGCCCCTGGAGGATGGAGGTACGAGCTCGTTACTGCTGCATTTGTGTTTGGGGAGTTCGGCCGCTGTGCCAGGAACGTTGCAGGTGTTGGTGGATTCGATTTTCCTTTTCCTATAGCTCAGCATTAAAACGTTTTGTTCCCCTTGGTAGATCGCGGCATATTTTTTCGTTTTCGTTTTATTGGGAAAATTTGTTTCAAACTGTTGTGCTGTGAGGTGAAGTGAACGTAAACCTGTTTTAAAATATTTTAAATGTGGTTTAAAGGCTGGAAATTAAAAAATGTGTGTTGAGGAGTGGAGGGCAACAAAATAGTTGGTCGAGAAATGCCCGCACAGGGATGTTCAGTGAGGTCTTTTGTTTTTGTTACAGCCTGGAGTTACAATTAGAGTGGGAAGCGCTCACCTTTTACACTCGATTGGTTCATATACTTTGTTACAATAGTTTCATGCACTTGATTACTGCACAATTTCAAATAAAAGTATTACTTCGTTTCATTGTAAAAGCATAGGACTTAAAAAAAAGACAGGAAAGTCAATTTTCTACCTTGTAGACACTTTTGTTAGTCTGATGTTTCAGCCTCCAGCATGTGTGAACCCTGATAAGATCGTGCTTAAACCTTGTGACTTGTTGCAGCTTTTTGGATTTGCCTTACACTGCAGGAAAGGTTCCTCCTGAAATGTCTGTGTGTCTTCTGTCCCCTATGGAGCAACCACTTTGAGCTTAACAGGGTTTGATGTGTTTGCCATCCAGCCAAAATCCTGGCTAAATTACGGACAGAAACCTCTGAATTTGTTGAAATGTTCTCGTAGGTCTTACAAAAGAGCAATGCCTTTTTTTTTTTTCCTTTAAGAGGATTGAAACTCAGTCTGCAGAATGTAATTAAGGCTTTATATCAGGAGTCCTGCAATAAAGGTTTTTTTTTTTCTATTCAAGGTGAGGTTTTTAATATACAGAAATGAGCTAATGATGCTTCAGATGATATATGTAATGTATTCTTTTTATTTTATGTGTAGATGGCTCTTGGACAAGTCCGAGCAGTACAACACACTGGGAGGGAATGCCCTCTCCTTTTAAAGGCAGGAATTTTTATTTATTACCTGTGTTTAGTATGTAAACATGACATAAACTAGTGGATCTTTCTGGATTGACACAGATATTTCTTGGAATACGTGTCTGAGTTTTTGCTGCACATAAATCATGGTGGTTCATGTAGCCTTTATTTTGGGGTGGGAAGGAAGCATCTGAAGTCTTATCTTTTCAGATACAGGTTTATGATGCCTTTAATTTCTCCACTGTACAGAAAGGATTTGGACAGTAGTGATGTAGTTGTTTGAATCTACCTTTTTTTTTTGAAGTTTTATGCTATGAAATGCTTGATATTTGGATAGGAATTTCATATCAACGTTCAGATTGAGATTGCATTGCCATGTGATACTGTTGTATTTTTTCTTTTAAGTCATTGTTGATTTTTGTATGGATTTGATTTTTTTTTTCTTTTTTTTACTATAGAAGCATCATTAGCTTGAGCAACCAACAGAGCTCAACTTTGTTCCTTGTCTTAGTTGAGTTTCAGTGACTGGGTATCTGAGCAATCTACACACAGTGTGTCCTGAAAGCTGCCTTTTGTTAAACTACTGAATAGAAACATGGAAAAACCTGACATCTTTTCAGCTCTACTAACCAAGTGCTGAGTGCTCCTCAGAGTCTTTCTTTTATTCAGATGATCAACTCCCTGAAATTGGAGGAAAAAAAAAAGAAAGAAAGGAAAAAAAGGAAAGGGGGCTTAAATACACTGGAAATTTACAATTCACACTAAAACGTTTAAACACTGCTTGAGTTCCTTGGCAAAAAAAATTTTAAAAATCTTAATTTTGCAGATCAACCAGATGCTAAGAAAGTTGCTCCTCAGAATGACTGTAAGTAATTTTTATTTTGTTGCCAAAAACCCTAAACAAGTGTAACATTGTCAGAACAAGAGTTTGAAAGTGTCCTGGTAGGTGATGAAAAGAGTGGTTGGGGGGTTGTGTTTTATTTTGCAAAGCCAGTCTTTGTCAAACTGGCAGTGGTGTCGGTTTTAGCAACAGTTCAGAATGTTTTCAGCTTGTTTGTAAACCTGTTGATAAGAATTCTTAAAAGCCAACTTGGGCAAAATATCGGATACAGTTAAGTTTTGTTACCAAAGCAGAAGCTTAGCTGTAAACTACACCACTTGTTTGAATTTAATTTGAACAATATTTGTTTATAGCTTTTGGAAATCAGCTACCACCGATGCATCAGCAACAAAGGTAAGAGTTGCACTGCAGATTGTGTAGAGGTTTTGTTTTTACTAAAATAAAGCAAATTTGAGATTTTTTTTCCTGGAAAAGTGATACCAACCCTGTATTTGTGTGATCTGTTGAAATGTGGCTTCAGCAAGTCCTAAGTCAGACACTTGAAAGGCACCTGCATTGGTGTTTCTCTTCCCAGCCTAGGCTGTGTATCAAGCTTAATAAAAGGGAAATACATTGCTGGTTTTGCTGATTGAGCCCCGGGTAACATAACTGGAAGTTGGAAGCAGATCTGTAGGGAAAGAGAGGGACATAATCTTGGGAACAGAAAGGAACGTTGATGGACTCAAACCCAACAAAAACCATCCAAACCTTACACAGAGTATCACTCAGCTACAACTTAGTGGTCTTCTCACTCACTTCTTACCTGAACTGTTATTCTTATGGTTTGGATAGGTTTGGCAGATGAGATGCTGACATTTTCAGCATACTGTGGTGGATGTGCAGATGAACCTTGAAATGCTCCAGTGGCCTTTTCTGTGCCACAATAAAGGGATGGGATTGATTTGTGTTACACGTGAACCTTTTGGGTTGTTTCTGTGTGTTGTCAGCTGGGGCAGCTGTGCTTGCATCATGGCTTGTAAGGGTAATGGGTGGATGGTGGGGGCAGAAGGTTTCTTAAAGGTATCTATAAAAATGTAATGCCACTTTGATCTCTGGATGGTCACTGTCTTTGGTTAAACATTCCCTGCAGGTCTGTGATGACAGAGGAATACAAAGTTCCAGATGGGATGGTTGGATTCAGTAAGTAGTGTGGATGTGTCCTGTAGTGTAGTGCAGGATGTCAGCAGATGCTGTCAATACAAATAACCTTTCTGTATCTTCTTTCTTCAAGTAATTGGCAGAGGTGGAGAGCAGATCTCCCGCATCCAGCAAGAGTCTGGCTGTAAAATACAGATTGCACCTGGTAACTATCTGTGGCTTTTTACATTTGGTTATCTGGGGGGTGGTGGAAAGTTCAGAATATTCATTGCCTCTCATTGCCTCAGCCTTCACTTAAGGTACACTTAAATTGTCTGTTGGAGTTGTGACTGTCATGGTCTAAAGAACATGGGATAGGATTAATTTCCTGCTCTCTTTCTGACTTTACTGACAAGTTGGTTTTATTTGCTGGCTGCAGATAGTGGAGGCCTGCCTGAACGATCATGTATGCTGACTGGAACACCAGAGTCTGTTCAGTAAGTGAAACCAGTTGTGTGTGTGCATGTTAGGTTGGGCAGTACACTGCATTTTTTAGAGCTGAATGTAATACTTATATAGTAGATGTTTTTCCTCTACTGAAGAGGCAGTTTGGTGACAATTAAATATATACAGGAGGAAAAAGGCCCTTAACCTGTAGTCACATTTCCCAGCATACTTGGAATTTTAGGACAGAAAGAGTAGAACTTCAACTTGAATTCAAATCCAAATTTTGTTGTAGATAATAATTGCATAACCATGCACTGTTCTCAGCTTGAAAAAGAAATGTGTATATATATATTTAAAAGAAACATATGCTGGAAAGGGACTTGAAGATCAACTGGTGGAGGCTTTGCTAGGAAAGGTCTGGAGTGCAGTGGTATAATGGTATTATTTATGTTAGCTGCTCCCAGTGATGTTTGCAGGTAGGGCCTGCAGCTACATGTTTTCCTTTGGGAAGGGAGGTGTCATTCTCCTTTCAAGTCTGCCATTCACGAAGGCATTTCCTTCAGGGGAATTCTCTTTGTAATTGTAATTTATTCTGCTCACAAACTAAAGGGGAGAGTTCTTAACTGATGTTAGTGAAATCCTGATGACAGTCCTCTGCTGGCAGCTGACTTGCTCATGTGGTGAATGCTCTTGTCCACCCTTCTGGTGATGGGTACAAGTACAAATGTCCTTGCTTGGCCTGCAGCAGCTTTTGTTCAGAGTCAAGCTTTGAGCAGTGTAACTTTATTCAGGTGTGATGGTCATGTTTGAAGAGGAAACTCAGTTGAGCATGTTTGGTAAAGAACCACCTTTTGCATTCTCATACTGGGGGTTTTGTCATCTTACACTTAGTTCCTTAAGTTGCTGCTGCAAATTTCTTGAGTTTGCCTCCTATTTCTTAGTGTTAGTAAGTACATTTTCTGGACAGAAACTTTTCAGATAAAAAGAATTTCCAAGGAGAATAGGTGTGGGCAAGTGATAGTTGTAGGAATAAGTGTTTATAAATATGTGTTTTCTTTCACAGATCAGCAAAAAGATTACTTGATCAGATAGTTGAAAAGGGAAGACCTGCACCTGGCTTTCATCACGGTGATGGACCTGGAAATGCAGTCCAAGAAATTATGATTCCAGCAAGTAAAGCAGGATTAGTTATTGGGAAAGGTGGAGAGACAATTAAACAGTTACAGGTATACATGTACCTTTTAAATGTGACTGTGTCAATCTGGATTCCAGTGGGTATTGACCTCCCTTTTGTCAAACAGGAGCGGGCAGGTGTCAAAATGGTCATGATTCAAGATGGGCCACAGAACACTGGTGCAGACAAACCCCTTAGGATAACTGGAGACCCTTACAAAGTTCAAGTAAGGAGTCCTTCACAATCCAGAGCATTTCTCAATCCATTCTGATGTTGCAGGACCTAAATGAACTTTCCTTTTTCTTTTAGCAAGCCAAGGAAATGGTGCTGGAGTTAATCCGTGATCAAGGTGGCTTTAGAGAGGTGCGCAACGAATATGGGTCAAGAATAGGAGGAAATGAAGGGATAGACGTAAGCATGGTTGAAAAACTTGTTCACTGTATTTTGAGATGTTAACTTGCAAATGTTAAGCTGGGTAATACTGCTGAAAGCTCTTAAGCAGATTTCAGAAGTGGTGGTGGCTGTAAGTATGACCTGATCACTGCTGGAATTCTAGCCCTGCCTGCTGTGCAGCGCTGACTTGGCACTGCCAGCTGTCCTGAACTGTTGCAGCTGGAGCTTGTCAAATAAGCAAGTCACTTTTGTGGCCAAGTCTATAACACTTTAATGTTACTAAAACTAGAGTTTGGCCTGTATGGAAGGATATTTAAGTTAACCTGTTATGCAGAGTCACAAGCTAATAAGGAGAGGCTGAAAGTTTCATCTACTAGAATCTGCGTTTTAGACTCTTTATAACTTTTTTTAGTTATTCTAAGAAGCATAATATCCACTGCAGTTGCTACCACTATGAGAACTTGTAGTGCATAAGATTGCTTTATTTCTGATACTGTAGTCCAGTATTTGTTAGACTTGTGACTGGTAAAAAATAGACACTTGAAAAAGCCTGAAGTGGCACAGGTCTTGCCCTGATTTACTGTTCTACTGTGTTACCCTTTCATTCTGTGAATTTGGTTGGAATATCTGCATCAACAACACCTTGCTCTGTTTGGGTTTTTTCCTTAGGTTCCAATACCACGATTTGCTGTAGGAATTGTGATTGGAAGGAACGGAGAGATGATCAAAAAGATACAGAACGATGCTGGTGTTCGGATCCAGTTCAAGCCAGGTGTGTAACACGTTCCTAACCTCCTGTGAATTGACTGCACATTTACTGGACTGCATATACTGGAATGGTTCCTTTTGATTGCAGATGATGGGACGACTCCAGACAGAATAGCCCAGATCACGGGGCCCCCTGACAGATGTCAGCACGCTGCAGAAATTATTACAGATCTGCTTCGCAGTGTCCAGGTTGGGTGACGTTATTTCCCATTCCAAATCTCCTGCCCATCTGTTGGAAAGACCTCCGATTTTCAGAAAGTTTGTGTGTGTAACTAAAGCAAATAGTTAAGTGGTGTGGAATATGAATGTTTACTTTTACAGTTACAGTGTTGCAAGTGATAAAACTGATTCAAGGTCGTGGCAGTTCCTGAGGTGGTTTTAGAGCTGCTGCCTCTGTTGTCTTGTGTTAATAGCTAACATGCTGTTACTTCTGGTTGTAATTGGTGTTCAGGCATTTAAACCAGCTTGTATTCTTAGATGAGCCCCCCTGCTGCATTTACAGAAGGCAGCCAGAAATTCCATCTTTGTTCATGTGAAACTTTCTGCCTGCTTTGACATCCTCTCATCTTTCATGTGCAGAGTTGTACAGAACATTTTTTAAAATATAACTTAGGTCTTCCAGAAAAAGATACTTCAACTACCAAAACTATCTGATTTTAGTGAATCATTTTTTCTTTAAAAATGCTGTGATGTAGCCTGCTGGCATGACTTGCTTGCGGTAATTTTTGTAGAAAATGATCATTTGTTGCTGCTTCTTTTCAGGCTGGTAACCCTGGTGGGCCAGGACCTGGTGGTCGAGGAAGGGGGAGAGGCCAAGGCAACTGGAACATGGGGCCTCCTGGTGGATTACAGGAGTTCAACTTCATTGTCCCTACTGGCAAAACTGGATTAATCATTGGCAAAGGCAATATATTTTATATATGTGTATTTGTGATTAACAAAACTCAGCTTTTCTATTGGTGCAAATGCCACACTGCAGAGGGGTATCGAGTGTTTGCAGATAATTTACAGCAGAGCAAGACAGTGCTGTGAAATCAGATTTTCCTCACCAAAACACTTACCCCAGCACTTTAAAAGTTAGGAGGCCATCAATTTACTGAATTTATCCAACCCTTGTTTTAAGTAATGAGTGCAGGGTTACATTGTAGCGTTTGGTAGTTTCTTAGATGATGTACCTTATAATTAATTACTTTGTGTTTGATACTTCAGGATAAGCCAAGTGTTCCTGCATCTGACTCGCTCCTAAAACTCATTTTCACACATTCCAGTGAAAATCTTTTACAGTGAAACCCTGTAGCAATTTCTTCCATGCCTGTGTTCATTAAAATAATTCTTGAATTTAATTTTTACAAATAATTTACCGTATGCTTCAAAAAGAAACACTTGAGTTAATTTTAATCTGCTGTTCATAGTGTGTTCTCCAGACACAGCAAATAGGCTGACATTTTTTTAATTTTTAAATGCCAAATTATCCTTGTTTTGAAAATGTTGTGTATACAAAGGGTACATAAAACTTCTCTGGGTCCTGTAGGAGGAGGAGCCAGTTCAGGCAATTTACCTTCTGATTTTAGTGCACTGCAAAAATTGTGGACTTATCCAGCTTGCTCTCTGCACTTTTTTGTCATCTGTGCTTCCTCACTGCTTTGTAGGGAGTTTAGGTTTGGAGTTTGTGTTTACTGATAACTTGTGTGTTGGTTGTTATTCCTTTCTAATCTGCCATGTTTACATGAGCAAAAAACCAGACAACACTGGAGGAATTCTTTGCTGTTATGAGTAACATTATTGTGGTCTCTAATTTAAAAATATAACTTAAAAATAGTTAGAATGTTTTTGTGCAGCTTGTAAAAGTAGGCAGCTTGTCACTTTTATCCTCAGCTTCCATGCCCTTTCCTCTCTGTTTTGAATCAGTATTTCTGCTTTAATGGACACCCCAAAAACTGGATGTTGCATTGCAGGTGGGGAAACTATTAAAAGCATAAGCCAACAGTCTGGTGCTAGAATAGAACTGCAGAGGAACCCTCCACCTAACGCAGATCCCAACATGAAGATGTTCACCATCCGTGGAACCCCCCAGCAGATCGATTATGCACGACAGCTCATAGAGGAGAAGATTGGAGTGAGTGTTCAGCTGCTGATTGCTTTGCTGTTGTAACTAAACACAACTGGAACCAAGTCTCCTTCATGGAGACTTTTTCTCCCTTTCACTTCCAGTTTAATCAGAAAATGATTGGTAATAAAAAATTAGAATCCATACTGAAGTAATACAAACCTGACTTGATGCACCAAAAGAAACAAAATCTTGAAATGGAACCAGTTGTTTTCCTCAATGCCATATGGTGTGGTTTTTACTGATGCGTTCTGGAATGTGCCTGCTTTGGGAATGTGAAAAATTGGATGAGTTCAAAGATTACCAGTGGTATTCCAAAAGCTACTAAATTGTGTGTTTAGTTTCTGTCTCAGTATGTTCAGGTAAAGTTTTGATCCAAGTTAACAGCTGCAGTTTCATTGCACTTTTGCTTGCATGTAGTCAAATTCACTAGTGGATTTTTGTACCTGATATTACAAACTGGTTTAATTAGCAGGATTAGATATATTGGTTTGGTTTAAAACTAATAGTCTCATGTTAATCTGTGGGTTTAAGGCAACCTATGGAAAAATCCATCTTTTATTTGGAAAATTTTTTCCTTCCTCAAGAAAACTGAAAGAATTATAACTTTCTAGTTATTACTGCCACAGCTGCTTTAAAGTGTTCTCTTTAACTGACCTAAGCCTAATTAATCTTAAAATTGCCTGTTTAAGAGCAGTCACATCTTCTGGATTGCATTCTTAGTGTTCACAGAAATGTTTCTGACCTGCAGGAAAACGGAGAACCTCCAGGTTTATTTTCACCTCTGTCCCATTCCTGTTCCAGGGTCCGGTGAATCCATTGGGGCCCCCTGTTCCCCATGGACCTCACGGTGTCGTTCCTGGCCCCCATGGACCTCCTGGCCCGCCAGGTCCCGGTGCTCCCATGGGACCGTACAATCCAGCTCCCTACAATCCAGGCCCTCCTGGCCCTGCCCCTCAGTAAGTCCTGCCCAGCCCCTTCCTTCCTTCAGGGTCCCCCTGGCTCTGCTCTCACTGACGAGCACCTTGATCTTTCCCAGTGGTCCCCCAGCTCCGTACGCTCCACAGGGATGGGGAAATGCTTACCCACACTGGCAGCCGCCCAACCCCCCAGATCCAGGTAAGGAATGGCACGGCTGCGCTGCAGGGTGGGTATATTTGCGATTCATCCATCTTGGCCTTGCCAGTGGAATTGCACAGCTCGCTTGTGTCACACTGGGAAACCTGGACAGCTCCTCTCTCAGGCTGTGCTTTTTCTGTTTGTCACTCTGCCTACATCTGACACTTCCCACTTGTTGCTCGTGAGATGTTGAAATGTAATTGTTGGACTTGGAATATGCCTTTTTACAAATGTTATTGGTACTGCATCCCTATTTATGATCCTTTTGGCAAGAGTCTTGGTTCTTTGTTCTTGTGCAGTTCAGTTTTCTTACACTTCATGTTTTTACACTGAGAATGTGTTTTCTTTCTCTAATAGTAAATTACTGTTTATTTGATTCTACTCAGTCTCCCTGATCTGTCTTTGCATAGTTTATGCTGTATTATGTTTTAGTTTTTGTTGACCTATGAGGATTGCTTCTCAGACTGATACTACTGTACTTTGTTGAGTCCCTGTTCAACTGCTCTTAATACAGTAAAACCAGTCAGGGTTGTGTATTTTGAATTTTTACTTATAATAGTTCTGTATTTTCTTCTGAAACCCATCGATGTAGAATCTATTTCTGATTATCTTTGTCAGTACTGGGAGTTTTTGTTGAATTATAACTTATCAATGCAATCAGGATTTTCAGATAGCTGCTGTTCCTGACCCAGGGTCATTAGTGGAAAAAGGGAGGTGTCTTTTCCAAGAACCATCTCTGGTTTCAGTTCCCAAACTTTTGCAGAAGGTAGCTCTGCATGCATCCAGTTAGTATTTAAAATGCCTATTGTCGTTATTTAAATGTAGAGTGATTCAAAGTGACCTCAAGTCTCAGCATATAAAAAATGTCATTTAATGCAAAACCACTGCTAAAACCTTAGACTGTTTTGAATCATATTTTCAATTTTTTATGAAGTAATTTATCTGTATAAAGATGCATAAGAAAAAATGGCAAATACTCTCTTAATGTCACCTTGATGATTTTGTAACCATTTTTTTGATAAATACTCATCTTAAAAATCTAATGAAGTTTTCCTGTGTGCAGTTGATGTTTCTCTTGACAAGTATTTATTTGAGTGAATTTTCTACAGTTTTCACTTAGTTGCTCATTTCAGTGTAACAAATGGGTTGTTCTAGTGTTTTTTTCAGAGGTGCTTTCTCCAGAGCCCTTGGCCCGTGAAAGTGGAGCTAGTTACTACAGGCAGATTTCTTTGGAAATTTAATGAATCCTGCTCTTTTGTCCTTCCACTGTAGAGGGGAAGGAGGGGGGGAGTCGAGCAATGGCTTATTTGATATTTGCAGGTAACCTTAGAACATAGTACATGTTAGTTTAAATCCACTGTTGTTGATGCAAGCAGTGTTAATTAAAAAGCAAATAGTGTGTGAACATTTTTTTTCTGTATGCTGATACTACTGTGTGCATTTGAAGTGGTTACATCTGACTTTTGTCACAGTATTTCATTTAGCATTCATTTTATTGTTGGGGATTTCTTCTTGAATGCTTTTTTTCAGGGGATTTCTTCTTTTCCATTACTCACTGCCTTACCTATTTGGTGTTTGGGGAGGATTATATTTCCACTCTCATGTATAGTTATTCTTTAGTATCAGTTATATCCATGTCTTTATGTGAAATTCTCTCCTCGGTTGGCTGCATTTATTTGCAGAAATAAATCCTCTTTAATTAAGAATGCAAGTGTTGTATGCAAAGATGTGATGGTTGGGTCAAACATGATGTTCTCTCACAGTCGATTTTCAGGTGTTGTGGGTTACCAGTCTGCTAATGTAAGCAATCTGTGATTCAGTAACAATAAACCATTCCTAAAGGCTAAGTGTGAAAAACAGAGTAACAAAACTCTAGGAAACAGCATCAGTGACTTACCTAGATGTAGATAAAATCAGGAACCGTGGGGATAGCTGCAGGAGGGGCACATGTTACTGTTTTATACTAAATTATATACATTGTTATACTAAAAAGCTGTAAGTAAATAGTGATGCTTACTAGCCATGTTGGGGGATTTAGGTTCTTAACATGCTGTGTGTTTGTGTTTGACTGTTACCTTAAAGTTGAACTGCCATGCATTGCACATACCCAGTAAGCTTTGTATTCTTCTGTTTCAGAAATATGTTTTTGGCATGCCTCCTGCACCGGTGCCAGTGCCATTAGCGTGAGGGTATAACCAGAGTGAACCCACTCACTTGTTTGGTGCTACCACTGATTAACAGGACTGTCTGATTAAACTTGCAAAGCCTCTTCCTGCTTGTCACCTTGAAAAAGTAATGAATGGCATTGTAGTTGTAAGGGTTCTGAAGTCATTTGGTCTCACCAGCCCAATGAAAGTACATTTTGTACAGTGCACTGTTCTGAAACCTGACAGAAAAAATACTTCAAAGATGTACATGGTTATTTTGTTGAGATGGATTTTCCCTTAGAGGAAAATACGAGTGTGTAGGAGAGGATTAATTGAGGGCAGCATTCTGTTCATAGTGGTACTGCTTTTGTAAATGGTGCTGTTCTGTTTCCATAGGTAAGCCAGGAACAGATCCCAATTCAGCAGCGTGGGCAGCTTATTATGCTCACTATTACCAGCAGCAAGCACAGCCACCACCTGCAGCCCCTCCTGGTGGACCAGCTACCACCCAGACTAATGGACAAGGTAATTTCACTCACATGGACACGTTTCTCATTCCTGCAGCTGTGAAGGCCCAGTTATTTTTTACTCTTGTCTTCATATGTTGGGTAAATTTATTTAAGTAGCTGGTTTTCTTTGAAAATTATTGCTTACAGCCCTGCTTTTCTTAATTTCAGCAGTAGTAAGGGTAATGAATTTGTTATGCAATGCACTCCAAAGACAATTTTGCCACCTCTTGGGCTGACTAAATGCCTGTGCAGAGCAGTCATAACTAAAAATTACTGTCATTTGCTTGAACACTTGGTTGCATCACTTCCATTGGGTTTAGGACAATTACAGTTGTGGTGTTTAGTAGTGTCATTATAACTTCTGCCTGGATGAGGCTTACCACTTGAATTTTAGGTAGCATTTTGTATCATGAGTGGTGTGCACTTCCTGAATCTTGAAAACACGCCAAGCACTTCAAACATTTCTTTGTGGTATCTTTTACTAATACTTTATATTTGTAGTAGCTCCTACCACAAAGGTTTGTAGGGTCAGATCCGAGTGCTGTCATCTGGGATTGTCCCTGCACATTTCTGTTGATGATTTATGTGCTGTATGAAGCAAAGCCCAGGAGTTTTAGTTTAACTGCTTTTAATGTAATTCAGGAGATCAGCCCAATCCAGCACCAGCAGGGCAGGTTGACTACACCAAGGCCTGGGAGGAGTACTACAAAAAAATGGGTGAGTGTGCAGGGCTTCTTCTCTTGGTGCTTACTGGGATGTTTTAAGAGCCTTGTGTGTCTTGCTCGCTTTTTTACCACAAAAAATAAAAATGCATGATCCCTTTGTCCTCTGAACCATCCACTGCTGAGGGCCCTGCTGGAAAACAGGCTCAGCTTTCATTTGTATTTAAGGCATTTAAAGGCTGCACAGAAATACTGCAGACTTAGTGAGATGGCTGGGTTTAATCCTTGAGAAACAACATCCTTTAAATACCTCAATATGAGTAATTTAAAGTATAGCAGTTGATTATTCACTCATCTTTTGTTGCAAGGCTCAGTAGTTCTGAGCTGTGCACACTAAAGTGTGCACAGCTCAGAACTACTGAGCCTTGCAACAAAACCAACTTGCAGAGAGGAGCCTGGGGAAAAAAACTGAGTTTAAAACCACGAGGTGCTAACGAGGTGATTCTTTTTACAGGCCAAGCCGTGCCCGCCCCCACCGGGGCTCCCCCGGGCGGGCAGCCCGATTACAGCGCGGCGTGGGCCGAGTATTACCGACAACAAGCAGCTTACTACGCGCAGAGCAGCCCGCAGGGGATGCCTCAACACCCTCCAGCGCCACAGGTACAGTGTCCCAGTGTTTTCTACCCGCTGATCCTTTCACACAGGTGTTTGGTTTGGTTTTTTTTTTGCATGTCTCTTGCTCTCTGTCCCTTCAGAGTGTGCATCTTTTATTTTGTTTTTTTTTCTCTAGCCAAGTAGCTCTCAGAGTAAATTAATTAATAAGATAACTTTGTTTACCTGGTAACTTTGTATGTTTGGTGATTATGTTTTGGGGGGGTTGTTTGGTTTTTTTCGTTTTCTTTTTAAAAAAAAAAAAAAAGGAAAAACTTTCTCCTCCTCCCAGGGTTTTGAAAACCATGCAAGAAGCCACCACCATTTACATTAACCAATTTTTCTTTCTTAAAGGCTTCACTCCTGAGTTAGCTCGATTTCAAGGATTTTCTTTAACTTTTTGTGTATCTCTTATGTATTTCTTCTGCACAGGGCCAATAATAAGAAGTGGACAATACAGTATTTGCTTCATTGTGTGGGGGAAAAAACCTTTGTTAAATGTATGGATGCAGACGCCTTGATGAAGATCTTAATTTTGGTTAAAAAAAAAAAATAGTGTTTTTGAAAATGTACAAAATATCTATCACTACTGATAGGAGGTAATATTTCTGTGTAGAAATGAAAACAACAACAAAAAAAAATGGTTTGTTTTTAGTATTAGTGTAGATGTACACATTCCAGCAAATGTATTTGCAATTATGTGGTCAATGCTTTGTGATATAAATGTACTTTTTCAATGTATACTTTATCACTTTTAAAATGCCTGTTTTGTGCTTTACAATAAATAATCTGAAACCTCCTGTGTCGGTAAGTTGGATATGTGGGTGTTGCAGAGTCATAGGATTGATTTGCAACGCTGACTCAAGGTACCTGTCCACAAATGAGTTGTTTTTTTTTCCCCCTCTGGTGAGACCTGGTGGAGTTTAAAGCTTGTCATTAGCATGTTTTTCCCCTCTTGCACAATAGTTGTAGATGGAGGATCTCTCTCATTCGTTGTATATTGCTGCCTAGCACCAGTAATCTTGATACCTTAATTTTCTTTCTATTTGATTCCAAGTGCATGTGTTTCAGAAGGTGATCTTTTGGCAAACTTGCATTGCATTAACAGTGACATTTCCTTTGTCCATGACCACTGTTTCAGACCTGTGCAGCTGCTGTAACAGATAACTCTTGTTTTTTAACGAGTACTGCAAAACTGTTCCTGCATAACTGTTTGATGGATTTTTTCAGACTAGTTATAAAACTGACTTTTAAGTGTAATGTGCTTAAGCCTTCAGTTTAAAGTAGTCCACTTTGAATGCAGTGTAGAAAGTCAATGTGGTTTGCATAGCAGATAGAAAATTGCTCTGTCCTCGAAACGCTGTTTTGTCGGTGGGAGTGGTTGAGAACTTCCTGCAGAGCAGATAACTTCTGGTTTTGTAAATATTCAACTATTTTGAATCGACTGATTATTTTTTTTTATATATATATATCTCCTTGCAACTTCTTATTGCTCTAATGCTCGTTGTGACAAGCTCTGTTTGCTCTTTGCATTTGTGAGATTTGTGCACTACAGCCTGTCTTGCATTGTCTGTTGGAGTGCAGGTGATCCAGCCAGTGTAGCACTAGCTCTGTAGGGGTGAGGAGGACTGTGCTGTGTTATCACCCTTGAGTGTTCCTTCAAGGAGCATTGCACTGTAAGTACATCAGAATGACAAATGGATGAACTGCAACAGTATCTTTTTGTCAATTATGTTCCACATAATGCAAAATGTACTTGTGTGATATTATGTTGGAATACAGTGCTGATAATCTTAGGAACTCCTAATTGCTTCTTCGTTCACAAACGTAGCTTTGCTTATCTCTCTCTTATATATATATACATACACATAATATGAGTTTTGTGGGTAAGTATTCCTGAAACTTTTAGCACTAGCTAAAGAAAATCATGTTTCTGTTTCTCTGAGTAATAGCTTTTCTCATTAGTACTCCTGAGACAGCTGTCATTCAGTGTTTTTAAAGTTTGCATATCGTAACATTGAAGTCTTTGGAACCACTTGTTAGCCAGAAGTTGTCTTTGTCTTCAGCCAGTTTGTGGATATGTAGTGATGTAGGTATGTTTTAAATAATTCTATAACTGTTAATTGCTTAATTTTTTTTTTTTTTTTTTTGGAACACCATGTTGTTGCTTTGAGAATTAAATTTTTTAGGGTGGCTGCACAGAGAAGTAAAAGTTAAGGCTTGAAAACTGAAGTAGTTTATTCAGGTAATCAGCAATGTATGTATTGTGCTGTAGAAATAGAAGGAATTATTTTTATCCCTTTTAAAAGTAGGAATTATGCTGGTAGCTTGAAAAAGGCTAGGACAGTATTTGCTATCTTTAGTGTAGGGCATTAAGTTAATTAGTTCAGGTATTTTGCATGGTATTTTGTAGATAACCTTACAGAATGGTGCATTTATTATGTACTAAACTGAGCAAAAATTAAATTCACTGGATTCTTTATCAGTCACAAAATGGAGGCTGTTGATTTTGATTCATTTAAGGTATAAAATCTTTATTAATTGCAAACAGTGCAATTATTTATACTTCACAGTGCCTTCCCAGACCTTCCACCTTAGGTTCTGCTGCAAAAAAGCAACAGGTAAGCACAACCTAAGGAAGTATATAAATTAATCTATTTCAGTACATTAATGTTGTCCCTGTGAGATCTTTGTGGTTGTGTATTGAAAAGCAATCTGCTGCTTCCCCAAATGCATTGTTACTCACGGTTCCATTTCAGTGGAAAGTCTTAAGTTTTTAAACAACTGTTTCTATTTCTAGGTAAATATGTATTTTTTTCTTTTTTATGTTTTTTTTTTTTTTTTTTAGAAAAGATTATTAGATTGCAGTAATTGAACTTGATCAGAATAAGTAATTTTGGTTATTTTTCCTCAAATAGCTCTAATTGTTGCAATTAAAGAATCAAAACCTTTTCAAATATGCAGGAATTACTTTGGTTAGAAATGTCAACAGCCTTCACAAATGTTTTTATAGTAGGGCAATTCCCATTTACAATTCCCATGAAAGCCGTAAGAGCTCCTGTACAGAATCTGATGCTGTTGCTGTCACTGCCTCTGACCTGTGTTGCAGTGGTAGTGGGACCTGGAGATAACTCAGTGTGCTCGTTCCTGCCACGGTAGGACAGCAGATGCTGCAGGGTGAGCTCAGCACGCTGAGCTGAACGAGCACCACTGACACGTGAAAGTACAGCAAGTATTGCATTGCTCTGGCAGTCAGTGTATCCTGTTTGACACTTTACTGAATTGCTGTATATTTGATAGTATAAAATGTTATATGTCTTACAGATGGTCTGGTACAGGCTTTTGTTTTCAGTTTTTGTTGTTGGTTTTCCTTTTTTTTTTTTTTTTAAGCTTAACACGAAGCAGCATCTTTGGTTTTTTTCGTTCATGATTCTGTTTCTAAAATGTGCTGCTCCTCTTTCAAAAGTCCTGCTTATCTGTACATCCAAGAAAAGCATTCAAAAACCCTGCCTTCATTTTCACACACAGTGCTGAAGATGCTGCAAGCACCCAGTGCTAGCTCATAGACTCAGGTGCTGAGATAGTGAGAGGAACCTTTGAGTGTTTGGGGCAGCCGATGAGCATGGACCGTACAGGGGCTCCATGTGCAAGGTAACAGTGGCACAAATGACAGATCTGCAATGTCTCCCATGTGATGGGGCAGGGTGTAAGTCTGGGTTTGATCACTGCTCATTCTCTGAAGTATTCTTTGTTTGACCATAAATGTTCCATAATCTGTTACTTTAACTGTGATTGAATAATATAAACCATCTATTTCACGTTATATTCTTCTAAACAGCCAAGTTAATTTTGGAACTAAATTAAAAGTTGTGCTTCAGTTTCTCAAGCCACTTAGTTATTTCATCTGTAGTTTAACATGTTAACTTCATTTTTGACATGAGAAAAGGTTAGGGTGTGTTCCATTGAGGTTTTGATACTGTGAATTTAGTGTGGGGATGAGCCATTTGTTCACTTCCTTTTTACGTGGTACTTTTCTCTTCCACTGTTGCTCCTCAAGTCCCTTGCCCAGCCTCTCAGCTGTTAATTTAGGCTGTGGGAGGAGATAGAGAAGCAGCAGCCGGTGGGCTGGATGTTGGTGCTGTGTGCAAGGTGGGATGTTCTGGTGTGCAGGGTTTGGGGGGTGTGACTTGCAGCTCTCACTGCTGGCCTTAGACATGTTGGTTTGTGCTGAGATAGTGTTCACTTTTCACCTCTGTCTCCAAACTCGGAGTTCTTGGGAGAACAGCAGATGGTTGGAGCTCTCCAGTAGCCAGAAAGGTAACTGGACTTGTTAGAAATGCAGTGAACTTGGCCAGGAGGCCTCTTGAAGTGTTGCCCACTTAGCCCAGCCCCCCTTTAGAGCCCCCCAGGTTGAGCAGCAGGTGAGGAGAGGGAGGAGCTGCAAAAGCCAGCAGGGTGTTCAGTAGGAATTGTGTCACTCGCTGCAGCCTGTACTCCATTAGCACAGAAACCACAACAGCAGGCAGATGATCTTCAGGGTAGCTGGATCATCAGCCATCTGTGGCACTTGTCCAGGCAGACAGATCGTGATTCACTTGCACAGCCTAACCTTGAGGTATTTCATCTGTTTCTGGTGGTATTTTATTGGATGGTAGAAGCTGTTTCTCCCCTGTTCTCTTCCAGAGTAACTCTTTTAAGTTTTCCATTGCATGCTAAAAGCTCTTTATTTTGCTTTTTTCCTGGAAGCTGGGGGGAGGAAGGGATGCCTGGGCTTTTCAGCAAGCATACAATTGCCAGGATCCCCTCTTCCCTAGTATAGCTAGCTTGTGAAACTCTTATGTGTGCCCAAATATTTCTCTTGCGTGCATGTGAATGCCTTTTCGTCCTGAGAAAAGTGTTCTCTGCAGAAACTACCCGTGTGTAAAACGAAGATTGGCTTAAAAAGGCAACTGTGATGGGAACAGTGTCTTAGGGAGATGCAGCTTGGACTTGAGGTAAATTGAATGCTTTACAAAAATGTGGTTTTGAGCTTGCATTGACATTGTATGTAATATGGGTACACATTAACTGTATAATGGCTTTTGTATGGTTTTTTTCTCAATAAATGTAAACTGATGGATAATAATAGCAATGGTTTTGTCTTCTTTATGCTCCTGTCCCTGCCTGTGTTAGTTTGAAATAACAGCTTCAGAGGGGAAATGTTGCAGCACCTGGTGCTCGAGTGCATGGGCATCACCCATGTGAAATGAGGGACGGTCTGGTTAAATGGCCCGTGGGGGAAATACCAATGGAAAACTTGGGGCCATTTTTTATCGAGGCAGAAGTGAATTCCAGTAGGGAACAGCCCAGAGAGCAGCAGGTTCTGCCACAGGGAGATTTCCTTTTGAAGTGACTGCAGAACTTTCATTTACTGCAGCTTGCCTTGGCTTTGTCAAGGCTGTGCACACGTCCTGTCATTTCAAATGTGATGGTTTTTTGGTAAAGTTGCTCCTAAAGAAGCTGAATCAGGGTCAGATGGTGATGGCACAGTGACATGGATGTTGATGTCAGGAGGGGTCAGAGAAAAACAGTCCAGTGGCCTCGAGACAATGTTTAGAGATGGGGCAGTAAAGTCATTGCATTAAGATTATAAACAGGCACTTTCTGACAAGATTTTTTAAGCTTGTTTCTTTAAACTTAAAATCTGAGCCAGTCATAAATGTCACCAGCCGTCCCTGCATCCTTTAATCAGTGAGAAAAGCAGCAGTTTTCCAAGACAGTGTTGGTATTGTGAGGACCACAACACACCTGAGGGAGATGTTGTGCTGCAGGATTATCATCTGCACAGGCTGGGCAGGGCACAGCACGTTAAGTGCAAGCCCATTTTGAAACAAGTAATTCTCTTTGGAAAGTGGTGAGCACTTGGGTGATCTTTAATTCTTTAAAAACAGTGCACTTGGGTGTCTGACCATCATCAGTAAACATTTCCTTTTGCCAGTTCAGTGCCTGTGGGATAAAGAGCTGAAATATTCAGTGCTCATGCAGAATGTCCCAACACACTGACACCAGGACACAGAGTTCCAGCTGCTTATTCAGTTTATTCTCTTAGGCAGCAGTTGGTCTTTACTGGGGGAGCACTATTTTAATTCAGCTTTCTCCTTTGTTGATCTTTCATACATTGATTTTTTTTTTTTAGCCTTTAAAACTGATTTTTGCCTCGAAGGGAATCCAGACACACTCATAATTTGCAGGTTATTGTGATGCAGGAATGACAAATAATTGCATATCCTTTTCTTTAGTTGGCCCCATCAGAGAGAGAGATGATGCAGTAAGAAGGTTGAGGGGAAGAAAGATTCCAGCTAAGGTAGAGCATTAGTAGTCATCAGCTAGAAAATACAAGAAGGGTTCAGAGAAAAAGGTAATTAGGTTTTGGTAACAGGAAAGATGCAAAGAAGACAGAATTGGGCAGATGAAAATGCTAACTCTTACTTTCAATGGTGAGGATGCAGGTGCTGGCAGCTGAGCCTCTGTTGTTGACAGCTTTGCACATGTATTCCCCTTCATCCTCTGGGAAGGTTTCTGGCAGGTAAAGGCAGTAGGTTTCTCCTCTCTCAATGTACTGATAGTCCTCAGAGTCCTGCAGCATCTCCCCCTCAAACCACCACGTCACTTCAGGCTTTGGCTCTCCGGTGATTTTCACTGTAAATCTCACTGGCTCGCCATCGACAACAGACGTGTTTTTCAGGGACTTCTTGAACCAGGGAGCTCCAGATCGAGCTTGATCCTCCTCATCTTCACAAGCAGAACCGTTAATGATGCTTCCCTCTTCATCTTCCTCCTCTTCTCTTTTCTGTTTTGAAACAAGCTGGTTTAGAACATTGAAGTGGCAGTAGCAGTGTGAGTGCCAGTGAGGCACATCTGGTCACAGGTCATGGTGCTTGGGAGCAGGGGCAGTGCCACCCTATCTTTGCATGTCTTGATCTCCTCTGGAAGTGCTCCAGGCCAGGCTGGGCGATTTGAGCAGCCTGGTCTGCTGAGAGGAGTCCCTGCCCATGTCAATGGTCAGAAATCCAGGATCTTTAAGGTCCCTTCCAACCCAAACCTTGTATTTAACCCCATGAAGGGTAAACACCAAATGCAATTTTCTGTTATTTATGTTACCTCAGCAATTCCCAGCACTGCTAAAACAAGTAAAAGGCTCCTTTTGTGTCTGGTAGTGCTGTCATCAGTGTTAATCAATCAGAAGCACAGGTAAATGCCAGCTGGGGCTGAGCAATGTGTACCTTCTGTAGGGCTGCATCGATCTCCTTCTGCTCGAACTGCATGCGCAGGAGTTTCTGCTCCTCGATCCTCCTCTGCTCCTCCTCCTGCCGCGCCCGCGCCATCTGCTCGAAACGGGCCCTCATGTTCACCTTGTGAGTGAAGGGAGCCTCGCATTTCTTGGCCGGTCTCACATCTACGTCGTCCTCCTTGGGAAGGAAACGTTAAAACAGGACTCATTTACCACCTGGGACGTGTGTGTGATGGTAACACTGATCTGGTGTTCCCTCAGTGCTTTTTGACTGAGAAAAGCCACACAAAATCCTGGCTTTCCTCAGGTTTGTTTAATGGTGGGTCTAAAGTCATCATAGTTTATCTCAGGGATAGGGCAAAATACTTGCAGAATTAATTTCAAAAATGATAGATAGAAAATACTCCTGAAGTTTTATTCATAAAGAAGTTTAATACTTTGTGGCAGTGGTAAATCCTCAGTGGTTTACACCATGGTGGTGGTGTGGGTTCAACCCCTCAGGCTGATCTTACAGAAACAATTGGTGTCAATCCCTAAATTAAAAGCTCAGAACTAAAAGGCTGTGAGTGCTGTGAGAGGGGCTGAGGCTCAGGTCAGGAGTGCTGCTGGTCCAGGGTTGTTCAGGATCCTGAACTGCCCCGTGGTTGTGGCAGGAAAGCTCCCAGGGGGCTCTTGGGTCAGGGACCATTGTGTGATTGTTTAGGCTGAGGGCTCCAATCCTTGGTTTTTTTAAAGTGTGAGGTTCCAGCCTGGCATCCTCCTGTGCTCTACCCTGAGGAGAGAGTGAACCTGAGGAAAAGGCTGCAGATGGGTTGTTTGGGTTGGGTAGTGGGTTTGATTTAATTCATCCAGTGGGGAAGGAATCAGAGCTCAGAAGAAGAAGCAGTTGGAGTGGTAATGGCTGATCCTCAGGCAGGAACGTGCTCAGCCCCCAGGCTGGCAGGTTGCAGGTTAAGATGGTGAATTGAGGATTTGGGGCAGAAAAGCAGGTGCTGTTCCCTTGAGGGGTGCTGGCTGAGATGCCCTCAAGCACCCAAGGAGGGAACAGGAAAGAAGGGAAAACATAATTTTAGAATATATACCAAAGTTTGATGAAAGCAGCAGCGTGGTCCCTCCTGGATCCTCAGCGTGCTGGGCAGTGAAATCATTGACACACACACAGTCCAACTCACCTCTTGGAATTTCTCAGCTTCCCTTTCTCTTATCTCTTCATCCATTGCTCTTCTCTTTGCTCTCTCCTCCTCAATCTTCTTCTGTATTTCTGCTTGAGACAGCTGCCCTATTTTCTCAAACTTGCTTTTCAGGTTCTTTGCCTGAATAGAACCACTTCTTTTTAGCTTGATCAGTTCTTCGTATTCTTTGCTCAGCTCAAAAGTTTCACACTCCTCTTCCAGCTGTTCAGAGATCACACAATGTGTAATTATTTTTACTGCCCATTCTCCCCCAGAAAGGTGTCACTTAAAGCACTGCAGTTCTCCTGGTTACTGAAATCAGCAGAGACTTTTCCCTGGAATGTTCCTGTCCTCCCTGTTCTCAGGATGCCTCCATTTGTGTCTGAGTGCTCAGAAAACCAGACACCAGTAGGAAAAACTGAGTAACCCAGGATCCAGAAATTCACCTTTATACTTGCAATATGATGTGAAATAATCTTCTAAAACACAGCTATTTTGTTCATAAAATTATTCCTTTTTTTTTCTTTTAATTCAGTAAAAAGCAAATGACATTTCAGGATGTCATGGCTGGAAGAGAAGGGGCAGCTCTGGGTCCTGTAGTCAAGCCATGTATGAAGCTGTAATTAATTACTGATATTTTCCTCCCTCCTTTTGTGACCTGTGGCTGATGGTAAAGGTGTATTTTAGCTGGATGTCCCTGGCCCTCCCTTCTTCCCCAGGATTGCTTTGGGAACATCACAAGCCACAGCCTTTATTACTCACTTGAGCTTTGCTTAACAAAAAAAAAATTATGTCCTTGAACATTCCATAGGGAATAATAAAGAATCGCCACCCACAGCCAAATTGAAGTGTAAAGTTCATTTGGAACTAAAAACATTTGGAATGTCAAGCAAATTGTGTGATTTTTAGTCAGCTTCAAACAGTCTTCAAAGCCCGGACACACCAAGGAGGAAGAGCCCTCTGTGTTTCTTTCCTCATTAGTTAATACAGTATTTCCCTGAGGAAAAGCAGGATTTTTTGCTCTTCCCTACCTTTATTTTTGTATTTTCATTTGGGAACTAGAGATTTCTGTTCTCCCAATCCAGTAAATATTGTCTAATTGCTTTAGTAATACTCTATGGAGATTTCCAGAAGTGACTGGAAAATAAAATTACAGATTTGAAACTGTGTTTTACTTTGAGAGTGGCAAGAGATAAAAACATTCCCCTGGTTAGATTAGTGATAAAAGTATGCCATTATCATTATATCCAGTGTTTTCAAAAGCTGGGTCTCTATTTCTCCTTCTTCTCACATAATATTGAGCATGTCTATTGAACATTTCCCTTAAAGGGGTTTTTAGGTACACTCTTAACCTGAGATTTTAATAATTACTAATCAGACCCAACCTGTTGTTGGGTGTACAAACCTCTCCCATTTCCTGCCTCAGCTGTTGGAATTCCTGCCTCTCCAGCTCCAGCTTTTGCCGACGCTCCTCCTCGGTGCGTCTCTTCTCCTCTTCCATCTTCTGTCTCAGCAGCTCCTCAAAGTTGATTTCCAGTTTCCCAGGCACGAGGGACTCTTGAGAGAATGTTTTAAACATTTCTGGTGATTCCTCATCCAGCACCTGCAGGGGATGCAGAGCATTGGTGAGCCCTGTGCTGGAACCACAGCACTGCTCAGACACTGCCGGTACCTGCAGGTACCCAGAGATCTCAAACATTTACTGCCTGCTGCTGCTGCTGATGCCATCCCAGTTCATATCCCTGCCTTGGCCTGCTTTGCCCACAGCCTCTTTATTTGCCACAGCTCTTTCAGCAGTTTTTTAGCCCAGTGCCACTCAAATCCTGCTGTTCACTGGGGGCACCCTCCAGACTTTCCCTCTGAGTAATTTTCCAGCCCCACCATTCCTCCCATTCCTCCTTTGGTTTGTGTGATATCAGCACATCTGGTGAAATTGTGTTATGGAAAAGTGAAGTCTGAAAACAAAGCTGTAAACTATTTAATGAAAAATCCCAGTTTGCAGCAAGTAAGTCCCTGAAAATTTGTCTTCAGGATCATCTGAATTCAAACTTCAGGAGTCCTTGCATGTCCCAGAGCTCTGCGTTTGTCTAAGGGAGACCCAGATTAAAGTTGCTCTGATGGGAAATGCCACAGGTTCCTTTTTGTGCTGAAATGCTTTAAGAGCTGCATTTCAATTAGCTGGGTTCAGCCTTTCCTCATTTCCCCTTCCCAAAGAGCCCCAGGTGACTGGATAATTCACTGGTGGGACTGGTGTGCCATTAATTGTGCTTTAGCTGTAAGGGGTGATTGGTGGACACTTGTAAAGGTGTGGAGAGAAACCTGGAGCTGTTGAAAGAATTGCTCTTTTCCCCCCCAAAAAAAAAACAAACCAACAAACCCTTCTAGTGAAAACATTCTGCTTTCCAAGTTTGTTGCATAGGAACAGCCACTGGATGGGATGTCTGGGTTGGATAAATGAGCTGGAATCCTCTCCAGGCTTGGTGAGAGAAGGGATTGTCCTGTGAGGGTTTGGGGTGAATGAACTTGCTTAGTTACCCCCTGACCTTCTAATTAGTGGGGAGGTGAAGTAATGAACGAAGGGGCTGAAGCACCCATTGCTAACTCTGTTTAAAGCTTTTAAAGCCTTCCTTGCAGTTAGTGGGAATGTCAGGTAAATGATGAGGTCATTGCCATACCATGTTCCTCCTGGCCTCAGCAAACGCCCTCTTCTCCTCCTCCATGCGGCGTTTTGCTTCCTCCTCTGCTCTCCTCTTCTCCTCCTCCCTCCTCTGCCTTTCCAGCTCCTCAAAACTCAGTCTCAGTTTCCCAGGGCGGAATTCCGGAACGGAATTTTCGGAGTCTTCATCGCCACCTTCGTTTACCTGCAGAGAAGGGGGAGAGGAAAAAAAGAAGGGATTTACCCAAACAGAAAAACTTTCTCTGTAGTAAATAAATACTCCAGTAATTCCTTTCTGAGCTCTTATAAATGATATATTGTTTCCTCCCGGAGGAAAAAATATATCAAGAGTTTGGTTCCTGAGAGAAACATTTCAGTCTTGGTTTTAGCCAGGGGAGGGAGAAGGGATATTTTCAGTGCCCTGTTTGGAGTTCTCAACAACCTGTTGGGTGTGTAATTCACAGTAATTCACAGCAGTGTGTTCTCAGGAAAGGCTGCACAGTTAAGCACTTACTTCGTGGTCTCAAGGTTGGATCTTTACTGTAAATCACTCCCTATTCAATTTATTTACATCACTTTCATAGACTTTCTATCATCAAGTTTTTTGTTGGCATAGAAATTGTTCTCAGCAGTGCACCAGTTGAAAAAATGCTGTAGAGTCTTATAGAAAACCTGAGTCAATTAATTAACACTTTGCTGTTATTCCAGATTGAGATTTTTATTTCTTTTCTTTTTAGGCATTTAATCACCACTGAAGAAAGGGAAGTGAGATGCTGGGATCTCTTCACTGTAGCTTGTCTCCAGTGAACACACCTGCTAAGAGGAGCCTGTGGTTTGCAAACTGCAGTCAAGGACAAAAGACCAAACTCCTTTCAGAGACACCCCAGAGTACCTGGGAAAAACTTGTACTTCGAACTTTGGACAAACACTGCATAGCAGATGAAGCTGCATGTTAGAAGATTTCTTTTGATGCAGCCGATTTGTTCATTGTTTTATATTACTTGGTAAATAAAAGCATGTCCAGGAGGGTGGGAGGTGGGAACTGCACCTCAGTTAGAACAGCTCCGTGCCTTCAAGGGCACTCTATGTCATTTTCTCCTCCTTTGCTGCCCAACCCCAAACAAAAAGAAAAAGGTGCATTGTTGACATAAAGAGAATGTCAGTGGTGTGAAAAAGTGAAGGTGGAGGTGAAACAGTAAACTACAATTTGGGTATCTGCCCAAACCTAGAACCCTCTCAGTGTGGACCAGCTGAGAATTTCTGTGTTTCAGCTTTCTGGAGGTTCTGTGGTGTTGGTTTTGTTTGGGTTTGTTTCTGTAGAATACACATTTCTTGAATGTTTATATAATATAGTGATCTTGATCTGCTTGTCTAAGAATGTCCATTCATAACTGCAGTCTGTTGAAGTTAGCAAAGTCCTATCAAATAATATTGTCTAACTTTCTGTGGAAGATTAAAACCTCATTTCTTGTTAATCTTGTTTGTGTGTGAATGAACAAAGTCCCAGTGATCATGACTGTACATTATGTCAATGTATACAAGGGAGCTGAGCTGTCTTTTTTACCCTTTCTTCCTCAGAGGAGAGTTGTAATCAACGTTTCTTTCTGTCATGTTTACAAATAAACACGGGAATAAAAACCAGGATTCTGTTATGTTTGCCTCAAAAACTGGTCACTGAAACATCTGCAGCACTATTTGGGAACAAAACAGGCAGCCGGGAACCTTTGTGAAGCTGAGGGCACCACAAAGTGCAGATACAAAGTGAAAGCTCCTGTCTCTTTGGGGTCACTGAAGGGGTGGCCCCAAATGCACCCTGCCCAAAGGCATTGTCAGAGTGCTGAGAGCCCCCCGTGCAGTCAGGGGGTGGGAGAGCAGCTGTGCTGTCTGGGGCAGAGCTGCACTCACCGCTCCCTGCAGGGCTCGTCTCTCCTGCTGCCGCCGCTGCCGCGCCTGCTGCTCCGCCCGCCGCCTCTGCTGCTCCTGCCGCTGCCGCTCCAGCTCCTCGAACGTCACCCGCAGCTTGCCGGGGGACACAGCCTCGGGGGCGTCACTGCTGCCATCCTCACCCTGTGCGAGGCAATGAGACATTGGGTCTGCAGCCGGTCAATGCCCTTATTCGGGTGGTTTGGGATGGGGGGATTACCGTGACAAACGACAGGAGTTGGGTTTCATTCTTCATCTCTTCCTCCGGGGTCTGTCTCTGTTCTGCTCTCTCCTCTCCTGTGTTCTCACAGTTGATTTTCATCTTCCCAGGTGTCTTGGTGGGTTTCACAGGCACTACTGTAACTAGCAGTGAATCATCCCCTTCCTGTCCAGGCAGATATTTATTATATTTTCAGGGAGCTCGACTTCTAAATAAACTCATTTCTTAATGGAACTGCTGTTGTAAGCTGTGAGCACCAAAGCTTCCAGGAGACTGAGCATCCACCACAAGAATAAATCCCACTGCCTGAGGCACTCACTGCTTTCCTTGTAACAGCTGAGGAGTGTCGAGACTGAGTTATGCTTTCAACACAACTGCTGGGAAACACCTGAATCTCTTTACACATTTCCATTAACTGTTAGTTACAAAAACTGACGGAAAAGGACAGGTGTAATTTGGAACACACAGCAGTTGTAATCACACTCCACCTGCAGTCTGAGCATTTCCCATGCAAAGGACACGCTGGCTGGAACGAGCCAGTGGCTCTGGAGAGCAATCTGTAATTTCTCAGGCACAGTAATCGTTTTCTGAAGGAAGTTACTGATTCAAAGCTGGTTTTACAGCTTGCCAAAATACATTTTACCTTTTTTTGTTGTTGTTTTTTCCACAAAATGCCACGATTAACAGGGACACTGGCAAATAAGTTGAAGTGAATGGATTTTGGGGGGTGTTTTTTTTCTTTCCCAAACTGTAGTAGGAGTGTGATTTTCTTGTGTTAGTGAAAGACAATAGGACTTTGGACCCAGCTTTTTGAAATTAAACATTTATGTTCAAGACTTAAAATCCAAATGGTAAATTATTCAATTTAAAAAAAAAAAAAAAGGTTAACTGAGTGATGTGTTCAAACATCTGTATGTTGTCAGAAGCCCCTTTTAATTTCAAGTTTAAGGCAAAGAGCTTTTAAGATGATTCTTTCCAAAGCCAGAGGACTTAGAGTATCATTACCAGTGAATATTGACATTTTAGATGTTTTTAACTACCCACAAAGCATCCACAGTGCAGGCTCTATTTCAAACTTCAATATATTGATTTCCAGTGCAGACATACAGTTCCATATACTCTAAATATCTGTTAGCTCCTTGGCTGAACTTTAAGTAGGTATTTGTGTGCCCTTTTCGAAGTTTTCCCCACCCAAATTACAATAATAGAACAAAAGTGAATAAAAATGTAGGTGAACATTTCTTTAAAAAAAATCTGATTACCTCAGCTGCTGAGTCAGTCCCCGAATTGGTAAAGTCACCAATCTATTAAATGAGAATTTCACATGATTACATTGCTTTGGCTCTTTGCCTTAAGAGAGTTTGCAAACACAGAACTGGAGATTCTTTCTGTATCAGAGAGATGAAGGCAGCACTTCAATTCAGAGGTGATGATAACCACGCTGAACCTTTGCTGGAATGCTTCAGGTGAGTTTGGCTCGTGGGGGGAGAGGCAAAGTGACATCAAACACCTTGCAGAGAGTGTGCTAAAGCATCTTAGCAGCTCGGGGCTCAACTGAGAAATGGTTTTGAGATGGGCAGTCTTCAGAATTGTGTAAAACACAAAACAACAAAAGCAAACAACGGCAAAACCCACCCAAGCAAACAAAAAAGCAAACAGAAGTAGAGCAAGCCCGGGGAGTGTTTGTGATGTCCGGGGCAGTGTCTACCCCTCAAAAAGCCAAATGTTGTGTATGCCTGGGACATAACTGTCTGGAACTCCACATGGGTGTGTTCTGCCTTGCAGGGGAGATTAAATCTATGGTAGATACATTGCCAGTTAAAAGCACAGCTGTAACAATGTTAAAAGCCTTAGTAGAAAGGACTATCTGAAAACTGCCTCCTGGTTTTCATTTCTCAGAACAAATCCCAACCTGAATCAAGTATGACTGTGGTTTGGTTAAATGGAAATCCACCCGTGTTTTTAGGGTACCATGTGGATGTTCACTCTCACTGCAGCGTTCATAGCACTGCAATCAGCTTGCAAAAGGATTTACTGTGACACCCACTTACTGAATTCTACACAAGACAGAGTTTGCTTTACTGGCATCGACAAAACTTGCAGTCTGTTCATATATATGCAATGATGATTCACTAAGTGGCAGAGGAATAAAAAGTTCTGGATCTTCATGATTTATGATTTTTACTGCATTAATGTCCTCTCATTTTTGTCTGCCAGTGGCATTTTCTTACTGCTTCTTGCTTGCCTCAGTTCGTGTATCACTGAACTGTATTCACTAAGCTGCAAGCAAGAGTTGCCTAAGTAAGGGTTGGGAAAATAAAAGCAATATTTTAAAATTAATTTAGCAAACTCTGTAAACTCTTGTTTGCATAGGACACCGAAATTTGTGCCTGATTCCTACCACATTTTTGCCTCCCTGGTTTCATCTATAACTCAATTTTACAGCTTAACAAAAAGATTTCCTCTAAAGAAGTGAAGAGCCTCTGAACATTATTTCCCACTTCCACCCCACTGAGCATCTCCCACGTAAATCACTACTGTCAGAAATCTTAAGACTGAATCTTTCTGATCAATACAAAACTTCCTTTCGTGGCTATTGCTCCCCACCTCTCCTGACTGCTGTGGTCACATCCACTTACCTCCTGTGCTTTCTTGGCCAGTTCTCTCTGGATTTTTCTTCTCTCAATCAGATCTTGTTCCAGTCTGCGCTTTCTCTCCTCTTCCGTCCTTTTCCTTTCTTCTTCTTGCCTTTGCTTCTCCATTTCTTCAAACTTGCCTTTAACAGTTCCTGGGGGTGTGAAACACATTGATAAATACTTTCATTACTACTTATCTGGTGAATTATGGGGCCTTTAAAGCCTGGCCTCTCTTACCTATTAGTTTTGGGACATAACCTTTTTCTGCTTTGGATGGTTTGGTGTCATCGTCTTCATCAGAAGCCAGCAGCTCTTTCATCTGGTTGATGAAACACAGCAAGTGAACTGTCTTTATAACTTCAATAAAACCCCAATATTACTGAATAGATTTTTCAGATAGAACATCAAATATTCAAAACAACACAAAATATTAGCAAAGAAAATGACCTCCTGCTTTCTCCTGTTCCATTCTCTCTCTCTAACATATTGTTCTTTTCTTCTTTGCTTTTCATCTCTAGATCTCCTTTGATTTCTTTCTTCCCTTGCTTTCTGCATAGCTTCAAATTTGTCCTTCACATCCCCCTTGTGAAGCTTGGGCACATAGGACTTTGGGACGGGTTTAGATGAAGAGAGCAGAATCTTGGTGAAGATAGAGAAGAAATGAAGATAAGAAAAAAAAAAAAGAAAAAGAAAGTTGAAGCAGATGGACAGAAATATTCAGAGAGATCGGATTAGGAAGAATGTGAGAACGTAAAACAGGAGTGCAGTTGGTATCAGGAACTTTGTGCCATGAGCCATCATCAGTTCAGCCATAAATAGCAATAAATGCTAAAATAACCAAAGCAGCATTTAGCATTACATTAAACTTAGGCTAAAAGTAATTGCAAGGAACAGCTGCAAAACTAAGGGTATGAACTGTGTGAATTCTCAGTTATTGTGCCTTTAAACATTAATTACAGATTTATATTGTTGCTTTCAATCACAAGCAGCCACCAAAATCCCCTCTGCCCCCAACACTTAAAACAGAGATCAAGTCATAGATGAATAATCCAATATCTATGGGGGGTTCTGCAACACTTCAACAGCCATATATAGTTTTTCCATAAATAGCAGCATTTCTTAATTTAAAACTTCCAATTACATGTTTAATAACATTTAAACAGAGAATCCCAGCGATTTTGTGTCACAGAGTGCAAAGATTGCAGGACTCTGATACTGACACAGCAAATGCACATTCCTGTGCCAGTGCTGCTCTCTGGGAGCCCAAACAGCAAGAGGAGTTCCCACTTCTCAGAACTGCTGGGAAGTTTTCTCTTTTTACAGTGGTGATGACAGGAATGCTCTCAATAAAGCAAAAATACCGAGAAACCTGGCTGAAAACATGCCATGTTTCATATTTTTTCACCTTTCCCCAGGTGAAATGTTGTCCAGAATTTCCCCACCAACACTGCAAGTTTCTTTTATATTTTGTTGCCTTTATTTTGCCTTCCTCCTGCATGTTTTTCTGATAACAGTAAGGACATAACTCACAGCCTCTATCAAATCTTAGGTTAGTTAAAAATCCCCTTCCACTGTCTTAAAATAACAGCAACAGCAGCAGACTTCCACTATAATCACCTATTACATTTTTTTTTGATAATTACTATTTTTGCAAGCATCAGTAGTAAATTATTGCATGGTTTGACCCCTTTGAAATTGGTACATACCTCGGTTTTCTGTGCAATGTCATTCATGGTTACTGCTTTGTGCTCTGCACCCGGGGTGTTTTAGGATTGCTTTCAGATCCTACCTGAAAGAAACAGTTGTAGTTATATTCCTTCCTTTTTCCTTTTTAAACCATGCTTGGACCATCTTCCTGTAAATAAGGTTGCCCAGGCTGAAATCAGTGTATCACAGTTTCACTTTTGGTCCTTGGAGGCTTTGGAAGGCATGAATAGGTTCTAAGTCTGCCCCAGGAATTAAAAGAACAAGCTTATGATTCACTATTCATGCTCATAACTCCTCTATATAGTCCCAGATATTGGGGTTGAATTTCCACCTAAAAAACAGCAGCTCAGAGCCAAGCTCTGGCTGCCCTGGGGGGGGTTGCAAAACTGCAACCAAGGAAAAGTAACTTCTTAAAGGAAGGGACTGCTCATTTGTGGCTTGGAGGAACTGGAGTCAGGGATTTCACGGTATGGAAGTTCTTAAATTTCCATAATTCTTAGTAGTTCTTAGTTAAATTCTTAGTAGTTCTTATTCTTCGAGTTTTCTAATTCTGAATTAACAAGCAGATTGTGAAGGTGGAAATTTCGATGTGGTTTTAAAAAGAATTAATGGTAAGGGTTCTTTTCATGCAGACTCTTCAAAAACACATTGATGTCACCAATGTCACCAGTTCTGCTGTGGTTGTACAGACTGAGTGGAATTCTGAGAGATCCTGGGATGGGCTTCCAACACCACATGAAAGGAGAGCATCCCTGATTTACAACTCTAAACCCTTCAGATCTGGCTTCAACAGAGATGCTCTGGAGAACACTTGTTGACAAATTAGCACGGACAGTCAACCCCCCCCCAGTCCCAGCTGGAGCTGACAAACACCTCCTTTGCACACAGAGGAATCCAAGGCACTTCAGTTTGTCCCTTGGGAACACAGGAACACAAAATCACCAGGTGGTAGTTCCCACTGGGACTGCCTCAGATTAGCAAGAGCACATTAAACCTCTGTTGAGTCTGGAAAGGCAGAGAATTGCATCAGCACTCCCTGTCTCAGGGTCCCTGCAGGCTCCAGCACACATCTGTGTCCTGGGCAGTGGCTGCAGTCTCTGGAAGCTCCAGCTGACTTCTCACACATCTACTGTGATCGGTGTAACCTTAAAACTGCTTCAAATCTCTTGGCTTCCCCATGTTTCTAAGCAGGTCTTAGGGAGAGTTCTCTGTTCTCTTTTGCTGCTGGTGCAATCCATGCCCTGGAGGAGCCTGGGACATGGAGACCTTGGAGCCTTCACACAGGGCTGGAGCAGAGCAGGAAGTCCCAAGGATAATCTTTCCCTAGAAATTCCATCTCACCTGAACACTCAAGGGAAGGTCACCACTAATCTTCACTGCAGCAACATAACCAATGGATATGGCTTCACCTTAAAGTCATTGGAAAACTGGCCTTTCCAATGCACAATTTATTCTGTGCAATTACTTGTAAGATGTTTATGAGTCAACACTTTGTCTTGAACCTCTCTGATAGCTCCAATTGCCTGAACCCCTTGACAGTGGGATAACAAACCTGACGTTTTCTTTAAAAGTGCAAATGTTGGAAGAAATTTTCCTTGTGGATTCCTGCTGCCCGAGCTTCCAAAACTGTGCCAGTCCAACAGGCTGTTGGCCTGGGAGATGGCAGATCTGTTCCTGCCAGTGGAATTCTGCCATATCTGCTATTACTCTGGGCTACTGCCCAGCTGGTTGGCATCAGCAGCTCTCAATATGCTTGAAGGTTGGCCAGCTGGCTCCGAGGCTGGGCAGGTCATCCCACCTGCAGCTTTGATGCTGAGAGATACGGGTACAGAGCACAGGGCACCGCTGAACACGATAGCAGCCTGCTGGCACTCTGCTCCTCCTGTGCCCATCGCACCTGGAGCAGGACCAGCAGCAGGACCTGCCCTGGGCACCCCTGGGGGCAGAGGAGTCAGTGCCAAGAGGCACAATCCAAAGGGTTTAAGGAAAAAGCAGCACTCCTTGAGTTGGGGCTGGGGTCCCTGTGGCAGTGAGCACTACGTCAAGAACTCCCGACACCTACAAGTCATGGAAGAAGAGTGACTTCCTAACCTGCCAACAGCTCAGCAAAAGTATGCAGTGATAAACTTACCAACCCAAGAAACCTTGACCTACTAATTCCCTTCTGAGATGAACCAGTTATCGTTTTAATTTGGGTGTATATACAGATACAGGAAGAATTTTCCCCCAGAGCTCATCTAACAGAAGTGATGCTTATTCTTTGAGGCAACACGTAGAGATATCTCATAAACTATTTTGCCTCCTATTATGAAGCTTAAGATCCAGTCTCATCTTTTATTTCCCAAGATCAACACACCTCAGGAGAAGCTGTAAGAGCTCCTTATTGAAGCTTCCCACTCAAAAAACAAAAAAAAAATCTCAAAATGAAAATTTAATACAAAACCAATAATGCATAGGAAACTAGGTAACAGATTGGAAATATTCTGTAAAAATAAATAAAATCAGTGTTTTCAAGTATCTTGTTTGCTGTAAATGATAAGCAGCCACCTCTGATATGATCTGATATGAAAAGTGCTGTTTTGATCACAGCACTTTTTCAGTTTTTTATGCAGCCTCCCTAAAACCTTACTTTAGGTAAAATAAAGTGAACACCAAAAAAAAAAAGCCAAAACATTACGGGGACACAGGTTTGATGGCTCACAAGTCCTAAAATTCATCTCCTTAAATTTAATTAATTTCCATTTCTGAAAGGAGGTCAGAGTCCTCAATTCATTTAAAAAAAAAAAAGTGCAGCTTTAACCAGATTAAAAAAAAAAACAGACTTCCCATAAATAATAAAATTCCCTTCCTTTAAAAAAAACCCTTGATTTTCAGAGGTGTGATTAACATCCTCACACGAGACACAAAATCCCAGCATCTCCCTGAACTGCACACTAACTCTTTACAGCAGGAATATGGAACCAGGGCTCTCCAAGAGGTGCAGTTCCTCCGGGCTGCCTCCTTTTGGGAGGCCCCTGCTCTCCTGCTGGCTCCTGGCAGTTATAAATAAGCCCCTGGTGGCACTAAGTTACGTTTCCCATCTGTCCCCCCTTTGTGATCTGCTTGCAGGGAGGACTCCGTTATATAAGAAAACCACAGTGTCAGAGCTGGAAACTCACTGCTCTCACTGAGGAGAGGAACACACGGTGTTAAAATATTAAACAAAATGTTAAACAGAACGGGGAAGAGGAGGGGAAATGTCCCTCACTCCTGCCCTTGCCATAGCTGATCTGGAATGACACCACCAGTTGTTGTGCTAAATTACAGACTGAAGTAGATGCTAAAATTAACGTGCACAGGGGAAGATCCTGAGCTGGCATAAGCTGTCAGCTCCACTGAAGCCAGTGAGTTATGACAATCAGCACCAGCTGTCTAAACTTCGCATTTTCTATAATACAAGTGCAAAACTACCTGCACTTCCTTGTGTTTCCCTCGCTAAGTCTTGGTAATTAAAGACCAGAATGTTTACCAGCTACTGACCCAGCTAATTCAATCTCATGCACAACCTTTTCCTCAGTCTTTGAATTTATCACACTTCAACGTTTATTGAGAGTCTCATATTGTAAATAGTCCTTATAGATATGGTGTTACCTGTAAAATCATATTTAATATAGGGGATGCCTGTGTTTCTTTATGTCACTATAAACTGCAACAGTGCCACACGGTCCAGCTGTTAAAAAAATTAAATCACCCCTGTCTGTAGAAAAGTTAATTTCTTACTCTCTTCTTATTGTTATGGGGTCCATAATGTTAAGGCTCCAGAGCAAACACAGTGGGGGATGAGAGAGCACTCTGTTAAGGGGGAAATCCTGCTGGGATCTTCTGGCCCATGACTTCATATTCCACGATATCTGCTCATCCTGATTACAGGTGGCAGTAAATTGTGAACTGAAGTCCCCAACAGAAAAATCAGCATATTTTGCCCCATACTATAATTCCTTCATCCCCAGCTGTGTCACAGCAGCTGAGGACCCACAGTGTGATTTCAGCTCTGCTCTTGTTGCCTTCACTGCCAGGACTTCAGAGATTAAGGTACTGAAACAAGGGATAAAATACTGGACATGAAGCGCTGATCTAAGAGATCAGGTCTCTTAAGACCTGAGATCTAAGGTTAAGAGTACTATGTTATCTACCACACCGCTACTTGCTGATTAATTTTCGAATGAACGCGTTTCATTAACCATGCTTATTGCATTAACAGAAGTCCTTATTTACCCAAAACAAACATGATAATAAATAGTTCGTAAGCTGTCACAGAAGCCCAATATTTTCTTCCAACCCACGCTGTCTTACAGCCATCCCCTCAGAGCGAAGCGGAAAACCACACCGACCAAAACTGAACTCCTCTGAAGAGCGGAGACACGCGCTGTGCGAAAATCGGGCATTTACGGGATTTTAAAGTGGCTCTTACGGACCGCACAGCCCCGACGAGCCGCCCGCACCGCTCACCCCGCGCTCTCCGCCCATCGCGGCCGGCCGGGATGGCCCGATGCGGGTCCCCCGCTCCGCCGGGGACACAACCCCCGCTGCGGGGCTGCGGTTAAACTGCTGCGGGTCCACCCGCCGGGCCCGGACCGTGAGGGAGCCCGGGCCGTGAGGGGGGCCCGGGCCGTGAGGGGAGCCCGGGCCGTGAGGGGCCCGGACCGTGAGGCGCCCGACCGTGCGCGCGCCCGGGCCGTGCGGCGAGCCACCCGCGCGGCGCTGCCCGGCGGCTGCCCGCCTCGGCTGCGGCGACACCGCCCCGGCGCTGCCCGCGGCTGCCGCCTCAGCCCGGGGTCCCGCCTCACCCCGGGGTCCCTCCCCAGCCCGGGATCCCTCCCCAGCCCGGGATCCCTCCCCGGCAGCCCCGCGGTGCGAAGCGGCCGCTGCCCCCAGCCCCGAGGCTGTGCTCGGCCTGGGGGCGCCGCGCGGGGCTGTGAGGGGGCGGCGGGAGGAGACGGCGGGTCCGGCCGAGGGAGCGGGGACAGCGGGGCGGGCTGCGGGGCGGGGGAGCGGAGCGGGGCGGGGGAGCCGAGCCCGCGGAGCCCCGAGGCGGCGGCGGAGCCGCTCTTACCTGCGCCTGCCCGCGCTGCGGCTCGGGGCGCTCCGGGCGGGCTGCGCTGCCGAGCGCCCCTTGGCTGCCGCCGCCGCCGCCGCCGCCGCAAGTTTCCATAAAAGTCGCGGCGCGCGCCCGCATTCCAGGCGAGCCCCGCGCCGCGGCAGCTGCCCCGGCCCCGCCGAGCCCAGCCCAGCCCCGCGCCCGCCGCGCTGCCAGACCCCCCTGCGGGCAGCAGGCTAATTTGGGGCTGGAAGCGGTGCGGAGCTATAAATAACCGGGGCGGCTGGCCCTGCCGCAGGGCAGCGGGCGGGAGGGGGCACCGGGACCCGCAGCCCCCGGCCCTGCCCGCCCCGCTCCGGCGCTCCGCGGCTTTCCTCGGCCCCGTCCCGGAGATCCCGCACCCACCGCAGCCCCCCGGCCCGGCCCGGCCCGGCCCGTCCCGCGGGGAGGTTTCATACCTACGGCCCTCAGGTCCCGGGTCGGTTCATGGCACATGGAGAGCGATCAACTAATAATAGCAGTGTGACAGCGCTGGTGGAGCGGGATGGAGTCTCCCGAGCGCCAGACTGCGAGAGGCAGATGCGGTGGCTCAAAGCAGCGCCTTTCTCTGGGAACTTCACAAGGCAGTGGCAGAACGTGGTTTTATTACATCTGAATACATTCCTTTTCCTGCTTAAAAATGACTTGTTCCCTACGTGTTCAACTGCGAGGTCTCCAGTGCAGAACTTTATTCTTCCTATCTCTCTTGTATTGTGTCTGGAGCTTGACTTTCAGCTGGATTATAAACATAAGACAATAACCACGCGACCTCAGGCTGTGCAGACCTAAACAACGGCCACTGAAGTTAAGACAAAACATATCTGGCTTTTGAAGGGCAGCACAGGAACTCTGCCCCAGTGCCACCCTCGGAGGAGCTGCACTGAAGCAAAGGCAGGGCCACCAGGGCTCTCAGTGACCCCACACTTGTTCAAACTGGACAGCCCCAAGAGCTGTTCCCATCCAACATTATTTTCATTTCTATAATAAATTCTGTCATAGTTGCTTTTTGTTGATTTCAGGCAGCAAATTCCCATTTCAAGGTGGCTAGCTGGGATCAAAACACCTGCCCTATTGAATAATTTTGCAACAGGTTTCAAGAATCGTGCAAATTCGAGTTTTTTAGGTACAGTTATATGAGCAACAGTTGTTTCACTGAAATATTTTATTTCATGTACACAGCTGCACTTCATTAGGCAATAGAAAGGTCACAAATGATCTTACTCTGACACTTGGTTTGACACGTCCATTTTGAGAGAAACCAGAGACTACAAAAGAAAAGTATAATAATCATTAAGAACACATTAAAAGTGAGATTGTTATTACAACTAAATTACAAATTAGAGAAATATTTGATTCGTGTATAATCCCTACACATTCACCGTTTCTGATTTTAGGAGCACAGTTATGGCAGAAGAAGATGGCTTTTAAATTTAGCTTGTTCTTATTAGCATGGGAAGTGGCATTCATAACTACCTAAATGTAGAGATTATAGTGGAAATTCTGATTTTGAATCACCCTGTCGCTGCTGTGGTGCAGCTCTGGCACTTGTGTTTTCACTTCTGAAATTCCCAGGCCACCTGGCTGGTTGTCAGCAGGTTCTCTGGACACACCTCTAGCTCAGGTGAAGCTTCTGAGAGAGCTGGTGCCAGTTCTGTGTTCCAAGGAGAGTCAAGTATTTGTTGGTATCCTACAATAACCTGAACCTCTGTTTCTTATTTTGGATGGGAAAGACATCAGTTCAACTTCCAACCCCATCCTGTGGACTGCTGAGAGCTCCAGGAGTGCATGGAAGTGCTCCTATTTCAAGTCAGATATTAGCAAGTTCTTTGCCATTTTCTAAATATTTTGGTGTTTCATCAGAACTTTCTCATTCTTCTGTTTAAAAAAAAAAAAAATCCTTTTGTTTTTGACAGAAGGCCAATTTTAAAGTATCTGGAAACATTTATAACCTCGTGGGCAGTGCTGCTGGGCTTTCTTCAAGAGCTTTCTGTAAATGACGTGAAAATCTCAACACACATTTACTTCTGTGAGAAACTGCACTTCTGAGTGTTAAGGTGTAATTTTCTTCATATCATTTTATTAGACCAAAGAGTTTCCTTTGCTACCCGTAGCTAGTGCCTTTGCTGTGGAATATGCCACTTGCTCTGCTACAATTTCCAGCTATTCCTATCGATTATGACCCCAACAAGACACCTTTACTGTTCCATATCATGTCATTCACGGACTTGCAATAAGCTGCCAAAACACAGATAGCTTAAACGTACTTATCTGCTCAGAAGTTGAGAGAGGTGAAAAAAACTTCACATGCCCACACTGAAGACATTGCAAATTAAAAAAACCCAAACACTCCAGCATGGAGAACAATGCCAAGCTCAGCAACTTGAAACAGGCCAAGAGCAGCATTTGGAATTTCTGGTTTATTACACATAGAATTATACTTTTTTTTTTTCCTGTTAAATGAATTATAGTCAGTTGGCATTTCACACAAGTCATATGACACATTTTCATTGGTTTTGTATTAATCAAATGAGTACAACAAGGGAGCAAAATTCAGTTACACAGGTCCTCCTCTTGAATATCGTCATTTTGGGTTGTGCTCGCAACAAAAGGTGAAAGGTTTCTAGCCAAAGACTGCTTTGATATCTTAGATTTTTAACAACATGCTTCTCAAGTACCTGAATATTTGGAATTGCTCTGTAATTACTTACCCTGGAGTATTCCTTGCCACAGGGCAGATTCTGGTGGGCTGGCTCTGTGTGGCAAAGCATATGTAAGTGCAGTTTAAGAGCCTAAACTAACCACGAAGCATCGCTTCAGTTTACAGAAATTCAAAGATTATGCCTCATCATTGGTTATTTGTTACCCCTGGAACAGGAAAAACCACCCCTGTGAGTTCCCTCCTGCCTGTGCTGCCTGAAGTTCAGGCTTCCACAGCATACAGAGGGCCAACAATTATTTGAGTTTCTTAAATAGACACCTGACTTCCCACGGAGAAGGGAGGAAGACTGAAGTGCTTTAAATTCGAAAGCACCACCTTCAATTCTGTTTCATGATTAACAAAATCTTATGGTACACACTTATTTAAAAATATATTTTGAAATGCTACATATGGACTGAGAATGGCATTGGTTTATTTACCACCACGTGGGGTAGTAACAGCTTTAGGACAAGGAAACGTTGTGAGTTAATTGGTGAAGCTAGCATAGCTTTTTAAATATAAATAAGTATTTTTTAAACACCTTAGTGATGTTTAGATATTTTCCAACAAAACAAAGTACAAAATGCACACTGGCAGTGATTCCTGCCCACAGAGTGCCTGCATTTCCTGCACTGCAGCACAGAACTGCTGCTCACACCCACACAGATGGAATTCCAGGGCAGGGGCAACATGTCCAGCTCTGGGAGTGTGACTGCTTTATTGCACGTGTCACACGAATCCCAGACTGCAGATACCCCAGTCAAAACACCTTCTGGACACCTAACAATGAGAGTCTGCAACAAACACCTTGTACTGTAAAAGCCTTTAAATGGGAACAACTCCAGCAGCTTCACTTACAAATCATCTGTGCAAAAAGTACAGTATCTCATAAATAAACTTTACCCAAATATTACAGAAAAAAGCTCTGGGGTACATGAAGTATAAATACAGCGACAGCTGGGCTGCAAAATTAATTTAGGTATGTACAATAACACGCTCCCCATTTCTTTCCCTGGATGTACCTTGAACCTCCCTGAGTCCTTTTCCACACTCGGTGTCACGATGCATTCCCAGTGGCTCGCTCACCAAGAGCCATGGCAGCTCCAGCACGAGAGAGAAAGGTGGACAGGAGCACCCCCCCGGCATTTGCCACGGATTTATTTTAATGAATCACTGTACTTTGGCTTCCAAGAGCCCCCCGGTCACGACGTGGCCGTGGCCACTCACACAGGCCCCCACGTGTCTCAGGGAATCCGCTCCCAGGTAGGCCAGCAGCAGCTCCGTGTGGCGGATCAGCAGCTGGGTGAGATCCTCAGCCAGGCTCTCCATGCTCGAGTACCTCACCTTTTCGAAGTCAAAAATGTCCTTGAGGAAGAAAAGCACTTGATCCTAGTGCAGGAGGGGGAAAAAAAGAAGGAGAAAAAAACCTTTTTATTCCCTTACAAAGGAAAAAAAAGGTAAGCAATGCTAGCAGCTGTTTCTGTTACGTGTTTCCCAAAAGCATCCATTTTGGTGCTGAGATAGAAGTGACTAAAAGAGACTTTGCACAAAACAGTTCTAGGCTTAAAAACATTTCATAAGAAAATACTGATTTTTCATGGTTCTTTACTGTTAGCCCTAATCTTAGGAAAATGGAAATGTTTATGCTTTTTTTTTTTTTCACTTAGATAAGTGGTAATTAAAAAAACCCAAACATTGCAAACCTTGAAGAAGCAGCATAAGTCATAAAGGGAATTCCTAGGGCCCAAAAAGCCCCACGCCAAAACTGGGCTGATATGCTCACAGATGGCATAGAAATGTGCAAAAAATCCATCAGGCACCTGGGGATGTAAAAAGGGAAAAGTTACACAGCGAGTTCAGTCTAAATTTCCATTATTTAACAGTGAGTCTTCATGAGAGCCACACACACTCATCTTCAGGTGGGGAAAGGGGAGGATTGAATGGGATTTGACTGTGGAGATCATGCAGGGAGATGGGCTGAGAATCCTGCCATAAGCAGGTGGGGTATGAACTTAATTACCTTGGACTGTGAAAGTCTGAGATAGCAGTGTGGGGTGACAAGTCAGAGAAATTACTGTCACCACTAAAGCAGGTTGAAAAACCTTTTCAGTTCCAGTTTTTGCTAAAAAACAGGTGTCAGGGCCCCAGGAGCTACATTTCCACAATTGGAAACCTCTTGTCTAAAGTTGAAATTCTCCAGAGCTGATCAATAACTTTGTTCCACGTAACTCTGAAGGGCAGCTTACCTTCATTTGCTGTCTCTTCTGCTTCAGGACTGACCAACAGCTTGAAGCCACAGCCTAATTGTTAAAAGAAAAAAAAAGCAAGCCCAAATCATTTTTCATCTCAAAGGAACTCATCTGCAGAATACTGTACTTGTATATTTTGGGGACATCTCTTTTCCTCAGTTCCAGTCTTGTGATAACACAAAGTTTAAAACTACAAAACAGCAGCTGATAGAAATAATTGAATTTATAGGTAGTTCATACTTGTTATCTCAGGTCTATCTTTAAAACACTTTCTTTAGTTCAGTTCAAATGTAATTTGGCATCCTGGGCTGATTTTACAGTTACAACAGTTAGTTTAACTGAGGACCAGTCTCTTCTACACCAAGGCACGTGCTCAGACATAAATAACTATTTTAGATATTATGTGGAATGTGAACACATTGAAATGTCCTTTTTCACTGCAGCAAAAACATTCTTGCAATAGCTTCAGATTCAGCCAAAGGAGTTTTGTCCAAATATGGACCTGTGAAATACAATATACTGATAATCAGCACTGGGCTTTTCCCCCTCAGAGCTTCTTCCTGTCCTCATCTGACTCTCCTTCAGAGAGTATTTTTTGCAGGACAAGCTGAAGTATTTTCTTTGACACGTTTAATCATTCTCTGTGTTTTGGGCCCAGACTTGTAGCTTTTAAATTGCTATTTTGAAAAACCCGATAACACAATCTGTTTCATTCTCTTGAGGAGTATTTCAGGTGCACACTCAGTTATACTGGATGCTAAACTGGAATTTACAAAGCCTTTATCCTGCAGTTGTTGGATTTATTCTTGTTTTTAGACTGTAAGGATACAAAGCACAGAGCACCAGAGCAGTCTCAGCACACACAGGAATTTCTGTCAGAATGCTCACACTACTGTTGACTGATCACACCATCTCCACACTGCAGATGGATCAGTCTGAAAATGGCACATCAATACTCACAGTTTCCTTGAAAGAGGAATTTAACCAGCGGTTATTTACTACATTCTGTATCGATATGGGTGGATTTTCTAAATCTTCAAATGAATCCATTAGTATGAAGTCCAGCACAACATCATAAAAATTCAGATTTTTCACCTGTGTTGAAGGAGAACACGATCTGAGTAACCCAGTTTCTGTTCCAGCACTGGAATTCAGCATGCACCACTTTCTAGTGCATTACAGATACTATGTCAGCAGAGGAGAAGTTAAAAAAAAAATGACTTTCTGGTCCTAAACTGGTGGATGCCAGCTCTCTAAATCAGCAACACAAACAAAGAGCGAGCTGCCTTTCCCACAATTCTGAATTGTAAAATTGTATTTTTAGATTCTATGGCTTTAGAGCCTATTAAGGGTAAAAGCAACTTTTCCGAAATTCAGACTCACTCCTCGAGCAGCAAGTTCCATTTCGGTGTTATCCCAGTGATCTGTTTGTTCCAAAAAATATATCATTTCATCAAAGACATCTTCAAATTTCTTTGGATTCTGGAAAGTAAAAGCAATGAGTATCAAGCAAACTCCACAAGAGATGTTGGCTTATTTGCAGTGGAAAGTGAATTCTGGTAGGAGTTCCATAAACAATAAAACATCAGTTTTTTTTTTTAAAAAAAGGCTTTTTACCTTTCGTGCTTTCACAATCAAAGCAGACAAAATTTTTCTTCCACTTTCAGCAAGGAATATTCTGTTTGCTGTTTCTGAAAGAATTATCTAGAAAAGGGTTCAGAAAATACAGCTATGTTCATGCACAGGTTATGATAAGCGACCTTAAACATTTCAATATAATTATAATTATCTATATAGTGGGCAAGCTCCTAAAAAAACCTTTTGGTGCAAAGGTTCCAAAGCTCATCATAAAACTGGGGTTCCTCTGTAAATACACCTCAGAGCTACAGAAATGCAAAAGTAAGAAGGAAATATTTAATTACAGAACAAGTTCTCAAAATGCTTGCACAGAGAGAGTGCACTCAGTGCCACGGATTTCAGTTTGGATTAACAGGACAGACAAATCCCTCTCTCCTCATTTACCTGAAAAGCCTGGCGAATGCAGTGGAGCTTGGCAAGGAAGTCACTGTCCCCCAGGCACTCAAACATTTCAGTCCTGCACAAAACAGAACAGTTTTCAAAGACCACCCAGAACAGAAGCACCAGAAAATTCATCTGTCTTAATTCTTAAAAAAAAAAAAACCAAAACAACAAACCTAGTGCGATTAACTCCTAAAAACAATGATTTCTGGAGAGGATATTTTAGTATAAGTCTTGGTTTTCTTGGAAACAGTTAAAGAGACATCACTCAGTACCTCAGCACCCGGGAGTATATCTTGCCCTCCTCTGCCAGGTGCATGGCCTCTTCGTACAGCGGGCAGTGGCACAGGGAGTCCAGCCCCAAGGTGTTCCGAGCCTCTCTGTGCTCTGGCAGCTGCCAAAACATTGATTAAAAGTTCATTAAAGAGCAAATCAACGGATTTTCCTGCTGCTCTACTGAAAGGTGGGTCCTTTTGTGCCTCTGCTTAAATGACAGGGCAACACTCAACTCGTACACCACACCTGGCAGGACTTGCTTCATCACTCTTAAAATCTGCAAGCTACAGTTTCAAGTTTTAAACCTTGATTTTCTGTTTAATTCGCCCAGGTAAATTCTTAAATTGTCTGGTTAAATCTACTGGGTCTTGAAGATGTTAAAAGAAAATAAGTGCCAGGTCACAGAGCACAGAATGATTGCATGGTGCAAGGCTTTGGGAAGGCAGAAATAGGAACATCCTCCCACTCGTGGTTTTGTTTGGCTGGTAAATGTGTCTGCTGGTTACCCAAGCACATGGGATGAAGCATCAGCATTTCAGAATGTTGTATGGCAGGCTTCCCAGAAGGTTTTTGTTATTGGTAGTTTTAATTCTGTGATTTTCATTATCAATGAATGGGAACTCACAGACTTTTTAAAAAATACATCATATTATTAATGGGCAAAAGAAAAAAAGCTTACACATCATTCAGATTAGTTAATAACCAGAAAATGAATTAATCAAAAAAAAAATTATTTTTTTAATTCTCTTTTTATTTTTTATATCCTGCACGGGGCAAACAAACCCGTGTTTCTAGGCTATAAAAACACAGCCTAGAAATGCCTTTAAAAAGTAACTCTCAAAGTAACTGAACTCTGAAGATTGAAACACGGGTGGTTCACGTGCTAATCAGTTTGCTCTGGACACTTCAGCTTCAGGGCTGCCTCTGCCAGTAAAGAGATGCTGAAATCACTGCTGGAAAGCACCAAACCTCTGGAACCTTGCAATAGTTTTTTAAAGCCTGGGATTCTCAGGAATTTTAATTTACTTTGCTGCTCACAAGTTGTTTCTTAATAAATAAAGAAAATTCTCAGCTGTGCATCGAGAGACCTTGTTGCCAACCAAAATAACCACCTACACGAATGCAACCAAAATAAGCAGTGCCAGACCTTTGAGGAATTCTGGCTTGCTCCCCCTAATAAAAAGGTCACTGCACTGTAACACTCAGCATTCCTGACATTCTGATGATGGTCCCTTTAAAGGATAAAGACATTCAGAGAAAAGATTGTTTTAAAACACCAGAAGTAGCTGCAGGATGAGAGTGAAACAGGCTTTGGAAGTTGGAAGAGGAGATGGTGATACTAATGAAAACACCTGAGATAGAACCTGAATAAACTGAATTATGGTCCACCCGAGATCTGCAAGAAAACGCTGCCAGGGAGAGCAGGGAGGAGTTTCTGTCAGGAAGATGGAAAAAGGAAGCCAGGACAGAGAGGGCAGAGGCCTTTCCTGGCACACTCCCTGCTGTGCTCTGGCCAAGGGTGGCAGCTATTCTGATCACAGTAGATGGGAAAGCAGGACTGTGAAAAGGATACCAACCTTCATCGACACAGGCTGATGGCACACAGGCTCAAACGGGGGAGAAGATGCCATTATTTACCACAGGCTACAGTATTAATGACTTCATTAGGACAAACAGTTGTGTTCACCACCCTTCTGCAGTGCTTCTGAGAGCCTAAGGGTGTTGGAGAGCAGCACAGCTCGGCACTGCTGCTGCCTCCCCAGCAGTGTCACTGTCACCTGCCATCCAAGCAGTGTCACTGTCACCTGCCATCCAAGCATCTGGGCCTTGCTTTGGGACAGTTGATTCCTCCCCAGGGCAGGGAGCTAAATTTGATCTGACTGTGTGTCAGCACTGAAACAGGGCACAATGTGGAAGGATGACAAGGGAGTGTCCACACAAACAACTCACAGCCTGATGTGACCACAAGAAGTGGTGCCACCTTCTGCTTTCCCTGCAAAGGAGAAATTACTAATCCTGGTAGGGCAAAAATCACACAGCAGCATAAAACACGTATCCATTTCAGATTTCAAAGCTTTGCTAAACGTTTCTATCAGGGCATGGAGTTTATTAATAACTATTAATATTGTAACTGCAATCAGGGAGCTTGTGATGAAAGAACAAGCCTGTTTGGCCCTTAGCTGAGATAAATCCAAAGATGAGACAAATCCAAGCTCAGCCCTCTTAGCCTACATGAAAACACTCCACTCTTCTGCTAGTGCAAGAACAAGAAGGTGAAAAAAGCAGATGAACAAGAAGCTACCTGCTATCATCATGCCTAGAATAACAGACTCTGGTGTGTCAATCCTAACCCGGGTACACCAGAGCTGGAACTGTTCTCCACTCACACTGGGTAGCAGTTATTGCTCCTTCTCATTGCCAGAAATATTTGCACTACAGAACAGCTGGAAAGGAAGAGAACACCCTCATAACTTTGTCCTGGAAGGAGGAGTTGACAGAAGTGGCTCTGAGGTATCAGAATGCAGAGGATGTTTCCAGGATATGTAAAGACAATTAGATTGCCAGTTCTGACTCCAACATTTCCTCAGCACCCGCTGGGACAGCACAGCTTCAGGACAGGATGATGATTCCACTGAGGGGATGCATCCTGGCTGTTTCTGTTTGGTTGCTTGCTTTTGGTTTGTTTGTTTTTTTTAAGCCAAGCAAGCCACCTGAGCATCTTCACATACCTGCAAAAACACTGTGAAAGTCCATGGGGAAAAAAAGAAACAACCAAAACGTACAAACTACCGGGGTTTACAGCTCCTCTCAAGAGTTAAAGCAAGCTTGAACTGTGGTCTTGTGCAGATTACAGGAAAGAGTAACTAGTCTCTGCAGATAATATCTGTGTCAGGAACGAATGCCAGGCATCTCAACAATGTGAGTGACTAAATCAAGGTGACTGTGCTGTGGAAAAACAGACCCTCTAACAGACAGTCAGATGATAACTGCAGAGAATGTGCATGCAACTCTCCCTTCAGCAGCTGAGCTGCAGTGCATATGTGAGAGCAACATCTATCACAAAATGTACCTACTGATGCCTTTCCTGTTCTTTGGAGAAAAGTGCTGTTCAAGAGACCCCAAGAGCAGACACTCCTCCCTCACAAAGCGTGTCCCTGCCTGGGAGATGCTTCCAACACTTCAAGCAGCAGACTTCAGCTGCCAGGCAATAACCCAAGATTGTTTCTTTATGTATCCCCTGTGCTCCTATCCAGGAAGATTAGACAAAATTAGATGAAATGTGTTACCTTGCTAGGGAAGTTTCCCTGTGTGACCATTCCAGAGGCTCCCTGGCACTCCCATTCCCAGCTCCAGAGACTTTCTGAGGTTCCTCCACAGCAGAGGCTCCTCTGAGCCAGTGGGAGCCCCACTTGACTCCCCACACCCCCCCCAGAGTCAAACAAACAAAAAAGCTGTAAAACATACAAAGCCTTCTGCATAGATCTTTACAGTGTGGTGAGGAAGATGAACAGGAAAATGCAGCTCACAGTGAAAGGAGCTACTATAGCCTCAACTCACTGCTTCTTCTCTCATGAAAATCTGGTGTATTTTTCAAAAACAACTGTCAAGGAGTTGGGGGAACACTCTGCCAGTGCTCAAAAAAAAAACCCCAAAAGCTGCTTACAGCTAAGCCTGGAAAGCTTCTTTTTTTTCCCACATAAGAGGAATGCATTTTTGCTTACAACGACTAGCAAAAAATCAGGATTCTTCTGTTCACTGTTCACATGGATTGATGAATCTTTAGAAGAGCAATCTTTCAGCCTCACCTCAGCTGTGGAGACAAAGGAGTCTGTCGATGCAATGCTCAGCGTGTCCCGAAGGCAGAAATCATCCCCGTTATCCTTCACCGTCACGTCTGTGTTTTTATCTTTAAAATAAGAAGAATAAAAAAAGTTTATCAGATTCCATTTACACCTTGAAAGTGTGTTTCATGTATACTTGAACATAGTACATAGACAGCTGTGAGAGTAAATTCTCTTTACGACCCACTAACACGTGTCAAGGGGACTGCATTTTTCTGCCTTCGAAGTGGACTTTCAAATATCACCCACAATCAACTGGGAGAAGGAAAAAACCACTTGCCCAGGGGGTTTTCCCTTTTCCTTTATAGACTTCTGAAGATCTTTCTATCTTATATTTCTTTGCTATGTCGATCTAAGCACTGTTAAGTTTTTAACTTGGTCATGCTATGTAACAAGTGCTCAGTGTTTCAGTCACCAAGAAACACTGTTCTAAGTAAAAGTCCATGAATAAAAAACACCCCCAAGTTTTAGCTTCACTGGAATTTGTTTCATTTTCTGCTTTTCATGTCTTTTTTCACAGAAGAGCTGCTGAACTGAAATTTATTCTGCATGTATTTAAAGAAAGAAGGGGTGTAAATGAAGGAACCCCAGCCCAGAACATCACAGCACCAGGGGTTTTTCTGCAGGTCTTGCATTCAGCCTGTGATAGCTTACATGAAGCTCCAGAGATGATAAAACCTTGAATACATCTTTATTTCTTGAAAACCTCACAATTCCAAGTGTTCTAGTGCAGCCTGAAACTCTCACCCAGCCAGGATGTTTTTAACATGTTAGTCAGCTCAATATGGAATATCTGTGTTTTCACTCAAACAAAACACAACTACTGCAGAAAAAGGCACAAAATTTGCAGGTTATGCCCCCAAAAATATAAAAAATTAAAAGAAGGTGGGTAGTGCTGAGTGAAATAACACCTTTGGCAAGTGATTTGGGCATACCAAGCACAGCAAGAGAACATTCCTCGACACCAGAACAGGAGGGAGGACACAAAGAGGCTCCTGGAATGAACAGCTGCAGATGAACCCGCCCAGCAGCGCCTGCCACTGCCCCCACACTCATCCCAGTCCTCAGGGATTGGAATTCCTTCAGGGAAGGGACACCAGCAAGAATGGGAGCCCCAAATATACCTCACTGATTGGAGAAGCCAAGCAGTTATTTTGGGTTCACTTCTGCTGGCAAAGAGGACGAAGGAGAGTTTCAGATGTGACAACGACAACAGGAATTGCCATCGAGGCTCGTGGTTGTAGTGCCTCAAAATGCACTTAAAATGTGGTTATAAAGTCAGACTAAGGGCATTAAAAAATGGAAAAATGCAGAGCATTGGTAATGTCTGTGAAATTAATCTTAGCTTTATAAGGTTTTGCAAACAACTATCTATTGAACATTAAACAAGATTTAAAAAAATCAAGCCACATCCCAGTGTACTGGTCTAGAATATTTCTCTGCCTTTGCTCTGGTGGGTTTGCATGGTAAGACAGAGTACAGAGCTAACCCTCTAAACTCTCAGAGCAAACTCCCACCTCAGAGATGGAACTGCACCCAAATTAACTTTGCAGCATCCCAGCAGGAAGCATTCACCTTCTCATCACGTGCTGGAGCTCTGAGGAGTGTTCATGTGTTATCTTCCTGCCAACCCTGACTGAAACACGGCCCGAGCTCCCCAGCCAGCCTGGCACTTACTGAAGCATTTAAAAAAGGAAAGCACTTACTCACTGGCCAAGAACTCCCTGGGATTTTAGCTCTGAGTGTCACCATTAAAGCCAGGGGTTCTTGTCCCACCCAGCCCTCCACGTCAGTGGAAAATCACAGCAGTCAACACGTCACGAGCAGGAGAGCAAGAGGAGAAAGGAGGGACTGTAAAGACTCCAAAGAGGAGAAAACCTTGCAAAGGAATCCACTTGTGAGAGGTCAGGGCCCCCCAAGAGCAGCAGGGCCCAGTGCTCTGCTGCTCTGAATTACAACCACCCAGGTCAGACAGCACAGGAGCACCAACCAACACGCTGCAGATCCACCAGAACGTGTCCCAGTCCTCCAGCAAGGCACGAGTGGCACAGTGGTGTGTCACCCCTGCTGCTGGGACAGCCCAGAGCAGCTTTATTTACAGTTATAAATAGTTAGAGCCGAGAGTGTTGACTGAATGTTCATTAAAGCATCATTAGTCCAGCCAAGCAGCTGCTCCAGCGTTACATGGAGTCTACAGGAGGCACCGGAAAGCAGGGAATTTTCTGTCCTATTTGTAAAAAGAAAACAACCCCAACCCTTCAGATGGCACCTTCTGATGACAGGAGAAAAATGGCAAGCCAAGAATGGGGCAGGGCATCCACACAGAGTATTCTGGGTTTAAGAGCTCCTGTTAAATGATGTGTTTAAATCCTCCCCTAACATAAATATCTGGGATCATCTCACCCACCTGCACATGAACAAAGCTGCTACTGCCTTCAGAGTGAAAATGCACTGCAGGTCAGGGTCTTTAAAAACATCTAACCAAATTTATTATTTATTACTTTGATGCTGTTCTTCAGACAAGAGTAGTCCAGCTGATTAAAAGCTGATTTAAAAGCAGGTGCACAGATGACAGTAACACATTCTCCATGAGCACAGAACGCTTCAAGAGTTTAAGAGTGCAACCCACTAAGTTTACACACACAGGCAATAAAATGCACCTGAAAATGGAGATGTACTTGATTTGCAGTATTTGTCATCTGGGAGAAGATGCTTACAATAACCTTCAAGATATTTTCCACGTCCTTTGGAAAGAAATGATAGCAATTTCTGTGATGTTTATAATAATTTGGTTATTTTGAGATATTCAGGTGCTGACTTTGTCCATGAAGTTATGTTATCTGCTGAGTACACGTTAAATGGTGTAATAAACCAAACCAACATGGATACTGGAACAGTAAAATCAACTCCTTTTGGATGGTCTCACCTAGCAAAGGCAAACAGAGCACAAAATGCTTCTGCACAAGCAATCATTTCAGTCTCTCCACCTGAAAACCAAGTGTACCTAAAATAGGGAACGTAAATACAATTTACTGCCTGTAATCCACAGACACAAGCACATTCACCTACAGGGGAGTGTTAGGAAATATCAGAGAGGTTTGATATCCTGCACTGGTGACAAATCCAATGTTTCCTTCAAGATTTAAATCTGCTGATGAATTTTTCCATGAATTCGACAACTGGGCTGGAATATTTTCCGATAGTCGCAATCTTTTCCTTTTTTTTTTTTTAAGCCAAGGAATTATCAAAAGGATAAAAATACTTTATTGCAGAGCTGTCCCTGAATCACTGCAGGATGGTTTTATCACCACACCAAGCCCTCAAAATAGAAAGACCTCTCAGCACGAGGAGCTCTGCACTCCTGGGGCAGAGGGGAGCAAACACACATTTACTGTGGGGATTGCTGCAATCTGAATTTTGAGAGAACAAAGCACCACCCAACGTGAATTTTATAACCTGAATTAACACATCCGAGACCTGGATCTTGTGGAAACTCCACGTCACTTTTAGGGCTCCCCCTGGCACAGCTTTTCACTTCTTCCAAAATGGAAACTGATTACTCATAACTGCACGTTATAGGGTTCTACACTTCCACAGGGTTACAATTTAACACAGCTTTTCTTTACCTCAAAGCTCAAAATCAGCGGATCTGCCTTGATTTCCAGGTTTAAATCCCTATTCTTTACAGGAAATTTTCATTTCTGACCACCCTTGGGGCGATGGAAAAGGCCAAGAATAATCAGCAACTGCTGCTCAGCTCCTGAAACCTGTTGCAATCCTAATTATTTTTTGTAGGGTTTTTTTTTTTTTTTTTTACAAATTAGTTTCCTAATTTGTTATAGAAAAAAGGAAAGAACAAACAGTTTAGTGTTCCAGCATAAAGATTATTTTGCTGGGCACAGCACAAGGCTATGGGACCATCCAACATGTTCTTGGTTAAGATTTTAAACACAAGATTTCTGGGAAGGTTTTTCTTTAGGCAGAAAAATCACACTGTAGGGATGCTGCCACTCCAGAGCAAGTGAGACAGATTGGCAAAAGGAGCCCAAATAATCCTTTGTTCTTCCATTAAAAGACAAGTATTCTGTCCAGCAGTTGGTAATTCCACTTCCATGTACAAAGGCAGTATCAGAAAAAAAAAAAAAAGGCTGATACCTTCTATCCCCAGAATGAAGAGTTCCTCTGGACCTTCAGTTTACTAAAAAACACCAGTTACCAAACAAATTTTTAAGAAAACTTATTAAAACCACAGTAAGGTTGCCAAATGCTGATACACTGATAGATGGCAACTTTACCTACACCTGCTGGAGTAGCTGCTGATGGGGCCACGCTATCTGCAAATGGGCACACTTTAAATATTCCCAACATATCTACAAGTGGAACAGGGGCAGCTTTAAATAGAGCAGAGAATACAGCCTGGTGTGATCGACATGTGCTCCTGAGCCAGCCCCACCACAGCACACAGCATTATCAGCTAAGCTGGGACCTGTGCACTCACCACACATCCCACAAGGAACCAGACAATTTACACCACTTTGTTAAAAAAAGCCCAGCTTTAGCTTGAACCATCAGAATTGAAGTAAACCACATGTTTAAGTAAAACCCATTTTAGCAATCAACTGCACAAACACATGCATGAGAGAAAAATGACACAAATAATAAATGTTGCTCCCCCCATTGTTACTGTTCACTGAAGCTTTGGTTGTAACTTTCCCCCAAACCAGATTTGCTCCCACATACAGTTTTACCTGGCCAGTGCTAAAAAACAACCCCAACAATGTTTCAGGCAAGCCCCTCTTCAAAGCAGACTGCAATGCAAGAAGGGATTTTTTTTAGCAGAAGTTCTAAGACAGGAATTGACCCCCCGTGGGCCAAAACTCGTTCTTGATCCTCAGTCGATGTAACCTCACAGTGCCATTCTCCAGCCAGGAAAATAAACCACTTATCCCACCCTCACTGCCTGCCATCTGTCTGCAGTGATTTTCCCTGCCTCTCCAGCATTTATACTCACAAGGTATGTAAACACCCAGAAGACAAGTGCATGTACATCCTTTTTCAGTTGAGAAAAAGAATTTCTGAACTGTAACTCGCTAAGAATGCGTCACAAGAACACGCAAAAGGAGAAATTAAAAAAGCAACTTCCTGCCTCTGGAAGCCTCTTTCCACTCTATCCAATAAATCTATCCAATAAATCACTTCTCAAAAGGCAGGCAAGTGGTTATTAAATCAAGGTGAATATGTGGGGTTTTTTTAACAGGGATTTAAAACCGATGGCCAGAGAGAAAGGTAAAAGACGGAGGGAGTAATTAAGAGTTTGACCAGGTAATTGGGGAATCAGGAAGCTCCTGCTGAAAGAGGTGTGGGAAGGAGGCAATTGCAGCTGCTCACACGTTCTGAGGAAAGCAGGAACAGCTGGGACACTGTTGGGACACAAGAAGTGAGAGAGATGAGGGCTCAGCCAGCCCTGGTGTGGACACAAAGGAGGCAGTGCCAGGGGTGCCATTTAAGGGCAAGCCCCGGGGTGTAGAAATAGCTGCACACTTGGGGAAAAACGGCAACAAAGGTGCTCAAAAAGCAGAGACAGGCTTGGTGACCTCAGTGGAAGTGTTTGTGTAAATCCCTGTCCACACCACCCTCCAGGCTCAGTGACCCTGAGCTCTCCAGTGCTGCTCTCTGGACAGTGGAACATCATTTGAGCCACTGCTGAAACGGTTTGAGAAACACAAAGATCCACTGCAGGTTATCAAACACCAACACAGAGACACATATATTATAAATACTAATATTTTTCAGCACCATTAACTTCACTGCACGTCCATGCTAAGCTAGCTTTGCATTTTTAGAATATTGGAGAACATGCCTTTAAAGAGAAATCTTAAATATTGCAGATAGACACACTATCCAATTCAAACATCTGCACTTGGAGTGTACTCTGTTGTGAGTCAGAAATCAGGAGTTCCACCGAGAAGCTGCAATTTGAGAAACCTCACCATTTCTTTCAGCAGTTACTGAACTTCACCAAGCTTCAATAGCTAAAATTTGTGTTCAAAATGTGCAGTAATTTTTTTAAAAAGAGGATTGGAATCACTTTTCTGGGCTTTTCTTCAGGCTTAGCTAGTAATGCTTTCTATCCTTTACATGAGCATTTCAAGGAATGAATACATTTCTACACCTAAAAAAAAGAAAAAGCTGCTGATTTCTTCTGTTTCAACTCTGTTTCAGCCATCAGAAAAACGTTTAGTCCTTCTCCAAGGAAGTAATGAATCATTTAATGTAAATGTAAGTCATTTAATGTAAGTCATTTAATTCAATTTAATGTAATGTGCTTCAAGGAGCACAAATCAAGCAGGAGTTTTCCAGCTGGCATAAAAAAGTTTCCCAACTCTGAAATTATTTTATAGGACACGCAAATGAATTATTACAAACTGCTCCTCTCCTCACTGGAGACTGAGAATTACACAACATTTCCTGTGCATAATCAAATAAAACATGCTACACTCAAATTTTTCCAGGAACATTTTTGAGGCAGGAAGGAAAATAGAGTTATTAATCTAGTTATTAATCCATGGACAGCAAAACATTACAGAAGTCGGGGTTAATAAAATATATAAAAATGAGCTTTCAACAGCTTCACTGATTTTTGGGTGTTTTTTTAAGAGCAGTTGGAGAAAAAGGTTCCTCACATGTGAATCAGTTCTCAAACAGTTTTTTTGTCACTGGGTTAAAGGCTGTGCTTAATTCTCTCCAAAATGCCAGGCATATCTGGGAGTGTGAGAAGCAAATTAAAAAAAGAACCAGACAAACCTTTCACCAAAACCCTCCCACAGCACAGACCTTTGGGAGGGGTTTTCCTGCAGCAGCTCCAGCACTTTGTTTGTTTTAAACTGCATAAGTGACACACAATAAAATGTTTTAAAAATCCAAATGTGTGCATTGATTACTTTTAATGTTGTCTGAAAATTACTGGTGGGCTCCCCACGCTGATTCTCAGCACTAAGAGGAACAGCACAAAACCCACCACTGTTTAGCCTTACCTATTTCTTTAATTTTCATGTCCAGAAATATATTTTTTTTCTATAGAAATCCTCTTTTATCCTGCTGGTTTATATGATAACTCACCTATTTAAAATGTAAGTTCTTTCCAGGGCCTGTATTAATCATTTACAGCTCGACAAACAGCTTGCAGAGTTGGAAATTATGATGTGCATTTTTAAAAAAAAATTATTACATTAATAGAATTCTATCCCAGGGATAAAATGTATTTGTTTATACCTATATCTTCTGCAGTGCTAAAAGTTGAATAATTAGAAATATCTGAGTATTCTGTAATTATCAGAACTGTCAGGGCAAGTATGAGAAGAAAAGGAGGAGGAGCAGCACCTGTGGCCAGCAGACAAGCAGGGACAGAGAGAGGGTTCAGGAGCTCCAGCAGTTGGACAGAAAACTTTCCAGAAAAAGCAGAAAGTGAGAACTTGATAGAAATGTTCACCTCTTTTAGTGTAAAGAACGCTGTACTACATTTCTTTTGACCACTGGGATTTCACCATTTTCTTGGACTTGCTGATTCTTTTTGACTCTTTTTGACGAGCACCCCAGCACTTGGAAGCAGGGGATGTCCTGCTGCTCTCTAAAACATTCTGGAAAAGTGAGCATTCTTTGATACATTGTTTGACACCACTTCACTGCTTGTTTCCATCGCTCATCTGCCCAGCACAATAAAATCCATAACAAAGTAACACACATCTAACTCCAGAAATCACTGATTATTCCCGGGAGGAATGAAATTCTCAGAAGGCTCTTGGTAAACAAGAATCCAGCTATCCCACCTAAAAATCTAAACTATTAGTAGAATGTTTGCAGAGTAACCAAGCAAAACAAGAACTAAGCACATCATGTGAAGTTCCCTTTGAATACCATTTTATTGATTTTTTTTTTTTTTTTTGAGGACAGAAAGTCTAAAATGAAACATTCAGGTGGGTTTCTGCCTTAAGCATTACATGCACAGGTGTCTGCAAGTGTCAGAAAGGCACCCAAATTTAACTCCCCCCCTGCTCAGAGGATGCAGGGTAAGAGAGGGCAGTGCTGCCACCTCGTGCCAGCCCCAACAACCAACCCTGCCAAACTAACCCTGCACCCTTAAAATCTGGCAGCTCTTTGAGCCCACAGGCTTCACCTGAATTATGGGAGAGCACAACTACCCAAACCAACCCCTCAAATAACAATAAATATCAGTACTTAATCAGCATGTCTGGCAGCACCTCCTCATTTTGTTTGCCATTCCAACAGTTTAGTCACTCACAACTGTGATAAATTCCAACCACCAGGGATAAGGGCTTTGATAACGATTATTTAGCTCAGATTAGGCCTTTCTAGTTTGGTTTTCTTTTTTGGTACAAAAATCGTGACAAACCACACACGGTTTGGCAGTTCAAAAGATGCATAAAACTTCTAAAACACTCTTACACCCCCACGCTATAAAAAGGGTCTAAATAATAACGGATAAATAATCTTACTGGATAAATATTTAAATACTTTCCTTTCAATCCATTGTTACCTAAAATACAAGCACTTCATCAAACACTACATAATAATGGCAAGAACACGATTTTTTTTTATTTTCCTGTTGACTTACTGATAAATATAATTCTGCCCCGTGGATATTTCAGTTCCACCCCCTCACCAAGAGCCACCAGTAGAAGCAAAAAGGCTGTAAATTGGCAGCACTCACCGATATCGTTTGCTAGAGCAGCAGGATCAGAGACCCCCAGGGTGGCCTCGAACTCCTCCTGAAGGCGGTAAGCTCTCTGGAGAAGAGATTCCAGCTTGTGAATGAATTCAGCGCTGATGATATCCTGCAGGGAGACAGACATCAGGAGATTTCCTACCCATTTACAGTCTGCAAGGCTGCTTTGTGAAAATCTAAGCATGTTAAGCCTTCAAAGAGCAGAGGGTGGCACATTAATCCCCTACAAACAGTCAGGTGGATACTTCAACTTCCAAAGCATACACACTTTTCTGAGCACACATTTATTTTGTGTAGTGTAATAAAACCCAAATCTGAATGTTAAAATACTTCTAAATCACCTGTTTACTGCACTGGAAATGAAAGCCACACGTGTCTGTTCACTCCAAAATATTTGTAGCATTTAGTTCATAGGAATGGAGGAGAACAAAGTTCAGGCATCTTATTTGGGAATATGCACAAATTAATCATCCTTCCTGAGACCTACCTTTGCTAAGCAAATAATCATGAAAGAAAGGGATGAGCCAAGGGATTATGTGCAGAGAAGTACTTGATAACTCGACAATAATCCACAAGCAGACACTGATGCATCAGTGGCAATTGCCAAAGAATAAATAATGCTAATTCTCTTACCACGCCCTCCTTCAGATAACCAACCAAAAAAAAAATCCAAAGGAATGAAGTCAGATGTGCTTTAAGTGCAACACCAGCAAACTGGAAATCGAATTAATTCTCAAGTTTGCTAATGGAATCGCTGATTTTAAACGATTCATGTGATAAAACACGAGGCAATAAAACACTGTAAGGGCAGCACCAGATTGCAGATTGAACGTACTCACTTCTACACTTTCCTCTGCGATGGCATCTCCTGCTCCCAGCTTGATGGAGCCACAGATGGCCTCATCCTCGGCCTGCCTGCTGCGGAAGGTGAGCGCCTGCTCCCAGCGCCGCAGGGCCTCCTCAAACAGCTCCATGCCTAGGGGAGAGCAACCAACCAACTCCACATCAACCAACCCCACATCAACCAACCCCACATCAACCAACCCCACATCAACCAACCCCACATCAACCAACCCCACATCAACCAACCCCACATCAACCAACCCCACATCAACCAACCCCACATCAACCAACCCCACATCAACCAACCCCACATCAACCAACCCCACATCAACCAACCCCACATCAACCAACCCCACATCAACCAACCCCACATCAACCAACCCCACATCAACCAACCCCACATCAACCAACTCCTCATCAACCAACTCCTCATCAAGGGGCATCTCATTGTTTCATGTAAATGTGCTCAGCAATATTGTGTCTCACTTCACCACAAACCCAAGAAGTTATTTACATCCATTACTGAATATTCCTATTCTGACTTACCCATCAAATACAAGTTTTCAGGTGTAGTCACTGGAATATTGACAAGCTTGATGTCATCGTCATCCGCTTTATCCCAGGAATTAGAATTGGCACAAGCACAGCTGTGACAAGAGGTGGCACTCTGAACCTTAAAAAAAACAAACCACAAACACAGATTGTGAAGTGCTGTTATAGAGAGGATCCCTGGAACCACATCACACCCCAGCCATCTGCCTGGAAGCTGATTTTACTGTGGAAGGACAATTGGCACCTCAGCATCTCCAGCCACCTGTGCAGTTTGCTCAGGGGAACCTTTGGATGCATGTTCAGTGCAAGCCAACAGGCACTCAGGAGCCTCGAAACACTTTCACTTACCGAGGTCAGGCTCTGGACTGAACCAGAGTATTTGCTGAAAAGCCCTCCATTTGCATAGATACAAGACTGAGATCCTTTTTCCTTGGCAGAGCTCAGAGAAAGGGTCAGGTTTTGTCGACTGCTGGAACAACTGGAACCTAAGAGAGACACTCATTTTATTGCAAGCTCCCACAAACTCAAAACATCACATCCTTTGCAATTCTAACGAGAATTGAATTTACTCTTCTCAATAAAGTCCAGTTTAGAAGCAAACAACTGTTCTTTTATTTAGAGTTCTGTGTGAAAATTACACATTAGAACAGTCACTACCCATAACAACAACTATGCATTGGAGCATAATTATTTCCCTATTCTATAAAAATTCATCTGCATTTCTCAGTATTAAGATACATCCATTCCTGTGGCCTTTCAGAAAGCACTCTGAGGGGTCTGTCAGCAGAGCCTCGGGCACCAGGGCTGGATGACCTTTTAAGGTCCCTTCCAACTCAAACTATTCTATGATTAAAGGAAAATAAATGGTTGATTCCTGCTATGCACACCCATCCCCTCACAGCCCTTTTCTTCCTCTCCAAGAAAGCAACAACAACAACAAAAACCCCAGCTTGGGGGTTTCCAAGATGTACCTTTTTCTGAATCAGCTGCTTTGGTGCACTCCAACACCAGATGATTTGGTTCCCATGGGGGCACTTTCTTGTTTTTCTTTCCCCGTCTCCTTTTGAAGTGATGGGCCAGAAAAATCACTGATATTGCACTCACTGCTGTGACTGTGAAGAGCTTCTTCAACCCAGGGGAGAGCTTTACCTGAAAACAAGTGTGACTTTGGTGAGAATACTCACACTGAGAGCCAGCTTGCAGCACCAAGAACTATGAGGTACATTGCTAAGCAAATAACTTTCTAATAATCCTTTTTTGTTTTTTTTTTTTTAATTTTCCTAATGCCAGGACGATGCAGGGCTTCAATTAATTCTCTAACAGCAAAAAAAACATTGAGAAGGAACTCACCCCTCATAACCACACAATTTCCTGCCCTGTGAAGGATCCTAAGGACAACGTTTGTGTGGTGTTTCAACTCGGGAAAAAGATGTATTTAAGCACATTTCTCTAAATAAACAGTTAAAAACGGGTTTTGAAAGCAGAACTAACATCTATTAAAAATACTATTTGTATTCATATTATAAACTTCTGTCTAGTTATTCTTGTCAATCATTCAGCATACAAAGAATGGGAAAAAGAAATCTACTGGGCCATATTTTGCACAGCCAACTAGAAACTCTTTTTCTCATCCTTTGCATTACAGACTCCAGGGCCACCTGTAAACAGAAGCAGTGTGATGAATGGAGCCTTGAGATTTCCTTTGAAGGAAATCTTTCCAGAAGTCAAATGGAACAAAGAAAACCAGCATAAAGGACTGAGGGTGTTTAAAAACCAGTCTGCTTTTAAAGAATCTTGGTTTAGTCACTGTGGCCCTTACTTCATCAAATAAAAGTGACTCAAAAGCTAGAATAAGGGTTTTTGGTTTACATTAATGAATTATCATTCAAATTAATCTGGCAAGCAGCACTGGTAATCTATAAAGTATTTCACACCACATTTGACATTATTATTCAAAATTTAGTGAGTTAGGTTTAATTTTTGAATATCCCAAAATTCTACAGGAAAAAACCAGGATTTCAATATTTGGTGAGAATCATTGCACTGTTACAAAATGGAGCCACAGAGACACTGCAGGTAGAGCAGATGGGTGATGAGGTACTAAGCATTTATTAGCAGAAATAGACAAAAAGCCCTGCTTATGTTAGTTCAGTGTTTTGAACAAACTAAGCCCCAGGGCATTCTGTACAAATTTAATTCACATCAAGATCACAAGAGTACGTAGGACAAAAGCAACAGTATTTAGCTAATATATTTATTACCTGGTTAAGAGAATAATACCAAGAAAGGGGGAGATGAAACACCCTCAAAGCTGCCGTCTTGAGAGAAAATCGTGTCTCAGTAACCCCTTCTTCTGACATGGCTCCTTCTCTCCCATAACCTCATCAAGCGCAGCTCTCTCGAAAGCAAGCACAGACGGTCTCCGGAAGGCTCTGTCAAAGCAAGGATACACACCAAGTTACGCAATAGAAAACCCCGGACAGTTTTCCTTCTGCGAGCTCGAATCTCTTACATAACAGGTACACGACTTGTTTGATTGATGCTCTTGAGTACGGGCAAGACCGGGCGAGGAGACAGCAAAATAAACCTGCCGGTTCAGCTCAGGGCCCGCTGCGGGCGGACCTGCAGACGAGCCCGGGCTCCACAGACCTCACTGACCACATCCTCCAAATCACGCGCGGCAACAACCCCGCTCCTCAGATCGCTGCTGCCGGAAGGCCGTGTTTGCCAGCCAGAAGAATTACCGGCCCTGAGAGCAGGCAGGACAAGTTCACGCCGCCCGGAGCTGCCGTCCCTGGGCGGACACACCGCGAGGAACGAGCCCACAGCCTGACGCAATGCCCGCCCAATGCTCGCTCCCGCGGCTCCGGCACAACGCGGAGCCTCCGACCCGCGACCAGGGGCCGCCACCGCGGCACGGCGGGAGGGAGGCGATGGAGGCAGAGCCCGGCCCCGCCGAGCCCTCCGCAGCGCGGGCAGGCGGCGGGCACAGCCGGGGTACCCCCCGCGCCCCTCAGCCCCGGCCAAGGCGGGCGCGCCTCTCCCCGGGGCCGCCCTGGGTTACCTGCCCACGGACAGCTCCCTCCGCTCCCGCTGCCGCCCCGGCGCTGCCCGGGGACCGCCGGGATCCGCTTCCGGCACAGCGAGCAGCGCCCGGGAAGGCGGGCAGAGAAGGAGACAACGCCGCGCCCTCAGGAGCCCGCGGCCGCCATCTTAGCGCCGGGCAGGCTCCCGCCGCGCTGCGGGCGGGGCGGGGCCTGGCGCCGCCATCTTTGTGCGGGGCAGCGCTCACGCAGGGCTGGCAGAGGTGTTCGGCGGCGCCATCTTTGACCGGGGCGCGAATCCTCCTGCCCGCCCGCACCGCGGCAGCCGCGCCCGCCTCTGTGCGGGTGTGCGTGCGACTGTGTGTGTGCGGGTTTGCGTGTGCGGGTGTGTGTGCGGGGCGGGCCCTGCCCTGCCCTGCCCTGCTGCTCTGCCTGCACTGCCGTGCATTGCCTGCATTGTCCTATCCTGCCCTGCCCGCATTGCCGTGCCCTGCCCTGCCCCGCCACGGTACCGCACCGCCCCCGCCCCGCCCCCGCCCCCGCCGCGGCTCCGCAGGCAGGCAGGGCTGAGCCCTGAGGGCCCGGCTGAGCCCTGAGGGCCCGGCTGCGCTGCGGGCGCGGCGTTTCCTCCCGGCGGAGCTGCGGTAAGAGGGGAAGGGCCGCGCTGGGGCGGCGGGCGGTGGCCGGGCCTGTGGTGGGGGTGTGCGGGCCAGGACCGGCCGTGAGGCGGCCCCGGAGCCCTCAGATCCCCGCGGGCGCTGCTGCGGTGCCGGGGGGTACCGGCGACCCCTGAAAACAGCGATTTACCCGTCAATTGCTCCGCTCGCCCCCCGGGTTACCCCTGCGCACGGGTGGGGGGAAGGAAAGTGCGGGGGTATCGTGCGGGGGTATCGTGCGGGGGTATCGTGCGGGGGTATCGTGCGGGGGTATCGTGCGGGGGTATCGTGCGGGGGTATCGTGCGGGGGTATCGTGCGGGGGTATCGCCCAGTGGAAAATCACCGTGGGCTTCGCCTGCAGAGCTTGAGGGCTGAGCCCGGGCCGGGAAAATCCTCTTAGGAATATAGAGGTCAGCTCAGGGGCTTCGCAGTGGGGGTTTGGAGCGGTGGAAGGAGGAAATGAAGGAAGGGCCGGGGTGCCTCGGAAAGGCGATGTAAAATAAAAAATGCCTGGCTCTGTGGAAGGGGCATCCCCTCGACTCAAGGCTTTTTTGTGTTTTTTTAAATGGCCTTTCTCTTTGGCGACAGTACTTCATGGCAGGGAAAAGAAAAAACCAAACAGCTAATGGAAGTGGCTTAAGGAAATTGTGTCTTGCTTGAGTGGGCACCTCTTGGTGCATGAGGAGGAGGAGCAGGTAATCTCTCACCAGCTTGCTGAACGTGCTCTTGTTGTTTGCTGGGAAAATACCAGGTTTTGTGCTGAACAGATGAAGTAAGTTTTCGATCAGAGTTGGGATTGGCGTTGTCGTTTTTATAAATTTTTTTTTAAAACTCTCGTTTAGAGTTGACAGGCTAAAAAAAGGTAGAAATGGGGAGGGATGGGAGATGAAATTCAAACCTCAGCTATTGATCAACAGAATATAAAGGAATTTAAGCCGAGAAATTGGGAAGATTAACCTTAATTTCACACGCTAAGAAGACTAGTTTCAAGTTTGGTGTTATTCATGTATATTGTTATGATGAAGTGATTTCTCCAAAGTTTATAAAGAACACAGTTCTTTAGAAAACTATTAGAAAACTACTAGAAAAATACATGTCTTACAAATCTGAATATGTCTGAGGCTGTAGCTCCAATGGGCCTGTATAGTTTGGAGTGAATGCTGGTGAGTTTTTTCCTGAAGTGTGAAGAATATCAGTGTGGTAAATAATTACTGAAGTTCCAGAGCTCTTTAGTGTTCTGAGTAATTAATTGTTCAGGTACAAAATTGCACCGTGTGTCACTTTTGCCTTGCTGCCATTAAAAAAAATGTGTTAAATGAAACTGTTCCGGTGCATCATTAGTAAAATAACTGTGAGTGCAACGAAGGAGCCTGAACTTTAAACTTACTGTTTGATAGGCTGTTATTCAGAGCTCTACAGGCAAAATTATAAAAGCCTCTAACGAAGATACAATTGCTCCTTCATGCAATTGATGTCTTCAGAATAATCCTTTTATTGTTAAAATCTTCTGCCATCATTCCCTTGCTGAACTCTGTCAAATGACCTGATAAAATGGCTCCATATTTGGGGCAGCAGTGGAATATTTGATATATATGTTTGCTGTGACATCTGCTGAAGTGTTCACTGCTGTAACTGGGCAGGTGAAAACATTGATTCGAGACTTTTTGAAGGAATTCCGAATGTGTTTTGTTCCTTTAGGAGGTACCGGGCTCCCTGCATGAACCTAAGATAATTTTCATAGATCAGTTGAATTCCCCTGGTGTTTGATGGGGTTTTTCTGTGGGCTGTGTAATAGGCCTTCCACAGGAGGCACCACAGAAGTCTGTGATGATAAATAAAGTTGCTGTCATGATGCTTTGAATGATGATTCCCATTTCTCTGATGGCTCAGGGGGGAAAAAATTACTTTGGTCAGCGAAAAGACTTAAACAGGAACACAAAAAAACCCAAGACTGGACTTCAAGGCTGCAGAATTCTGTCCTGGACACGTGGGGAGCGTCTGATGAGATGCTTGTTGCATGAACATGGTCGTGAATGGTTCGAGTGGAGACAGGCTGGGAGAGCTGGGGCTGTCCCCTGGACAAGAGAAGGCTCCAGGGAAACCTGAGAGCATCTTCCAGTGCCTGAAGGGCTCCAAGAGAATTCCAGCAGGACTTTGCAAAGGGCCTGGAGTGGTAGAACAAGGGGGGATGGCTTTAAACAGTAAGAGGGCAGGGTTAGATTAGGGATTGGGAAGAAATTGTTCCCTGGGAGAGTGCTGGGGCGCTGGGGCACTGGAGCAGGGTAGCCCAGAGAAGTTGTAGATGCCCCATCCCTGAAGTGTCCAGGACCAGGCTGGGTGGGGCCCTGAGCAGCCTGATGTGGGGAGTGGCTTCCCTGCCCTGGCACAGGGGTTGGAACGAGGGCATCTTTAAGGTCCCTTCCAGCCCAAAGCATTCTGTTCCTCAGGATATCACTGGAGCCATGGAGATAAACTCCAGCTTTGGAACGGGGGGATCAAATCCAGTGCAGCAGGAACTTCAAAAGTAGGGTTTGATTTGGTTTTTGATTACTGAAAATGCAGAGAAACGACTTCTGAGTGAGGTCAAGGCAGGGCAGAAGCTGGTGGAGAAGTAGATGTGCTAATGAGCTGCAGCAGAGAGGAAGATAAGCAATCCCTTCAGATAAAATAGGAAGTGGTGAAATGGAGGAAGGGCAGGGATCGAGGGAGGGGCTACCCTGGGATTGCAGGACTGAGGTGAAGGATGAGTCACGGGTTTGAAATGAATTCTACAGTTTTAGACTTGCACATGAAATTACACCAACTGTGGTTCTGCAGTTGGGTGATGTTAAGCTACCGGTGTGATGGCAGTGCAGTGAGTTATCAGTGCTGCCAGATGGAAGGAGCTGTGCAAGAATTTGGTTAGCAAAGGGTGAAAGAAAGGCCATTCAGCTTTGTTCAGGTAATGCCAGGTGAAGAATCTGTGTCATTCGCTGGACTTCCACGAGGGATGCTCTCTGTACGGGCAGGAGTAGGGATCACATCCCCAGGGACATGAGCTGGAACGTGGTTTGGTCTTTCTGATGGTTGTTAAAAGAGGAGAGGTTCAGCCAAGGAGCAGAAAGGGGCGTGGGCAGAGCTCCTTCCCAATGAAGATGCACACTCACACATGAGATTATATACATGTTAAATATATAATAATATTGTAATACTTATAGATAAGTAATTGTTTATATGTAAAGAAAATATATTTAAGTGTATATATGAAGGTACATACCTATTTTTTCCAATACAAATAATATAAATGCTTTAATAATATTTGTAAAACAGTATCTCTAGGGCTGACACGCTGAGTGCTCCTGGGAGTGCCAAGTGTCAGTTTGCTTTTGATATATAATATGTCTGAATCCAGGATGCCTCTGTAAATAAATAAAACCAAGATAAAGTTTCCTTATCCTGTGATAAGCAAGCCCTGTGCTCCTGCAGTTGAGCCCTCACAGCTTCAGCACACTTGGCTTGAAAAGTGCAATTTTTATGTCCTTGGGGTGCCGTGGCAGAGTCCAGGAAGTTAAATAATTAATCCCAATCAGCTCTGCTCCTTTCAGGATTTTGTTACTTTATGCCCTGCAAGTCAGCAGGGTTTGGATGGGTTAATAAAGTCATCTGTACTAAGTTACTCTAAACAGACACGTTGTTTTAAAAGTTATATACATGTTGCATATTGGTGTAAGGAATTGGTTCTTGCTCATTCTCGCTCCTGCTGGCAGGTGATTCCCTGGTGCTGAAGATTCCAGCCCTGGGATCTCAGGATCTCAGGAAACACCACCATGTCAGCAGCTGGCAGTGACTGCCCACACTTGGAGTCGGTTGGGGAGATAACAAAAGAGGAGTTGATCCAGAAATCCCACGTGAGTTGTGGCCATTTCCTCTCTTCCTGGGATGTTAACTGGCCAGTTACTTTAGGAACATAATTTAGTGTGGTTTTAGTCATAAGATGCATTTAAATGTTAAAAATAAGTAAAAGTCTTCCCTACTGGAACAGGGAGGTTTCACCAAAACGTGGGAAGAATCCTGGACTTGAGGAAGCTGAAAAACCATTTTCCAAAGCAGGTGATGTTTTGGTTGAACATCAGTTCCCAGAGTTAGCACAGCACCAAGCTGCCCTGGATTTTCATTGCCACTGCAGCACTGGGTTGGTTGGGATGTTGATGTAACATTGTACAACTGCTTTGGCTTCCAGTAGAAACTGTGACAAAGGAATTCCTGCTGGGATTTCCTTGGGTAACAGTTCTGGTTTTGATAGAGGAGACAGGGTTTGAGAAACTGCCCCTCCCTGAACTCCTGGGTTCAAGCAAGTGTTAATAAATGGAACAAAAAAAGATCTTGTAACCCCCTTTTAGGAGCTGGGAGGTGATGAAAAGTCAAACCTTTTCTGTCCATGGTGCTAAATTTCTTTAGCTGAAAAACAGCAGTGAATTTGCTGCTGAGGAGGGCAGCATTTTTCTAATGTTGCATCTTTTTTTGTGTAAACCTTTGCAGGTAATGTCTGCAACAACTAGAAATGTGGGGTTCTCCCCTGGTGTTCTATCACTTCCATCTCTTTTTATGTTACATTTATAGGAAAGGCAAATTTTGATGATGATGATGATTATTATTATTATAATGCCATGTAATATATGTTTATGCCTTATTTATAAGAACAGCTTTTTGGTTTAAGATGAAAACTTATTTATAGTTTTGTCTTGAAGTTGTGGTTTGCTGGTGTAGGGAAGTGAAATAATACTTAGCTTTTGTGTTTAACTTCAACAGGGCACTTGCCAGGACTGTAAAGTCAGAGGACCCAACCTTTGGGCATGCTTAGAGGTGGGTTGGTTTTAAGAAAAATCTATAATAAAATTGTTGCAATCAGTTTATTTAAGTTATTATTTAAAAGCAAAAGTCCTTCTGCAGTTCTTTTGTTTTTAAAATTATTTACCCTCCGTCGGGTACCTATTTCTTGTAATTTAAGAATAATGTGCTTAAAATGAGATTTTTTAAAGAAGTAACTTCTTGAGTTATGATATTTTGCTTCTAAGTTTTGGAGGTTTTCTAAATTTTTGCCCTGGGTGTGTAGATTTAAAAAATAATATTCCTGAGTTAATTAAGTTACTTTTTATAAGCCTCTCTTAGCATTTGTAGCAATAACATCTAGCAGTAAATGCTGACTTTTTACAGGCTAATACCTACTCTGACTTTTTTATTCTTAAGCAGAACAAAGATAAATTATTTTCACACTTGTAGAAGGTTGTATAAACATTCTGCACACTCTGCACAAATTTTGTGCAGTCTTTACCCTGGATACAGTTCTGTCTTAACTGTGCTTTTGCCTTGCTCTTCTACCAAAAAATGTCATTTTCACTGGATTTAAAAAAAAAAAACAAACCAAAAGAAACACAAAAAACCAAAGAAAGAACTCTGAAAATATTGCTACTGATTGACGTGTGATACCAACTGGAAAGCACATGGCTAATTCAGATTTTGGAATGTCTTGGGTTCTTGGGACTCACAGCTCTTTCCAGAGATGGAAATATTGCCCTGTAGCCTTGACTTCATTTCTTGGCAACTTTTCCTTCAGTGCTGTCAGGAAGAACTCCAGGCTAAGGTGCCAAGCTTTAGGTGTATGTATGAATATTTTTTAAAAATCCACTTCATCAGTGTGGATTTTTTTTTGCCCTTTTGAGTGGATTATGGTAAAGAGATCAGATTATTTTGCTCCTTCTGTCAACGCTGGGAGATGAAGGCAGAAAGAAACAGAGTTAATATCTTTTGTTAGATGGCTTGGAGTTTAATTACCTATAAAAACCCTCCTGGGAGCAGGAGGAGGTGTCCAGGGGTGCACCAGCCTGGCAGGTGGGGAAATGCTGTCCAGCTTCAACCGTGTTTGTCATTTCTGATGTCGAGCCCTGAGGCCATCACTGAAAAACCTCCATTTCCTACCAACATTTCCGTAGGACAGGCTTGTAGTTGCAGCAGGACACTTAGTGCTGGCACACTGCTCCTCTGGGATGAACTGGCACCTTGGCTCCACCTTTTGCACTAGACAGCCCCGGTGAGATGCCAGCATGTCAACTGTCTGCGACTTAACAAACACCTGGGAGTGTTTAACGTGAAAATCCACCCCGGTCAGCCGCTCTTCCGCTGTGTAAATTAACCTGCTTGGGGACTGGCACAGATAACCTGCCCTGCCCTCCTGGGGGGTTGTCTTGACTCGTGCACACGAGGAACTAATGACAACTGCTTGGAGATTGGCAGCTGCAAGATTGCAGGCTCCACTCAGCCAAACGTGCTCTGCAGTGAGCGTGGTTAAAGTCAGCAGTTATTTTGCATGTCGTGACTACAATGCAGTTTCTTAGCTCTGTAGTGCTGGAAACTCTCATTTCAAGGTGAAGAAACTAACTGGTTGTGAAGCAGTAGTGATAAATAGGCACTGCAGGTGGGGGCTTACAGGGATTTTTGGATAAATGTGTCATGTTTGAGGCTGTTGCCATTCAGTGTTTTACCATTTAGATCTTGCATTAGCTTTGTATTTTCTGTAACAATCTTTACCAAATGGTGACTTGTAAAAAACACACGTTGACAATAATATGATTAAACATATAAAAATGGCCAAAAAATATATTCCAAGCACATTATTTGTCTAACACTGCTCATCAGTGAGAGAAGCTGAGTTAAATCTTGCAGCATTTTTTTTTGCTTTAGGTGATACTGTACTTGTTTTAATGCTCACTGTGCATGTCTCTTGGTTGGTGTCTGCAAGTTTGACATTGGAGTGAATTTTAAAGGGATTGGCAGTGTGTTCCTGTTCTGCAAAGCTCTTTGCCACCCCTTTTTGATTCTGTGTCCTTGTCCATCTCTTGCTCAACAGAACAGGTGCACCTACGTTGGCTGTGGAGAATCCCACGTGGATCACAGCACCACCCACTCCCAGGTATGTGCATTTACCTGTAACACAGGGAAGTAAAATCAGAGACCTTTGACTTCAGTCAAGTCATGTATCTAGAATTATAACACCTCAGTTGTAGCTTGCTTGTAATTATTCCAAGTTTCTGAATCCCAGTTTTGGTTTGTGGTCTGTTTTAGGAGACAAAGCACTGTCTGACTGTCAACCTCACCACCCTGCGAGTCTGGTGCTATGCCTGCAGTAAGGAAGTGTTCCTGGACAGGAAGCTGGGATCTCATTCTCCACTGCCAAGTGCCAGATTGTCCCAGCAAGCACAAGAAAATAGTGTGCAGGTATTGTTTAACCCAGCGAGGCAAAGGCAGCTGTAGCTTTGCAGTAAATATTGTGTTTTCTCCCAGGAGAGAGACTGACTTTTCCTCCGTTCCTATGGCTGAACGTTTTTTATGAAAATGGAGAGGAATGAATAGAATTTTTTAAAGAGATATTGCCCAGCTTCTGTGTCCTGCCTCTGTGTACTGCTTGCTTCCTGACAATACTTTTTCATCTTCTTGTCTAATTTGTAATCTACAATCAACTGTAAGGCACAGAAAGGCACAGGGTTAAGTTAAGGTTACAAAACTGCAGTAGTTCACCTGTGCTCCCAGCTCTTGAAAATGTTCCAAAAATGGGTGAAATTTTGGTGCAGAATGACAAAAATGTTGTGTTGGGTTCATGTAGGAAAACACAGAGCAAACTAGAGATGGACAGAATGCTTCAGTGCTCTGGGGCAGTTGGGATTGCCAAGCAAAAACATGGGCAGGATCTGGGGAGTTCATGTTAGTTAATTAAACACAGCCTTAGGATCGTGATTATGCCCAGGTTGGACAGAAAGATGGGCAGCTTTTCAGTGCATGTAAAGAGGAAATACCCTTTAACATTTTCACTTCAAAGTTTAGTATTTAATATGAACGTAATCTGATTGTTTTCTCATAAAATTCCAGCTGCTCAACTGGAATAGTGCCATTGGAATTTTTTAAAATTTCTCTTGTCTGGAAATTCTGGTCACTTGGAATGAAGCTGAGTTCAGGCTTCTGAACTTGTGTTCTATTAACCTGCTTTAATCTTCCAAGAAGATTATATATATATATATACAGAAAAATAAGTCTATCAAGCATTTTGTTTAGGGTTTTTATTTATGTGCTTATAGAAAGAGCTTGTCATGCAGTAAATGCCTGCCTGCCTGATACTTTCTTTGTCTATTTGTACATTTTTCTTCCAAGGGTTTAATTTGCCTTCATTAACCACAGTGAGCCATCTGGTGGCACATCAGAAACACCTTCACTGATGTTTGTGTGGTGGCTCCTGTGTCAGCTCTTTTTTTTTTTATCCAAGGGGGAGGAATTCTATCCCTGGCTTTGTTTTTTGATTCTTCAGCTGTTGTTATAAAATACTGATCTGAAAACAAAAGCCTGGGGGTTTCTTGGTAAACTTTCTCAGGGTGCCTGTGGAACCCTGGTGTTGTCCCCTCATGTGCAGTGAGATTTCAAAATGAATTCACATGATTTCTGCATTTGTTGGTAAAATTATACAGGAGCTTAATTAAGAAGAAAAGTGACAAATACAAGTAAAAATACTTTTTTTCTTTTTCTCCTTACAAGGATTTTAAAATACCCAGTAATCCCACACTGAAGATTCCACTGGCAGCTGTGTTTGATGACTTGGATATAGAAGTGGAAGAAGATGAATTGAAGACTAGAGGTAATCAAAGCAAAATGCAGTAATTATTATTTCTTGGAAGTCTCAAATCCTTAGTGATCACTCTGAAAAGGATATATGTGTTTGATGGTAAAGAAAATATTTCAAAGTACCATTTTCTTAGGAAAAACCTGGCCAGCAGATTGCTGAGCTGTCGTTTTGGAGATGCCAGTGCATGTGTCAGGGCAGTTTGTATTCCATCAGTGATGACAAAATAACTTATTCTAATTTATGCATGGGTTTGATTTGGCTGGTTTGGCTGAGCCAGAGTGAATTTTCTGGCTGGTGGCTGCTGTGGGCCCGTGGTTTGGAGTTGTGATGGACACAGTGTTGATGATACAGAGATGTGTCAGCTGTTGACAAGCAGGGCTTACCCTCAGTCCTTCCCTGCTCCTCACTCAGCCCCACCAGTGAATGGGCAGGGGGTGCACGAGGAGCTGGGACAGGGACGTTCCAGCCCATATCCTGAGGGAAGAGGGGGATTTTAAGGGTTAGGGTGCTTGTCTTCCCAGTGCTGGTGATGGAGCCCTGTGTCACCTCCACTCTTCCAGCTCTCCCCCTGCCCCCGGGAGGGAGCCACGGGGGGGTTGAGTGGTTAAACCACAACAACGGGTGTCACTGATCCTCCACTCACCTGCCATCAGCCTCCCCTCACTGTGCTGCTCCACTCACCTGCCATCAGCCTCCCCTCACTGTGCTCCTCCACTCACCTGCCATCAGCCTCCCCTCACTGTGCTCCTCCACTCACCTGCCATCAGCCTTCCCTCACTGTGCTCCTCCACTCACCTGCCATCAGCCTCCCCTCACTGTGCTCCTCCACTCACCTGCCATCAGCCTCCCCTCACTGTGCTCCTCCACTCACCTGCCATCAGCCTCCCCTCACTGTGCTGCTCCACTCACCTGCCATCAGCCTCCCCTCACTGCTGGCCCTGCTCACACAGCCTGCCCTGTCCCTTCTGTTGTCTGGCACAGTCTCTGGCTGTGTCATCACCCCCTAATTAACCATCTGCCCTTCAATCATGCAGCCATGTGTTTGATGCCTGGCTAGTTTCTCCAGCCCGTGGGTGGATTTGCAGAGCTCTGCATCTTGTCCTGTTAATATTTTGGGGAATGTAGCCTTGTAGGAATAATCTACAAGGATATACAGTTGCACTGAAGGTCCCAGAAAAAATGATGTGTCTACGTTAAGACGTTTATCAAATTGAAAGGAAGAAACTTCTTCAGCTTTAATTTTAACTTTGTTCTTCAAATTTCTTCTGAAATGCTTTTGGTGAAGCAAAGGAGTCTATTTGAAAGCTTCCCTTGCAATGTTACAGGCTGGAAAAACACAGTGAGAATATCTTCCTGATAATCTGCTGCTGTTAAAAAAAATTGAATTCAAATTTTCAGGGAGTTAAAATCCTATGACTGTTCTTGTTTTGCAGTTTTAGTCAGAATGGTTGTTCTTTCTGTAGCAGGAATTGGAAGGGCAGAATGCAGGTTCAGGTACAGGAAGCAGGACTGTATTTCCATTTAGATAGAAGGATATTTTAAAACTCAATTTTTAGGTTCTGTGTTTTAGAAAGATTTTCTTAGTATGTTTTCTTTTCCTGCCCCAGTCTAATAAAACAACTGGGGTTGTTCCTGTACTTCAAGAACTGCACAGAGCCATCAGAGTTTATTGCTGAGTGTTTCCAGTCCTGCTGATTTTTTTTTGCTCAGAAATGTTACTGTCTCCTCATAGAAAAGCTGTTTCATTTTGAATTTAATGACTTCATTGGTGTGACACTTCAGTAGCCATGAATAGCATAATTAATAATCACAGAAAGAATATGTATGTTGATCTTAAAGGTATAGAATTGGAGTAGGAAAGGACTGATGGCAGGTGGTTGTAATTGTGATTCTGGGGTGATCACTGAGCAGCTTTGGAATGTTTGGCACAATCTGACTGTTAGCAGGAACTGGGGACAGAAGAACAAAGGCTTTGACAAGCTGAGGGTGAGGAGATTACATTGACAGCACAGCAACAGTTTAACTGAACAGATAAATCGTGAGGTAAAACTTAAATATTGAGGAAAATATTCTAAATGAAAATCTGCAGGTGTCATTAACCACCAGAAGCTGGGAGGATGAAATACAATCCACCTGTCTGCAGTGCTTCAGTCAACCAAAATCAACCCACTAATTACTGTTCCTACTTAGATTAGCATTCTTTAGGATCCTGGGTTTCTTTTAGTTACAATTCTGCATTACAAGGGGCACCCCAAGTGTTCCAGGAGTATTTTGATGAGCAGGTATTTTCTAGGAAGTTATTTTCCTTAACATGTTTTGGATTGCTGAGCATGTTCATTCTGTTTTTCAGGTCTAACAGGATTAAAAAACATTGGAAACACTTGTTACATGAATGCAGCTCTACAGGCCCTTTCCAACTGGTAGGGAAAATGATCCTGGAGGAAATGGGGATTTCCTCTCATATTTTAACCACCTTAAAAAAAAAAAAATCTTCTGTGTTTTTCTTTTCCTTCAGCCCACCTTTGACACACTTTTTTCTGGACTGTGGAGGCTTAGCCAGAACAGATAAGAAACCAGCAATTTGTAAGAGTTACCTCAAGCTGATGACAGAACTCTGGCACAAAAGCAGGTATTGCATCATTTGGGTGATGAAATAATAACAAACAGACTCCAAATAAAGATAGAAAATTCCACTTAAATGCTTGCTTTTTAATGGTTATGTATTTAAATCTTTTTTTTTTTCAGGCCTGGATCTGTTGTTCCTACTGGTTTATTCCAAGGAATTAAAACTGTTAATCCAATGTTTCGAGGCTACTCCCAGCAGGTAAAACTGTCTGATGTCTTTGAAATCTGCCCAAGCCACTGAAAAGCTGAGGCAGAAATCTAAAGCTGGAGAGCCCATCCTCCCTGTATTTGTTTGAAGCAAATGCCCTGTAAATTTGAGTTGATGTGCTTGAAATGCTGATCATCTGAAGTGGAACAATCAGCAGGTTAAGTCAGGTTAAACAAGATAAAGGTGTTCAGAAATAACAGATTATTTTTATATATTTCTCTACCAATGATGTTGGGGGTTTTTTTTAATTAAATAATATGCAATTTTCATTTGGCATCTTTGGGCAAAGGACCCACCACTGTGTGTTTGAGAAGCTGTGTTGTGGGAACTGTAAGTTGTTAAATACACATGGATTTTATATTCCAAGGCATTCTTCAGTTGATCCTCCAGGCTTTTACCTTGCTGCATTCACACAGTTTGCAGCCCTTCATTCAAAGCTTTTGGGTGAGATGAAACATTTCAATCCCTGTAATTAGAAAAGCTTAATGGTGCCTTCCAGGGACCTGTGTTTATTAAAGGGAATTTTGCTGTTTCAGTTGCTGTGCTTCATACTTGTGGTTGGAGGATTAGAACACATATTTAATGATCAAATGCTGCATGGGGCTGTAAAGTCATTGTCCAATATTCAGGGAGGAAAAAGGAATGATATATATTATTTTAGATATATATATTTATTTGTAAAAGGATTGCCAGCAAAGTAGGCATCCTAGGGTTTTTTTATTACCCAGACCCCAAACTCAAGCCTGAAAGTTGTAGTTTCGAAGAAAAAGAACATTTTGTGGCTTAATAATTATTATGAGGGATGGGAATGCTGAAATTAGAATAATGGACCCCCAAATCCAAAAAGGAGCCCAGGAGACAGCAGAAGCAGCACTGGTTGCCCAGAAAAGGCTGCTTTTTCTCACCTGCTTTGTTACAGATTCTCTGTTGCCCAGGGCCAGGCAGCTGCCTGGACTGGTGCAATTTGGCAGCTTTTAAGATGTTTCCAAACACAGATTAGACTTGGAGTAATTCTAGACAGCCCTTTGGAGAAACACTTGCAGTGGGGGAGTCTTGTTGAGGCTTTGGAAGAAGAATTGAAATCTTGATGACAAATGGCTGCAGGAAACATGTGTGGTCCTTATTCTTTAACAGCCAGCTGTAGTTTATTTATATATATATAATTCATTTTCATTATCTGCATCTTTTCCTGATAATTACTTTAATACCTTCCAAGTCCAAATGGCCTAGGATGGTAAACCTTGTTCCAAATCCTAGGATGCCCAAGAATTCCTGCGTTGTCTGATGGATCTGCTGCACGAGGAGCTCAAAGAGCCGGTTGTGGAACTGGAAGATTCCCAACCTCTGAGTGCTGAGGAGAGCATGGAGGAGGACAAGAGCCAGTCAGAGCTCAGCTTCCAGCCCTGTGAATCCTGTGGCAACTGTGAGAAAGCAGACAGTGAGGCTCTTTTCAAACCTGTGTTAGAGGATCCTGCAGAAACAACCATGTTGATCCAGGAGGATGACAACAACTCGCTCACATCCAAAGACTGGCAGAAAGAGAAAGCACCGAGCAACAAGCTGAAAAGAGCAAACTCCCTGGAAGACTTGGAAAAAGACACAAACACTGCCTCAGAGACCACTGAATTCCTGAATAATCAAGGAACTGTCAAAGTGCAGATACACAGCAGGTTCTCAGGTAATGCATTAGTGGGCTGCAGTTGAAGGAGTCCCATTGTCAGGATATCTGTGGAAGTGGAAGTGAGTTAGGGAATGTATTACAGGTACAGGTCAAGCAGGGTGGGTGATTTGATTGTAAACAATGTACCTATTAGTTTATTTTTTCAGTTCAGGTGTTCTGAATTCGATTTAATGCCCTTGAAAAGCCAACAGTTTGTACTGGGTGAGGTTTCAGATAGTCCAGAGGGGTGGGCTTTTTGGGTTTTGAGTTCAGAGGCACTGAAATGGTGCCTCATCCCTGAGTGTCACACCTGGCAGTGTGGTCAGTTGGGTTACACGATCATTGTCTGTTCATTCTGCAGTCATTTCCCCCCTAGACTTTATGCAATAATGGCAGTATTAATTGCAGAATACATCAGTGATGTCCACATGAGTGACGTGTCTGCAGCCCCAACCCCCTCCTCAGCAGAAGGGATGAACACACGCTTGTCAAACAGCCCTCCCAAATCCTTCTCATCGTGCTCCTCGCTGGCCCCAGTCCACAAAAAAGGTACAGGCCCTTTGTTTCCTCCCCCCTGGAATGAATTACTCTGTTTTACAGTTTTCATCTGTTCCTCATGTCTTGTGTAACAATGCAGTGCTGTTCTTGAGGGGGTTTTTATGGCCTATTTCTCGTGGGGAGAGAGAGGAGAGCGCTATGTAAGCTGGACATAAAACATCCCTCCCTGTAGTTCTGTAATATTCTGGTTCTCCTGAAGCATGAATAACACTCACCTCTGTTTTGGGAGGATGGAATAACACTTGTAGACAATTTTCTCAATTGCAGTGGCTTGGAGAGAGGAGAAACATTAAGAATGTAGTACCCCCAGAACCAAAAACCCATGCACCTTGAATATTGTGACCCTCTGTCATTCAGCAAGCTGGCCAGGAGAAGTTCTGACCATCTTCATGTTGTCCTTTCAATGCTTTAATTTCATGTTGAATGACAGTGCTTTAATGGACTTCAATCATTGACATCCTTCTGGTTTGAAGTTCAGTTGTTCAGCAGTGGTGACACTTCATCTGTACCCCTGTCTCCAGTTTGGGCTTCACCATTTCAGGAGAGTTTCAGATAAACTGAACAGGTCTGTCACAAGGGGTACTGGGTGGCTGGAGCCTGTCCTGCACAAGGAGAGGTTGAAAAGCCTGGATTTTTTCAATAACCTGGTGTTAGGCTGGACTCCAGAGCACATTTATTCTGCTCCAACCCCTGTGATTGGTGTTGGGATACAGGAACCTTGTGTGTGTGAGCTCTGCAGCCCAGCGTGGTTAAACCTGCTGGGGAGCTGTGATCAGATGAAGTGTCAGGCAGGATTTTTGACCTTCTCCCTGGGGGATTGCTGCCAGGATGACTCTCGTGGCAGGGGGCTGTGGTATCAAAACTGGCAGTTGGAATTCCACTGCCAGAGGCCAAAGTTCCTGGTGTTTGTCCCCCATAAACTGCATGAGGAACCCACATGTGTTGACTGGCACTGGCGGCAGTCTGGTGGGGTGATTTCTAGGAAATATTTAGTAAATAGCACTCAGGGCTCAGCTCATCATTTAACCCTAAATATGTGTGACTTCCAGCAATACAGAGCTGAAGGGAATCTGCTGTGGTTTGATTTCCTGCAGCATTTTATTTCTGTCCTTTTCCAGCTCCAGCCGTGTCCTCCCCCAAGAGGAAGAGGCGCAAGAGGTACCGGAGCGTCATCTCTGACATATTTGATGGCACCATCATAAGCTCAGTGCAGTGCTTGACTTGTGACCGGGTGAGTGAGGAGAGGAAGTGCCTTTGTGTTCTTTTGGGGCAGATCCCTCAGAACAGGTGGTTTTGTGCCTGTTTACTCAGATTGTTGTGGTAGCTGCCACCAGCACTTAGTGCTTAGCACAGCTGGTGTTCATGGAGCTGGGTATTTACACTGTGAGAATTGGCTTACAGCAAGGGTGGAGAAAGAGCCTTGCCCTCCAACTTCACTTAGGTAGGATTAGTTTTTAATAATAATCTCAATCTCCTCAATATCTGCTGCTGTCCTAAGTTCTCAGGTACCTGTTGTTACAAACAAAAGATAAGACAGAAGTCTGATCATACTGCTGGAACAGTCTTGTCAGGTAGATTGGGGCTAACAAAATTCATGTCTCTCAAAAAACATGGCCCAGTGGACCACTTTAATTCCAAAGCAGTTGTATCAAATATGGGATATCCAAATCCTTGGGGCCAACTTTCTCAGCACTGAGGTTTAAAGCTAACCCTGCTAAAGCTCCGTGCCTTTGCTGCTTCTCTTGTTTGGGATCTAAAATCCTGAGACCTGCTGCTAATGTGGTGAGCAAGTTGAAAAAAACAAATATAAATTTTCATTAGACAATGAATGCTTATTCATGTCCTTATTTATAATTCATTTGCTAGCCTGTGGAATTTTCAGTTGTACAGTGACTTAGTAGCTGCTGGTGAACTTTAGAGAATTGAATTTAATTGCAGTTTCTCTTGTGTTAACTCCACTGTGTTTCATTTGTTTCCTTTCTTAGCTGTCTGTAACTCTGGAGACCTTTCAGGATCTGTCCTTGCCTATTCCAGGGAAGGAAGATCTTGCTAAACTCCACTCTGCAAGCCATCAGACATCTCTAGTCAAGACAGGGTCATGTGGAGAAGCCTATGCCCCCCAGGGCTGGATAGCCTTTTTAATGGAATATTTCAAAAGGTAAACAATATTTACCTTGTTTCCTTCAGCTGCCTATTTTGACATTCTAGTTTCTGCTCTTCTGGCAGAACATTTGTTGGTTTTCTTTCTTCTCTGTCAATGATGTTTCAGGTTTGTTGTCTCATGTGTTCCTAGCTGGTTTTGGGGTCCAGTTGTAACCTTACAAGATTGTCTTGCTGCCTTTTTCGCCAGAGATGAGCTCAAGGGTAAGAGGTTCATTCCATCAACACCTTTCTTCTGGGTTGGTTGGTTTTTTTTCCTCCTATCCCAGTAAGATGATTAATATCTTCTTAGCTTGATTCAATTAAGCAGAGGCCACCTGTTAGGCTGTTGTACAGTCATTGCTTGTTCTTTTGGGATCATTCCTTTCCAAAAGGTAAGCTGCTCACTCACTTGAGTATTTGAAATAAGAAATGCCCTGAAAGCTGCTTTAGAAATGTCAAGTAGGTCTGAATTTGCTTTAGTGAAATTCTATAAACTGGAGGTTCATAAAAATGTCAAAGCCCACGACATTAATAGTCATTTTCATAAGCTTAATATGGACCTAATGAATTATTTCCCTTTTAAATTACTTAGCATCATCCCTTTAGATTATGCTGTGCAGCTTCATAGTGGAAAACATAAAACCTAAGAAGCTTTCTCTGTAGTTGCTGTGTCAGCCCTCTTACAGCTGTTAAATATTGAATGCAACCCAGAGATAAATTCCTGTGAAATGTTTAAATGTATGCACTTGAAGGCTGTAACTGTCTGGATTTGGAGCATAATGGCTGAATTTCTTCTCCCTGACATTTGCAGGTGATAACATGTACAGCTGTGGAAGGTGTAAAAAGTAGGTTGGCTTTTACCTTTGTTTTAAAACTTTGAGGTCTTTTAATGTCCCTGTTAGTCAAGAGGCATTTATTTCTGTTGGAAATCATCTTTTGATATTATCCTGTGTTCTGGCTGTCAAAAATTTAATGTTCCTGAGGTGCAGGGGTCAAGAAACACTGACTTACTGTACCCCATTGCACACCAAATCATCTGCTGAATTCTTTCTCGTGCCCTCACAGTTTTAGATCTGAGTTGGTTTTGATTGATAAAATAAAAGCTTTTAGCTTTTTTTTTTTCCTCTTTTGCTGAACAATCAGCTCTCGTGGAACTTAAAGTTCTTCCCTTTATGCCAAGAGAAAGTGTTTGCTCCTTGGGCCTTGATGATCTGTGTTTGCTGCTTTCAATTTTCCAGCAGCACAGATTGTCTTGTCTCCTAAAGCATCGTTATTTGTATCGTCCTGGCTACTCCATGTCTAGTCCATGTTCCAGAAATATTTTGGGTTTACTGATGTCATGTTCAGCCCAGACTTTTCCTGATCTGGCACAGTGAAATTTAAAGTGTTCAGAGCTAAGCACTGGTTGTTTTTGTTGTGTTTTGTTCTCTTTGCTTAGGTTGAGAAATGGAGTGAAATTCTGCAAAGTGCAAAAATTTCCTGAGGTACAGTTACAACGTGCACTTCAAAGCACTTTTTTCTGCATGATTAGGAACGTGCTAAGGCTGATGAGCTGTGTGGAGTAAATTGTGCTTGTAATGCTGATGAAAGCCTGTCTTCATATGGCATTTGTTTAAGAATGTTTGAGCAATATTTGATTATTCACCCTGTAAGAAAACGACTCTTGTAAATGCCACGTAGAGTTACAGGAATGGGATTTTCCCCTGCTGTTACTGTCAGCTTTCAGGCAGTAACAACATTTTATTTATGTTATTATATATACTAAAGTTTATACTGTAGGGCACAGAATTAAACACCACAGCCAGGCTGGAAATCTTTTCTAGAAGTAACTCTAGTAACTTTGTTTTAAAAGTGATCCAGTCTTAGGCTTCAAAGTATGAGCTGATGGCTGCAATAATCAGGAAGAACCAATGTCCCTCATGCCAAGATTGTGCAGTGTGTGCTCTGAGGAAGAGGAAAGGTGTGTTGTTCACTGCTGCCTCGGTGTTAGAAACCACAATTGATTACAAAACAATACTCTGTGGAACACACAGCTTGGGAATAGTTGCTTCAGGTCACAGGGAGGAGGATTCCTGGCTGATAAAAGGCACAGCTCAGTTATTAACACCTAACAGCCTGTGCAGTTCCTGACTGAGCCTGTCCCTGCTGCTCCCAGATCCTGTGCATCCATCTCAAGCGCTTCCGCCACGAGCTGATGTTCTCCACCAAGATCGGCACCCACGTGTCCTTCCCCCTGGAGGGGCTGGATCTCCAGCCCTTCCTGGCCAAGGACAGCCCAGCTCAGATCGTCACCTACGACCTGCTGTCTGTCATCTGCCACCACGGCACTGCCAGCAGTGAGTACGAGCTCCCTCCCTGGGAGGGCGGTTCCATTTACTGCACGGTAAATGCCTTTTTTGAGAAGGGCTTACAAACCATCCCAGAGGAGCCAGGAATTTTTTTAAAAGGTGGATTATCACTGCCATTTAACCCCCCAAAAACAGGCAGGAACTGCTCTTTGTGGGTGGTGATGTAAGGAGCTGAATAAACATGTTATTGCTACGTGCCAAGGTCACATCTGCCCAGATGCTTTTAGTATTTGTAAGATTTGGAAAATAGGAGAAAGAGACCTTTTAAGCCAGTAAGTTAATAGATTATTATAGAAATTACCCCCTCATATTTCTCAAACTTGAGGTCTCCATAGCTTGAATGAAGTTTTTCTTCTTTTTTTTTTTTTTTCCTGGATACCTTTTCAACTTCCATTTAGTGCTTGCTAAATGGTGCTTCATGTCATCAGTTTAGCACACACTTGATCATTTACCTACTGGCAGCTGGACATGCTGAAAGCAGTGGTGTTCAACTCCCCCCTGACAGAAATACAGAAAAAAAAGCTGATGTTGAGTTAGAAAGAAGATATCCAAGAAAGAAGATATCCAAGTTTTGTCTGCTAACAACTCTGTGTTTCTCCCATTTAAAACTTGAGGTTTTTTGTTTGGTTTTGAGGACTTAACCTCCTTTTCATGTAGTGCAGAGTAAAATGGGCAGCTCTCTTTTTCCCCAGCTCTTTCTTGTGCCCCTGCAGGTGGACATTACATAGCTTACTGTCGCAACAACCTGAATAATCTGTGGTACGAGTTTGATGACCAGAGCGTCACAGAGGTGTCAGAAGCCACAGTGCAGAATGCAGAAGCCTATGTTCTCTTCTACAGGTAACAAAGGCTGAGATCCATCTTAACTCAGGTGTGGAACTACATTTTTAAGCATTGGGGGCAGCTTTTTTTAACTGCCCCACAAGAATTATAATGGAGCAATTTGACCAACCAGAAAAGCCTGTGCTGGAGGGAAACTTAATCCTTCAACATGTCCTTAACATCTGTCAGTGCTAAAAGGAAGTTAAAATGAAAATGAAAACCTGCCCAGATAAAGCCCAGTGAGGTAAATGGAGAGAGAAGTTGAAGCAGCAGTTAGAACTTGCCAGCAGTTACCTCGTTCTCAGGTAGAGGGAGGGGATCCTGCTCAAGGGGAGGTTTTGCTCACAGAAGGTTTTTAGTTGTTAGAGCTCTGAATGGGACTGTGCAAAGGCTTTTTCAGGTTGGGATGTGGAACAGCAGAGGTTTTACTGCCTTGTAATTTAATGGCAGGGAATTTATAAGCTACTCTGTTCTTGAAAATGGAAAGGTGAGAAGTCACGTTGTTATCGTCTTCAGTGTAAGGGATTTAATATTCCAACTTCTAAGGGTTTTGTTAAATAATTTTGATTTGAATTTAAGCAGCTAATGTATTTTAATGGGGTTCCCAGCCTTTGTTTTCTCCTGCTGTTTGATCTTGCCCTGCTGTGCTGTAAATTGCCCTGGTGCTCTGTGTGTTGGGGACAGGAAGAGCAGTGAGGAGGCTCAGAGAGAGAGACGGAGGATCTCGAGCCTGCTGAACATGATGGAGCCCAGCCTGCTGCAGTTCTACATCTCCAGGCAGTGGCTCAACAAATTCAAGACCTTTGCAGAGCCAGGACCGATTTCAAATCATGACTTTCTGTGTGTGCACGGAGGTGAGGCTGTCCCTGGCAATCATTTCAAAACACTTTGGCAGCTCTGGGGGGTGTGTACACTTCTTTTAGTTAAAGGAATTTGACTCTGCTAACTTCATATTGTAACTTCTTAGGTAAATTATAACTTCTAAGTGAATTATTTATCATATTGTAGTAGCTGACTAATTGGAAATGATACTGTGTGAAGTTATCCTAATTTTTTTCTCTTCTCTGCACGTTTGGTTTTGTTTTTAAACTCCCTTCATTCCCAGAGAGGATCAGCTTGGCTCACCTGCTGCTTCCTAAACAAGTGTGTTCCCATTCAGCTCTGCAAACCCCTCTTTTTCTGCCTTCCTGAACATTTCCCTGCTTTCAGGAACTCCTGTTGTTTGAAGCAATTCCAAAAGCTCACAGCAAAGAAGGGAATTTTGAGCAGGCATTTTGTTAATGTGTCCACATGCATAAAGAAAAAACTTCATCACTAACATTTTAACTGTATACCTTCAGCTTTTTGAAATCAGTATCTAAAATGGATTCTAGCTCTTTAATTTTTGCCATTCATGGAGTTTGCTCCTGCTTTTTTTTTTATATAAACTTTTCAGCTTCATGAAAGGCTAAAATTTAGAGTGGTCTCTGTAAATACAGTCATACTGTGGTAAAAGTTGTTTCATGTGATTTCTCTGCATTCACTGACAGGTTTTATTTTATTTATTTTGACTGCTTGATTTTCTTGCTTGCTTTTGCTCCTGCTGCAGGTGTTCCCCCACACAAAGCTACCTTCATAGAGGACCTGGTTGTGATGCTACCTCAAAATATATGGGATAATCTGTACAGCAGGTAAGTTTGGAACCATCACTGGGAAAAAAAAACCCAGTGCTGCAGTTTGAGAGCAAATAACGTGCCAAGCAGCAACATCAGACCTCAGAATCAGGGGCTGAGGAAAGAAAAAATACTCCAGGCACAAAGCTGAGGGAAGGGCTTGCAAAAAGCCAATTAATTTAACTTTCTTGTGCAAAGCAGTGCTAAAAGGCTCCATAAAGTGGGGTGTTATTGGGGTATTAGGGAAGAAAATATGAATTTAGAAAAGAGCTATGAATTGTTATTGCTCAGCATGGTATTTTTCACAAGGTTAATGCCTTTTTTTTTTTTTTAACTTCTGCTGCAGATACGGAGGAGGCCCAGCTGTGAACCATCTGTATGTTTGTCACACCTGCCAAATAGAGTCTGAAAGAATTGAGAAAAGGAGGAAAAATGAATTGGAAATGTTTATTCGGGTAAAAAAAATAAACACTTCTCCATTCTGCTGGTTCCTGACTGGCCCCAGGGCATTCCCAGGATTGCACAGGAGAGCCCCAAAAGAAATGGACTTTATTCAGTGTCTGTGGACCTGTGCACTGTCCCTTCATTCCTGGTGGCAGCACTAATGTTCTTGTGATCTCCCAGATAATTTACATGGAAAGGTGCTTTTAATGTGTTTCCCAAATGGCTTTTTTATAGTGTTTATTTTATAGAGCAGTTGTTCTTTACACACACTGGGCAAAGGCTTAAGGACAATAATTCTGTGCCAGCAAAAATGTAATCAGAACCTTTGATTCTAATTTATGAAAAAAGGCATTAGGCACATAAATGTAAGTAGTTCAGTGTGAAGTAAATATGGTTCTGTAAAATTAATATCAAGGAGCTGCTGTGTTTTCCAGGAGTTGGATGATTATGTGCTGGAGTCTGAGTGGTAAAATAACGAGTGGCAGGAATTTTGTAACTCTCAAACCAAAAAAGTGCTTTGAAGTTTCCAGTGAAAACAAGTGCCTTTCCAGTGAAAACAAACCTTCCATAAAACCGTGGAGAAACTCTTTGAAAACACTGTTTTGTTTTAAAATGTTCTGTAGCAGCATAACGTTACTCTGTTAATAATTGTGAAGAGAAGTCAGGGGTTTAAAGAAAAAAAAAAAGAAAAAAAACCGCTTTATTTTTTCCCTTTTAGCTTAACAGAGCATTCCAAGAAGAAGAATCTCCATCCACATTTTACTGCATCAGCATGCACTGGTTCAGAGAGTGGGAAGCATTTGTGAAGGGCAAAGACAGTGGTGAGTTGTGCTCCAGTTCAGAAGGCAGGGGATGGTTTGGGGTGGTTTTACAGGTTGCAGGTAAATCATTCCCAGCAATGGGATAATGGGGCACTTGTGGAAAGAAAGTTGCCTGTTTGCTGCAGCAGAAAATTGTATCCAAGTGCAAGTGGAGATGGATTTTGCTGTGCAAACTGGCAGATAAAGCTGCAGCTTGTGCAGGAGAGGTGACCTCGTGTCACAGGCTGCACTCACAGATAGCTCAGTTACACTGGGGTGATGTCACTTCAGGTGCCTTTAAAATGGAAATGGAAACACTGCTAAAATGTTCTACAATCCTGCCCCAGTCTGCCTTAGGACAACTTTGCTAGGGGTAAGAATTAGGATTAATTTGTGGTTGATGTTGCTTGAAGACTTCCTGCAATCAGCAATGCCTTGGTAAAACGTGCTCCTAATTAAAACCCTGCTTTTCCCAACTCAGAAGGTGCTGTTGAGCAGGACAGGGACAAGCAGTGAACAAAGGAGCTGCTTCTCCTCCCGTTTGCAAACAGAACCTCCAAGCTGCTGTTTGTTTTCAGCTCTCCCAGTTTTCCTGTTTTTTTCTGTCACCCCAGATCCTCCAGGTCCCATTGATAATGCCAAGATTGCAGTGACCAAATGTGGCAATGCTGTGCTCAAACAAGGTGGGTGTCCAGCAGTTGGGAATTTGGGTGTATTTGCTGGAATTTGGAAATCTGTTGGGTTTATTAATCAGTTGGGTTTGGCAGTTGGTACAAGATAAAGCACAAATGCAGTTTACAGTTTTAAATTGGAATCCATATTATTTTTTTTCTTTTTGTATCTGTTACAGACTTAAATAATAAAATAATTATTCTGAATAGTAATTAAATTTTAAACATTTTTCAGGTGCAGATTCTGGACAAATATCTGAAGAAACATGGAATTTTCTCCAGTCAATCTATGGTGGAGGTCCAGAGATTATACTCAGACCCCCTGTTCCTCCAGCTGAACCTGATATATTGCAGACAGAGGAGAAGATTGAATTAGAAACTCATGGTCTGTAGCTCTTGACAGAAAGATGAACTTGTAAGGAATCCAGCTTTCCTTACAAAATGCCCAAAATGCATTCCTAAAGGTTTGATTCCCTGGTGTCTGTTGGAGGCACAGCTCCCTGGGCATTCCATTCACTGCAGAATAAGTGGAAATCTGTATTGCAATCTCTTGGAATAGCAGCTGTGTCTCTGCTTTGGAAGCCACGTGGTTTGTACAGTTTGGAATGTTTGGTCAATGGAAAAAAAGAAAAAGATGTAATTTCTGAATTTAGAAATGATCCTGTTCCATCCTTAGACTTGAAAAACAGGGACAAATTTTAGAGATGTTCAGTAACCCTTCTGATCCCTGAGTGGGCTTCTGATATCCACAAAGCTCTGCCTGTCCTGATTTGTACAGTCTGGACAAAGGCAGCTGTGGGAGGAGTGTATTTGAAATGCACTGCAAGCAGTGATAAAGAAAAAAGGATTTTCATTTCCTAAACGCTCAGGAAAAAAAGAATTGTCACTTCTTTTGCACTGTAAGTATGTGAGATGGGTAGGATATAACATGCAAACACTGTGTGTGAATGGAGCAAACATTAGTGTAGGCTGAAGAATGTTTTAGGCAGCAAATGTCCTAACTTATTACATTTTCCATCTTATTATAGTCCTCTGTAACTCTCCAAACCTGGCTAGTGTCTTCAATGTGGCAAAAAAGATTTAGTCTTCTCTAGGGTAACCTTTGAGAGCATGAAGTGTGAAATGTAAAATTATTATGGACGTGAGTGATATAAATTCCAGAAAATGAAGTTGTCTGGTCTCGTGAATTGCATTCATAAGCATTTCAATCTGAAGGGTTTGATTGTGTTGTTGCAAATTTCCCTTGGCATGATGACCTTTAATGTCAGGAGCTGGATGAAATGTATATATTGCAAAACTTCATGGAATGAATTTTATTGGAATGCAGAATGGCACTTGCTCGTGGTTTTGCCTGATACTGTTACCAAATAAGCAGCATTATTCAAGACTGGATCAATAAAAAAAACCAAAATTACCTGTGGAATAGGTGGGGGGAGCTTTTCTAAATGTTTTTCATTTGTTATGTGATTATAAAGCCTTCTGAAGTGCTGCTGGGGGGCTGCTCTCACACCCATACAAGTGCTGGTGGGAAGGGGTGTCAATTCTGTCTGGGTGTAACTCTTGGTTTCTTCCTCAGCCCACCTGACAAGGACACAGCTGAAAACACAGTGCTGCAAGTAAGACTTGTCCACAGTCAGTGGGAACACTGATCTTGGCCTGGGGAAAGCTCTTCTAACTTCCCATTTCTGTTTTCATTGTCCTTTCTGCCATAAACTGAACCAGGGTTTGTGCTGTCCTATTTTAACTGAAGTTGTCTTTGATTTGAGGTTCTCTGATTTACTCAAGCTCGGTAACAGAAGAATTTTTCCTACCTGGTGTTCTTAAGTGGAAACCTGGGAGATGTTTTCTTGGTTAAAGCAAGTGATCAAGTGTGGTGAGCAAGTTTGTGAATTTACTCAGTGTTTTCAGTGATGGTCTGGATGGTGGAACAGACTGGCCCTGTAAAATCTGCCCGAGAAAAGTGGATTGAGTGAATGGAGCAGTTCTGTGCCAGGGGGCATTAAAGCAGATCACACCAAGAGTTAAAGCACAGGGACACCAAAACAAAACCTGGGCTGGGCAGCAGTAACAAAAGCATCAGATGTGAGGCACAGGAGGTGATTATTCTGCTCTACTTGGTGCTGTGCTTGTGCTGAGGTCTCATCTGCGCTCTTCCCCTCTGAGTGCTGTTTGATGATAAATACAGGTTGAGGAGAGGTTATTTTAGGGAGAAGCAACAAGACTGGGTGTTAAAAAGGAGCTGTTTGCTCCCTGAAAGGCTTGCTGAAGATGCAGGGTGAGAATTGCTGGATCAGTGACCAGCTTTCCTGAGGTGAGCAGGGATATTTGCCTCGGCTTTAGCTCGAGCAGTGGTGACTTGAGCTGCCTTTGGGAAGCCTGTTAGGAATCGGGAAATATTCTGGCAGTGTCTGGGAACCCCAGTCAAACATCATCCTAAACCCTTGATGCCAGCAGAGTTTGTGCAGTGCCTCCATCACCCTGCAAAAAGGCAGATGATTGTTTTCCATAAGCCTTTCTCCAGACTGTTTGGGTTCTTTGTTCACTTGTTCCCAGCTGAGGAAACACAGCAATGTGTTTGGGTGCCAGGAAATGTCATTTCAAGGAGGGAAAAATGCAGCAGAGTCCTTGCTGTAGGTGTGGAAATCCAGGTGTGAGGTGCTGAAAGCCTGCAGGTCAGGCTGGGAACTCCAATCCTCTCTCCTGGGACAGCTGCATGGGGCTGTCAGGGATTTACCAGCTCCAAGCTTGATTTCTCTCCATTTCTGATTTTTCTTTTTTTTTTTTTGTGCAAGTAATACAGCTGATTGTTCATCTGGACACCCACCATCAGGGAGAGTGCTTCAGATACTGTGTAAATGGAGGGAAAAGGAACAGCAGAACAACTACTGAGTTACTGAACAGTAAAATAAGAGAGTTTTGTAGTGTGTTTCATAGGTGAGAGCTAATAGTCTATCTGCTTAGTAAAACAAATAAACCCAACCTGCTTGGTAGCTGATTTATTTAGGGTTTTTTACATATTTAATGTGTTTCTCCTCCCTGCTGGCATCGTGTTTGCTGTGGGAGATGCTTCCTGTGCCATGGACAGGGCTGTGCCGGGAGGAATCGACTCCTGGCCAAGCTCCCCGAGCAGATGTGTCAGAAGATGGGAGCTACTGGGATGTAATGGGATGATAATGGACCTTCCTGAGCTTCCAGCACAGTGCAGCACTCACTGCCATCAGGGAATATCCATTTAGAGCTTTCTGTGAGTTGGTGCTGTCAGGTGTTTTAGCTCTATATGCATTATCTGGATCAAGTTTGCATTTGTGGAGCAAAAGTTCAATAGGCCTGAATTTTTCCCTAGGAAGTCTGGTGTAATTTGATGTTCTATGCTAATGCATCATTGAAGAATCCTCCTTCTCAGCTTCAGAACTTACACAGTGATTGGCTTTTCCCAGCACAATGTGTCCTAAAAGGATATATTTAGTCCTAAAAGGGCTAAAGTCAATGTTTCTTTCAAATTAGTATTATAGGTATTGATTTATAATCATAGTGCTGATATTTGAATTTTTTTTGATTGTTATTCATAATTCAAATTGATTTGGAAAAGCAAACCTGAGATTTTTTTTTTTTTTTTTAATTTTCCTGAAATTTACAGGAAAACTCAGAGATTATTTGATTAAAGGGGCAAATGCTTTCTTCATATTTTCTACTGAACTGAGAGAATTCTGGTTTGGATTCTCTAAATACATCTGGCTTAGTGCAGCCTAAGCAGTTTTCTCACTGAAAACCTTTCAGCTCTTCCTTCTGCCCAGGAAATGAGGAGAACAAGTAGGCTTTCTGATTCTTCCAAGCAGATGGCTTTTCTGGCTCCCCCCTGTACTTTGGCCATCCAGAGCTGACAATTCAGAGCAGGAAGCAAAAGAAGACTTGGGGGTTTCTGAAGTGTCACAGACAGATCACTTCCAGTGATGTTGCACAGAAATGACTCTGGTGGCAAACAAACTGGGTTTGTATCAGCCTTCCAAATCTTGGCAGGTTAGAAAATAGAAAAAAAAATAAATAAAATATATTAAGAGCTTTAGTTAAAGATACATTTTTGGAATAACTTCCCTGGTGAGGAAGTAAATCTGAAAGTACTTTGTTGAGAAGGATAAAGAGAGCAGAGGAGAGGAATAATTTGATTCCAAAGAGTAAGAAAGAACTTCAACTGTCAGCAGTCAAAAAATGGAAACAGAGACAACATTTTTGTCTCATGTCTCACAGGACACTGCCAAGAGCTTTTCATTTGCATTGTCCCTGCATAGCTTTGCCCAGAAATGAATATTTTCCTGGATGGCTCAGTTAGTTCTGTCCAGTGTGTTTGTTAATGCAGATGCTGAACCAAGATGTCCTGGTTTCCATGGGGATTCGTTGCTTTCCTCCCCCAACTTCCCGTGGGTGTCTGTAAATGCCAAACCCCAGTGGGCAGAGATGCAGCCCTTGCCCACCCTGGGAATGCAGTTTTGTCTCCACCAAGGCACACACTTGCTCTTTAGGACCAGGAGATTGCTCTGAGATTTTCAGTTGTATCAAAGGGAATACACTCACCCCCCCCAAAATGCTAATCAGCTGGCAACTGTTCATCCACTCAGTATTTTCAATTCCATCTTTCAGCCAGTTTACACTTTAGAAGCAAGAAATAAGACCTTTATTGCTGACCTTGGCCTGTGAAAGGCTGTTCTATCTCCCCACCTCTGGTTTTTATAGCTGTGAACTCTTCTTTGAGTGAATAATTTTCAGTGAGGGGAGTGCACTCTCTCTCACCTCGTTTGTTTGGAGGGTAATTAATTTGCTTTCCACCCAAGCAGTGTAGTGGAGATAATCTGTCTCCTAAAGTAGGTCAGTAGTAATGTGAACTCGCTGTGTGACCTTGACTTTGCACACTCCAGTGCAGAGCCTGGGCTGCCTGGGCTCCTTCTGGACATGTTGGAAAAGCTATGGATAATGGAGGCAATTCCTGGGCTCCTGCTCTGCAAACCTTCCCCAGGACATGGGAATTTGCTGGTCACACTTTTACCCTCAATCTGAACAGTGCCTGCCCTCCACTCTGGGGCTGAGCCCTGAACAGGGATCTCCCCTTCCTAAACCCCTGGATGATGGCAGTTAGCTGGAAATTTCCAACTGGATTACACTGAACACACTACACCTGCTGTTGGGGTTGGAGTGACAGAGGAGCCCTTTCCTGCTGGAGAACCTGGAGGGATGTGCAAGGAAGTCAAAACAGGAGCAGGGATATTCCGTGACCTGACACATCTGCATGTGGGTTATCCACAATTCACAGTATTAATGATACCTAAGGGGGCTCCATCAGGCAACAGAGGGAGGAAGGAGAGGTGAAAGGGAGTGTTTGGACAGTTCTGCCACTGTCAGGGGTGACAGCCCTGGGGTGGGACAGCTCAGTGTCAGTGCTGATGGAGCTGAGGAAACACTGCCCCGGCACTTCCAGCTCCCCCTCTAATCCCATTTAGTCCAAACTCCTGTTTCACACGTGGGAAATGTTCCAGGCACTTCCAGGTTCTTGCTGTGTTCCTGAAGCTGGAGTCAGATTTTTATGCACTGGAATAACAACGTGCTCCAGGTAGCAGCAGTGAAGCAAATAAAAATGCAGTTTGTTGAAATATCTTAGATAGCAGTATTTCAGTTTGCAAATAGAAAACCTCACTCTTGAGTAGTAAAAACTAAGAAGAAGAATATCTTCTGAAAAGCAAAGGGCTTCCTTCTTGCTGTGCTGCTTTTATGTTTGAGAAGTTCCAATCTGGATTTTTTTTTTAATAAATGCTGCAATCCAGCTAGCATTTCATATCTCCATGGCTTTGAAGCCTCTGCTGAAACCAGAAAAAGCCATTTAAATGGGAATGCCTCATATGTGAGGAGTGGTTGTACATGGGACTGAATATAATCTAATTAATGTAATTAAGAAAAATAAGTATCAGATTCCTTTACTGCAACCTCTTGGACCGATCTGGATGAGGTTGCTGCTGTTTTAAATATACAGGCATAAAATGCAAAGAAGCTGTTAACTTCTGAAATTCAGGTAACTGTTGGGATTGGCAGCTTGCTTTTTCAACAAGGAATATCAAATATTTCAGTGGCCAGGGTCAGCTCTCAGTGATCTGTGTGGGTTCTCAGACTCCTGAATTGTCTGATGTGCTTATCCCTTCTCAGTGACTGGAGATTCCTTCTCTTTGATGAAGAGCTAAAACTTATTTCCCCCTAACTTGTTCCCACCCAAAAGAAACAAAAAAATAAGCATAAAACCCAGGCATTCTAAATTTGTGGCTGGAGTGGATTTAATTCCAGTAGTTATTAGACCAGATGACCAAATCCAATTATGTGCAATTTGCCACATATTGCATTTTTTTTCCAATTACGTGTTTAGTAATATTTTATTGTTATTTTTGACATGTTGGCTGTAAAGTCTTGGTCCAAGTAGTATTTCGTGTAGTAAAAACAATCTGAAATGCGTGCACTTTGTTACCAGGGCACTAATTGGTAAGACTGTAAATTTTAATAAAGGTTGTGGCACAAAGCCTGTAGTCCCTCCTGTAAACTGGCTACTGAAACCACACCTCAGTGAGTCAGGGGGGTTTGTCTCCAGGCAGAATTTCTTTTCCTTTTGTTAAAGGTTAGACACCAACCAAAATTGTTTATCCAAGCGTTTTGCTTCAGGTGAAAACAGAGAACACTTTGTTGATTGTGATCTTAAGGGCAATCCAGCCTTTCTCATATTTGTTCTGTGTATGTGGTAGCACGAATGGGGAAAAAAAATCAGAGTGTAGGGCTGGGCTGTCCAGAGAATGAGGCAGGCAGGACTGAGCAGCAGAACAGGAGCTGTAACAAAACATGAAGTGATCCTGGGGAAGGATGCACAGCATATCTAGGCAGAAAATGGATTTCACTCTGTTAATTTTTTTGTTGTTGTTTCTTTCTGTCTGGCTCAACAAAACCTTTCCCTTTGTAACTTTATTTTCTGTAAGTCGGGCAGGGAGCAGTGGCTCTGGGTTCTGATGAGTGAACCTGGTTAATCTTTAGCTGGGGGGATGACATATCTGCTCTAAGTGCAGGGGAAGCAGTTCAGCAGTCTTACTTGGATGGGTAGAAGCTGCTGCTGCTGCTGAAAGCAGGAACCTTGGCCTTGCAGTCCTGGGCACTTCTCCAGGCAGGAACACGAGCTGAGGGTTCAGTGACCTGCAGGGATATAAAACAGCACTTCAGCCCCTGATTTTGTAGGAAGTGCTGACTTGGGAGGGGGCTGATCTACTGTCTTCCACCTTGTCTCATGGTAACTTGCTCAAAAGCTGTCACTAACAGCCCTCGATCAGAACAGGAGGTGGTTTTGTTGTTTGGTTTTGTGCTTGGTGTGTTTTTTCCCCACTACCCGCACTGATGAGGCCAAAGGATTTGTTACTGCCCTGTAAATGGGTAACACTCCAGGCTGCCCATAATAAACACAACTCCCAGTCACTGGTACAAGGCAGGTGCTGCAGCACAGAGGAAGCTGCAGCCACGAGAATCAGGACTGTGAATATCTAGTTTGGGTGGGGTGTGTGAGGAGCAAGGGAGACCAACTGGAAGTGCAGATGTGTTGGAGAAGGCAGTGTGGTGCTGCTAGGCAGGAGCATGTCCCTTTACCCTGGGGAATTATTTAATCCTGCTGTAGGATACTTTGGGGAAGGACTGCACGAGTGGGGACATCAGAATGGACACAGAGCCTCAGCCAGCTTCCAAGCAAGCAGCTTTCTCCAGCTTTAAATGGAAATCTTGGGTGGAGGTCTTATTAAGCCTGCTGGATCCCAGTCCTTACTGCACAAGGGCTTCTTTTTCCTTCACTTTCCTTCACGACCGGGAAGAAACACCCCACGGCTGGAACACCCAGGGGCTCTCGCTGTGGAGCGGGTCAGGCAGGGGGACAAAAAAAATTCCCCTCCCTTCTCGTGTGGCTGCGAGTCCCATCACAGCAGAAAGACTTCCAAGTCCCGAGAACCGATCGGGAAAGTGGAGGAGCCGCGGGGTTTTTTTTCCTGCAGACTCTGCAGAAGGAGTGTCTGTACGACCAGACTTGCAATTCGGGCAATTAGGGTTTTATTACATCTGCTTTCTCCTTCACAAAAGCATCGATCGGTCGAATTGCCACACAGTCAGTAACTAGTTTTAAAAGCAGCAGAAAATATTCTGGTTAAGCTAAGGATTTTCTAGCAATTTGGAATTTTGTTAATTGCTCCTAGTGGAAAGGTTCTTTGAATTTCGTTAGCACTTAGCAGAAAACTTGAGCCTCTTGTTTTTTTGGCCACACGAAGCTCTTGTAGATGCATTTTACCGGTGGCGATTCAGGAAAAATAATAGTTAAAGATGGTCAGAGATACATAGCGGCTCCTGGGTAGGAGGGGGGGTGGTGAGCAGTACCTTGGTGATCGCACACCGGTGAGAACCAGGCAGCACCAAACGAACTGGAGAGCGCCACCGGCTCCTTTTTACTCGTAGTGCAGAGGGCTGGAGTGCCCCACGGAGCCCGACCCGAGGCACCGCCTGAGCCACGGCGGGGGAGAGCGCCGGGCATCGCTCAGGGGCTGCGAGCGGAGCGGCCCCGCTCTGGGGGCTCAGGAGCGGCAGGGGGGGCCGGGGCTGAGCCCCGACCCGCGGAGCCCGCGCCCTTCCCGGTCAGCAGCCCTGGGGCTCCCTCAGCCTTCCCGGGGCTCCCTCAGCCTTCCGGGGCTCCCTCAGCCGTCCCGGGCTCCCTCAGCCTTCCCGGGCTCCCTCAGCCTTCCCGGGCTCCCTCAGCCTTCCCGGGGCTCCCTCAGCCGTCCCGGGCTCCCTCAGCCGTCCTCCTCAGCCGTTCCCGGGCTCCTCAGCCGTTCCTGGGCTCCTCAGCCTTCCCGGGCTCCCTCAGCCGTTCCCGGGCTCCCTCAGCCGTCCCGGGGCTCCCTCAGCCTTCCCGGGGCTCCCTCAGCCCTCCCGGGGCTCCCTCACCGCCCTCCTCCCGCTGAGGCCCCCCCGGCCCCTGCCCCGCCCGCGGCGCGCTCGGCCGGCAGGGGGCGCTGGGGGCGCCGCCGCAGCGCGGGGGGAGGGGAAGGAAGCGGAAGGAGCCGCCGCCGCGCCGAGGGGAGCAGGCGCTGTGCGGAGCCGCCGCCGCCGCCGCCGCCGCCGCCTGGTGCGGGCGGCACGGAGCGAGCCGAGCGGCGCGCGGGGCTGCGCGGGCCCGGCGCTCCGGGAGCGGCCGCCAGGTGAGGGCCGGGCCCGTCCGTCCCGTGCGGGAGGGAAGGGAGCGGGGTGAGGGGAAGGGGGGCCGGGCCGGCGGCGCGAGCGGCCCGCGCGGGGCGGGGAAGGGGGCGGAGGAGCGCGCGCGCGGGGAAGCCCCACGTGACCCGCGCGCGCGCGCGCGGGGAGGAGGCGGCGGCTCGCGCGCCCCGCTCGAATCAGCGGCCGGCCCGCGCGCCGCGCGCGTGCGCGCCGGCCCCGCCCCCTCCCGGCCCTGACGTGTGCGCGCGCCCGCGGCACGTGCGCGGCGCCGCCGCCATGTTGGGGCCCGAGCCGTGAGCGCGCGCCGTGAGCGCGCACGGGGGGGGCGGCGGAGGAGGAGGAGGAGGAGGAGGAGGAAGGCGCGAAGTCTCGCGAGGCCCCCGCGGGAGCGGGCGCGGGATGGCGGCGGCGCCGGGTAAAGGAACCGGGCCGGGGGCGGCACCGCGGGAGCCGCCTCCGCCCCCGCCCCGGCGCCTGCCCCGCCCCTCGCCTCACCTCACATCACCCCGCGCCCGCACCCCCATCCTCCCTCCCTCTTCCCTTCCCCGCCCCGCGCTCGCCGCGTCTCGCCGCTCCCCTCGGCCCTGCCCGCGGCCCGGCCCCGCTCGCTGCCCCCTCACGGCGAGCCCGGCCCTGTCCCCGGCCCTGTCCCCCCTGCCCGCGCTGTTGGCACCCTCGGGTGTGTGCGGGGCAGCCCGGGCTGCTCCTGCCCCGCCGTGTGGGGTGCGGGGATCTCCGTGACACCCCGAGCTGCTCCCGCTGCAGCCCCTGGGACGTGTCCCGCTATCGCCCAAACTTGGGAAACACAGCGCTGCTCTCTCGTGTGTTTGCAAAAACGATTCCCGTGGTACCCAAGTGTCCTAGCTCAGCAGTATCCCCTTTGTCTCCTAATCCCGATCTCTCCGAGGGGAGAGCATATGGTTCTGCTTCTTCCTTATGGTGTTTTGTGTTCCCTCCCTGATTATCCACCAACGCTGGCAGTTTCTGTAGTCTTGGGGTATTTTACTAATCCGGTTCTGGGCTAGCACTAATTATTTTATAAAGGAACGCGTTCTTTAGGCATTGGAGTTCCAGATTTTATTTTTGAAATACGTTTGCAGTTGCTGTTAAACAACCTGTAGTAGCTGTTCAGTGGCTGTTCCTGCTGGTTTCCCATCGGTGTGTTCTTTGTGCTGCACTAATGACACGGTGATTGCTTGCTGAAGCTTTCAGGAGAAGCTCCAAGTGTTTTACATTAGAACAAACTTACTGACTTGTGCAACCTTTTGAGAAGATGGTTTTTTGGGTGTATTTCTAACCTGTGGTTGGATATTATGCTTCCCCTCCCAGCTGCTCCCAGGACTGGTGATCCAGCAGGGACTGGTAGCTTTGGGATTAGCAGGATGTGATTCCTTACATTGTCAAGTGCAACTTTTCAGACAAGGTGTTGACAAGTTACTCTTGTGGTTTGTTTTCAGGCATCTTTTAACCTGGCTGTGCTGTCTTTTGGATTATTAGTAGTTGCTAAAATCAAAAGTGGGAGTTTAAGGAAGAAAAATGGTGTGTGTTAAACGGCAGGGAGAAAAATGGAACTTCCTGATGCCCTTAGATGGTCTAAGCAGGTTAATTCAGTGTGACCTGTGAACAGCTTTGGTTGTGAAGTTCAGCCCTGGGGCTGCTCTCCTTATTTTTACCACTTCTAGGAAAAGAGAAATAGCGAGTGGGATTCTTCTGCTGGGCACTGCTGGGGGGTTGAATGTGCAAAGATAAGCAGCTCTTGATTTCCCAGAATTTGGGAATGTGTCCTAATAAGGGCTTTGTTCTCCAGCTGAACAGCACGTGACAGCTCTGATGTTTATCAGCATACTCTGTGCTGAGATTACAGCCTGCTGGCCACGGTCTCATCAGAGTGAGGGCTTTGCTCTCCCAATATTTCCAGGAGACTTGAAGATTTGTTGGTTGGTTGGTTGGTTGTGGTTCTCCTACATCATTCCAGGTGCTTGGGTTGACTTCTGGCCAGCAGCAGTTGAGTGGTTGATGCAAAAGTGGGAAGACCCTGCTCTTTCACCACCTTGTTGCAGAAGGGAAATAAGAAATGTTTGCTCAGTGTTTCTGAAATACTGGGGAAGTTGGAACCAAAGTTTTTGCTCTCTGCCCCCGCTTCCAGTGGTGGGATTTTTCTTGCTTGGTTTTTGCTTTGTTTAATTTGTTTGCTTTGCTCTGGTCTTCTCAAAAATGGAAGTCTTTGCATTATGTGGGAAGTGATGACACAGGTGCCTCTGGTCATAAAGAACCAAATTTTGCAAGAGGTAGTTTATTTATTGAGTATTCAGCACTTCTATCCACAGATTTCCATTGCACTCCCAGTGCTGGAAGTGCAGACCTATTGCTCCCTTCCTTTTGGCTTGGTTTAAAACTGCTTGGATTATTCCAGACAGATATTTGTAGAACTTGTCCTTAAAAACCTCGAAGAGGAAAAATCCTGCCACCTCTGTAGGCGGGAGTGAAGTTGCAGAAAGTGAGAAACTTTCTCACTTCTGTGGTGAGGAAGGGCTGTTTTTTTTTCTTTTTTTAGTTTCCAAATTAAGTGTTCCTTGCTGGAAATCAAGCTGCTGCTGCTGCTAAGAACTCACTCCTGGTAAACTTTGCACTGACACTTAAGGGTTTATTCTTCTGGTTTTAAGAACGTTGTAAATATGGTTGCTGGTTCAAAAACCGCTTTGGTTGTAGAAGAACCATCGTTGTAGGTTTAGTTTTCTGGAAAAGCTTCTTACTCATCAAAGACACTTGAGAAATGCAGAGCTGAACACTTCTCTGCTCTGTTGAACTTCATCCCAGGATTTGGGAATAGGAATGTTGGCAGTGGCATCTTGGCAGCCTCTTTGTCATGAGAAATGGCTGATTCGGGGTGATTGAAACTTTGTTTGAAGCAAACACTTCGGTTTGAAAATGTACAAGTCAAAAAGGCAGTGAGGGAGCGTTCCTGAGAGTTTACCTGTTGGTGTGTAAATGGCAACATCCTGCCTTTTGTTGGCCGTGGGTTTGGTTTATGGGTGTGTAGATGGTCTGAGTTAGTGGTGTGAGGGGGGGGAGGGGGGTTGTGTGAATTGAAGTGTCTCTGTAGCATCTCCGGTACAGGAAAGAATCCCAGGATAACCCGAATTCCCAATCGGAGGAGCTGACAACTGGGTCACTGTGCCACACACACATCAATTAAAGGGGAGGGTTGGTAGAGCCTCCCCTGGAAATCTGGGTGGGAATCACACTCTGCCTGTGCAGCAGGTGTGGAAGTCAGAAATGCTCCCCCCACAGCTAAGGAGGAACCTCCAAACACAGAAATAGATGCTGTCAGAGAGGATTTGCCGTGCTGCTTAATCACTTATTAATGAAATGCTTTAAGGACACTGGGGATGGAGGACACGAGTGTGAATGGTGCAGGTGTATTTTCTGAATTAATTCCTGTCTGTCAGTTTGTGAGCTGGGTGATAGAACAAAGCAGATTTACTGAGTGCCTGGGAAGGAATACAAGCGTAAGAGTGAGGTTTTGATAAGTTTGATGAAGGATCTGAACTCTCTGGGGTGCAGTTCAGTAAAGAGAAAACACAAAAATAATACCTTTGGGGAGCCAGAATAAACTTAAATGTGAGAAACGATTGGCTGGGCAAGGGTTCTGCAAACTGTGACACAAAATGAACACAGAAGGAGTTCTCCTGGGATGTATGACCGGGATTGTTGTGGAGTTTGGGATGGAAATGCTTCTGCAGCACCCAGGGCAGGGCCTCAGATGATGGGCTGGCTCTGGTTTTGTTACTCTGCTTCAAAGAGATTTGAGGAGGATTTACAGACAGTTCAATAATGACCTTTAAGGAAGGACTGAAAGAATTGTCCTTGTTTAGTCTATAACATAATAATGGGCTGCAAATACATTAAATTTGCTACAGACTCTCTAGGTGGGCCAAGCAATAATAGTCCTAAAGAGTGCAAAAGGAGATTTCCATGTCAGGGAATCATTCCAGCTCCAGGAAAGATGATCTATCCAGGTTAGGTAATCCCAGGGTTAAATATCTGAGGGAGGTAATGGGATATGGAGTGCTGAAAGCTCCAGAAAAGGTTAAATAACCTCCTTTTAGAGGTGGTAGAGGTTTGGTTTGTCTGTCCTTGGCCTAGGAGGCAGAATGACATGTGAGCATTAGATCTGTCCTCACCTGTAGATTTTTGTAATTTAATGGCCATGGTTTAAAAACCAAACCAAAACAACTTGGTGGAGCAAAAAATGTAATTAGTGGATTAACAGGTGTAAGATTTAGCTAAAAGACCGCAGCAAATATATTAATTAAAGGGTGTGTTCAGAAAACATTTGTTAAAGCTTTCTGTAATGTAATATTGAAGATAACTTGAATAG